AAATCGATCTTAGTGCTACGACTATTGTAAGCCAATGTTAAAGTGTGTGAGTTATGATCATCTTAGCGCTAAGATCGCTTTGTGCACGTGGGCCCTGGACTCAGGACACACCAGACAGGCCAGCAACACTACCACACAAGTTAATCCCAGACCTTTCGGCCTTGGATTACAATGTGCTTGTGGTTGTTGCTTCACACACATACAGAACCATCGTGTTAATTGTATATCTTCTCATCTGAAGACTTGTCTTGTTTATCAGCTGGATGAGGTACGCAGTGGTTCATGTAGACCAACAAAGAAACAACATGGAATCGGTTCATATGCTGGAAAGTGACATAACGAAAGCTGGATCATCTGGAACCCACAATGTGGATAATTCCTGTTAATAATGACAAAATGGAATGATCAGACACCGACACTCAGCCCTAAGGCTCCAATAAACATCAGTTAGAATTCCCAATTTGTAACTAAACATTTATTTACCAATTCATGTTATAATCTGATTATAGTTATGACTTAAGTGATGGCTTGGTCAATTTGTAGTTCACTGATAACAGTGAGCGAGTGAGTATGGTTTCACGCCGCTTTTAGCAATATTCCAGCACTATCACGGCGGGGGACACCAGAAATGGGCTTCACACATTGTACCCATGTTGGGAATCAAACCCAGGTCTTCGGCGTGACAAGCGAACGCTTTAACCACTAGGCTACCCAACTGCCTCTTGCTGATAACAAGACCAATATATACAGAGAGACTGTAATGTGCCACATTATTGCATTAAAGTCAATGTTCAAATACTAGCGTTAAAATACCTCTGAATTTAGGAAAATAAAGTTTTAAAGAATTAAAAATTTCAACAAATTAACCATGTTTTCCCAATCTGCCCAATCGTGGGAGTAGTTTGGAATCCAAGGTATCTCCCTGTAGAAATGTATGACCATTACCATGTACCCTGGATGGGTTATCCAGTGTATCAGGATCATTCATCAGTAATGGCACCTGAACAAGTTTTCCCAGTATTGTACATTCTGCATGAAGCTTCAGACAAAAACATTTTTTCTGGAAAATTCATTAACAAACTATGTAAAGACTATGTAAAACTAATTAAGAAAAATTTCTGTTGTATTTACCACCAAAAAAGTTCCAACCATTACGATATTGATGGAATCATTACAAAATTTTGAAGTTAATTCTATCAATATGATCAAGTGAAATATTTGAAATTCTGTCCCAAAAATGTCACCTGTAAACTACACTAGACACTGACCTTGCTAGAGTCATGGCAAACAATTAATAGCAGCTAAATAACAACTGGGTGTAGCTTGGGATGTGAGTGAGTGAGTATGGTTTTACGCCGCCTTGAGCAATATTCCAGCAATATCACGGCGCGGGACACAAGAAATGAGCTTCACACATTATACCCATGTCGGGAATCGAACCCGGGTCGTCGGCGTGACGAGCGAACGCTTTAACCACTAGTCTACCCGACCACCCCATCTTGGGATGTGAAGGTTTAGAAGATTTGATAAGTTTGTTTGTTTGATAAAACATAATGCAAATGCGGAATTATTTGCATCAAAACCACAAATGCAGACATGGTAATAATGACATACTTCTTCTGAACAGTTCTAATATCAGATGCCAAGATCACAGATATTCCTATTTGCTTTAACATAGGGTTGGCATATCTGAAAAAAGTTACTCCATAAAATGACTTTCTGACTAGCACATTAGAGAAGTTGTAAATTGGCAATGCACTATCACAAGGATAAATCACCAAACTCTAGTCACATCTGATAGAGAAGTTGTAAATTGGCAATGCACTATCACAAGGATAATCACCAAACTCGAGTCACAGCTGACATCTCCAGGTATTGAAGAACACATACATACCATTACATGTACACATCAGCGACCTGGTGAGACTGTAGTCATGACGTTGCTACAATGGAATGCATACCCTCACTCATATCAAAGTTTGAGGATATCAGGGAGGTGAAAGGGTTTTCAAATTGAATATCTGTCTGGACGTTTGAAGTGTCTGAGCAAGGTGTTTCAGATATTGGCACAAACAGTTTCCAACATGCCTACTACTACTACCAGACCTCGAAAATGTGGCTAAGGGTCTAGTTCAGGATTTTGGAAAATGATACCTCCAATCTGTTTTAGGAAAAATGATATCTTTGTCTTTGTGAAACCCAAGGAATGTTGCTGGTAAACCAAAGCTGGATGTATGTGAAACGGGAAATATGCTTGACATACCTCATCGATACTCACTTGTCTGAAGAGAAAGTTTGTTGTTGAATCTGACTTTCTACATTTCTAATGCATTTTGATCACCAAAGCTGTGGACATGAGAGAAACTTACTAAAAATACTAAACAAAGCATCTCACATACATATATATATACATATGAAACTTATGGCTAATCTTTACTTATAAAGAGCTCATACGGTGTTAAGAGATTTTCTACCACAAATTTTGCAGGAAAATAATTTTAAGTGTTTCCTAATATGAGGACTGAATAAGTTCACATTTACAAAATGATAGAAATGCCATCTGAAATGCACAGAACACTAGCTATATTTCGTTAATAACACACACATTTACACCAATAATGAGAGTCATTCATCATGTTCAACACAAAATTGCCACCTAAAAGCACAAATGTAGCCCAGGGGATAAATCTATACAAAACTATTTCTTTCACAAGCATCACAGCGCATTGAAAAATAAGTACATTTGTTTCTCAATAAGTTAATGATTTTCAGAGTCTTATATACAATAAATGAGTACCACTTACAAGTTGTTTGCATGAAACAGGCAAATGGAACAATGACTTTTAAAAATTAATTGAATCAGATCCAAACATAAATGACCTTTTGTTATGAATGCTAAACCGTGAACATGAAGATAAACAGTATTGATGATAGCCAGTATTGGGCAGCATGAAAACATAAACAGTCAGAAATAGTCTAGATTGAAAACTGCCATTGTTCATATGGTCACAATATATTACATACCATAATTTGTAAACTATTTTACATAAATGCAACAACTTTAACATTGCAACGAACATTTCAAGATTTTTAAACATTTTTTTAATGGACATCGAAGTGAATATATTATTCTCACATTCTTAGATACAAACCAAAGCATACTAAAGTAAACATGATAAAGAATGGCTACTGTTGAGTTGACAGAGCGTTGTTTTGGACAATATCTGTTATTTCATGGATCAGATTGATAGAGGAATCCCCTCGTGACACAGGTCTTAAACCCTCACCACTCTGGTAAGAGTGAGTGAGTGAGTGAGTTGGGTTTAACGCCGCTTCTATCAGTATTCAAGTCATATCACGGCGTGTCAGCTTAATGTGGGAGGAAAGCCCAAAGTGATGCAGGTCTCAGACGTTTACCACTTCGGTGAAACCCATGAGCACAGGTATGGTGCTGACAAACCTAGAAACATAATCGGGGCGAACCAATCATAGGTTTCTGGCGTGCCTAAGGGACACAACCCTGCACAGCGAAGCACGGCGCCTTAGACGACTGGGCCACCCGTGCCCCCACTCTGGTAAGAGCCACAAGACCAGGATCATCAAAGAGTCATGCATGAATTCATGTCTCTATTCATATTTAATTATCTTCAATTAATTAGTAATTACATTTGAATTATTTTTTTTGGGGGGGGGGGGTTGGGTGGGGGATGGGAATATGACTACACGGTCGCAGTTACAAAAACAATGCAATGTCTTCAAGCAGATCAAACTTTGTCATTATTATATGTCATTTTCTGTGGCCATTGACCTGACTCAATGTTAGGTATTTGCTTATTGATATGTATTCATAAAATACATGCAGGAATTAAGAAAAAATACAGGCCTTATTTCAGGAAATATCACGCAAAACAATGGCAGACTACAACAGGGGAGAAACCATTGAAAGTAGTTTGATCATATTATTTTGACTCCAGAGCTTTTAGGAAAAGGCAACACAATTTGCTTATAAAGGCACATAGTAACCATGGTAATTAATGAGTGAAAAAAGACAAATATGCATAATTTATTAAAAAAAAATTAAAAAATTAAAAAAAGAAGAAAAAATACCATATAATAAATATAATCTGATATGGGCGCAAAAGGGGCAGGGGTAGTGACTAAGCGAGGGGCAATAACAGAGTCAATTACCGTATTCGACGTAATAAGCGCCCAAGGCGCTCTCAAAATTAGAAATAGGGGGCTCTTTTTAGAATATTATTTGGTGGAAAAAACAGAGTTGAAAGATAGATTTTATGGTTTATGGTGACAGCCTGAAATGTTTATATACGAGAGAGACATTTTTCCAGAATTTAATTGCCCATAATTAAGGGTGCATATAACACACGAGTGTGTATTATACGCGAATAAATAAGTGTTGTGTACATTGATCAAACGGAAGGGGTGCTAATTGGTATTGTTCACTAGCCAATATATTAGCAAATGTTTCCGTGGGCGCTTATTAGAGCGGGGCGCTTATTACGTCGAATACGGTAATCATAAATAAGGTACTGATAAAGTGTTTTTTGTAAACCATGTGCCATTAAACAAAATACATCAAATCACAAAGTGTACGAATGAAAGGGGAGACAGGATATAGGTGAAAGTTAGGCAGAGAATATGGTAGGAAAAATATATAAAAATCAAAAATAATTCAACAATCGGACAAATATGATTGACATCTCCTCTACTAAAAGTGACATTATTTAACAACATATTAAGGGACTGTGTTGAATGTTAGAGACAGAAGATGAGCTAGCAATGAGATTAAGTCAGAAGTTGAACACCTGTCCGCATGTTATATTTGTTTAAAATATCGTTGCAAACTGACGACTCATCTCTATGTGTGGGGAATCATAAATGTCGTTTTGATGACAACTTCTATAGCTTTTCTAATTCACAGAGTACAAGCATATTGTAGAAAATCCTCAAGAGATGAAGGTGATAGATGTTCGACACATTGGTAAATCAAACAGGTTGCTTTAATACGAAGAATTACAATCAAGGCGAATCTGGACACAATCCCCACGACAAGGTGGACACAGCCCCCATGACAAGGTGGACACAGTCCCCATGACAAGGTGGACACAGCCCCCATGACAAGGTGGACACTGTCCCCATGACAAGGTGGACACAGTGCCTATGACAAGGTGGACACAGTCCCCATGACAAGGTGGACACAGTCCCCATGACAAGGTGGACACAGCCCCCATGACAAGGTGGACACAGCCCCCATGACAAGGTGGACACATTCCCCTTGACCAGGTGGACACAGTCCCCATGACAAGCTGGACACAGTCCCTGACAAGGTGGACACAGTCCCCATGACAAGGTGGACACAGTCCCCATGACAAGGTGGACAGTCCCCATGACAAGGTGGACAGTCCCTGTGACAAGGTGGACACAGTCCCCATGACAAGGTGGACACAGCCCCCATGACAAGGTGGACAGTCCCCATGACAAGGTGGACAGTCCCCATGACAAGGTGGACAGTCCCTGTGACAAGGTGGACACAGCCCCCATGACAAGGTGGACACTCCCCATGACAAGGTGGACAGTCCCTGTGACAAGGTGGACACAGTCCCCATGACAAGGTGGACAGTCCCTATGACAAGGTGGACACAGTCCCTATGACAAGGTGGACACAGTCCCTAATACAAGGTGGATGGAATGTTTATAGAACATGTGCATATCACACTAAACACAATGCTAGGCACAATATCATGATGAGGTGCAGAATGTTGGAACAAAATAAAATTCCATGGGTGAGCTCTCCAAATGTTGACATGTTGCCTCAGGTATTTACCCTTTGTCGCTTATCAAGTGCTTGTAAAATTTGTACATAAATCGGTGTGGTACTGTTTGGACAAAACATACAAACTTTCGAAAACCTTCATGGCAACAAATATCACAGATCTTTCAGACAGGACATCATTCCGTAAATTTCAATTCAAGTTTCATGGAATAAGATAAACAGTGTTAAATATGCAGGAAAATTCTTTTTCCTATGTCCAAGAACAGGATAACAGAAACAGCTTAATAATCACTATATACTATAATCCATCATGTTCATGACATATTCGACAATGTAACTTATAATTTCTCATTAATTATCAACTTTCCAAGACAAATATTTGTTAAAACCATGCTTTACAAATAAAAAGAAATGTTTCCAGTCAAGCAGCATTTTCTGTTCAGGAAAAATCGGAGAAAATGAGAAAATCTCAAAATGAACAAAAAGTAGCCACTTGACGAGCACACATGTCAAGATGGCCGATCTGGACTGAGTTTCCTCCTCTTCTACACTGAGAGCTCCCCACCCCCCACCCCGAGCAGTGAATGACAGACATCTCCCCTCAGCAGCGTCGCCATGGAAATGCTAGACATAGAATATCCTCACTTTGGATGTGCTGACCATCATATCGCCGTCGAAGAAGTTGGTTTCTATGACTACATTGCCACTGCAACACAAGGAAGTAATGTTATTAATATACTCTTACATACATGACAAACTTGGGAGTTCATATTTTACGTCGTATCGGCATTATTCCAGCCATAAAACGGCTCATAGAAGTCAATGTTATTTTAAACCACAGTCACAAATATTCAAGCCATTTACTGCTGTGGCCTGCAGGTTCTACTACACCAAATCAGAATCAGTCGTTCAACAAGCAGTTTACGTTGCAAGCCTTCAAGATTGATTCATGTGGCAGCTGTGATTGGATGATTTTGTGTAAAATGTCCATACAATAATTAAAACTGACCATGTTTTTCTATACTTAATGCTGTCCTTTTTTACATTTAGGTGTGGAACTAGGGGTGGTGTGTTTAGCATCCTGAACTCGGAAAAGCTGGCTAAGCTAGTCTATTATATTTTTATTGCTGCTTTAAGGCCCGACTGTGCACACTTGTATATGTGTTAGCTTTTGAATGTTTAGTTATTTTAAAACAATTATAACATTACTAGAAGTCTATGGGAAGACATTTGGTTGTGTGTAACCTGCAAAAAACCTTGGACACTGCCAGGTCCACCACTACTTACTTCTTGTCTTAGTCAGATATTGTTTGTTTGTTTGTTTGTTGTTTAACACAGCACTCAGCAATATTCCAGCTATATGACAGCGGTCTGTAAATAATTGAGTCTGGACCAGACAATCAAGTGATTGATATCATGAGCATCGATCTACACAGTTGGGATAAGATTACAGGCATCAACCAAATCAGCGAGCCTGACCACCCAATCCTGTTAGCTGCCTCTCATGACAAGTATAGTCGCTGTAATATGATCGAGGTTGGTGTATAATTGGTGAGTTGTGCAATCTGCCGGTCAGTTCACATATGATTTTGTCAAAATTAATGTTAACATTGAAAGAAATTATGAAAAAATGATTAAAATATATTACAGATATACAATGAACATGTTTTATTCCAAGATAGTGTAACAACAGTATTAACTTGCAGGCTTCAGTACAGGATTGTTGACATGTATATCCAGTTTACTTGCTGCATATATATCATGTGGACCCTCTACACAGCAGTATTTGGGGGGGGGGGGGGGGGGGGGGGGTTGCGGTAGACTAACATTTAGTCTCTGAAATCTTATATTACACAATATCCTTCTTGACTCTAAAAATTAAAAAATTCCCTATACTGATTTCACTAGGGTTGCAGTATACACAAGAAATACAGTATGCCATGTCGAGATAAACAACTTACTTGAGTACATTAGCTGGCATCATCTGACTCTCTGGAGCCGCCTCTATAACAGACTGCCATGTGTTTGTGGAACCAGGGATGACAAAACCAAACTCAAAATACCACTCTGAAACAAAACAAACCAGGCTATCAGCTTGACCAGTGGGAGAAGTGAATGGTATTTAACTTTCCAGCTATTACCACAGCGTTATGAACCAGTCCTGTAGTGCTTGCCAAAGTGCCCAATAGTTCAGGTATCATAGTGAATGAGTTGGGTTTTATCGCCTCTCAGACGTTTACCACTTCAGTGAAACCCACGAGCACGGGTATGGCACTGACAAACCTAGAAACATAATCGGGGCAAACCGCGATTCAAACCCACAATCGTAGGTTTCTGACATGCCCAAGGGACGCAACTCTGTAAAGCGAATCACAGCGCCTTAGAAGACTGGGCCACCCGTGCCTCCTAAGGTATCAGAGGAACTAGTAGAAATTTGCCATTTTGAAGGGCTTTGCCATATGATATCATTATAAGGACTAGTGGACTAAAATTGTTTCTACCAATGTTACCACATGCAAATAGTCAAGGGAACATGGGAAACTTGTACCTTCTAAACATTTCCCTTTGAAGAGAACCCTCTGTTCAAGCCGGAATTTCTCCATGGCTTCTTGGGAAGAGAAATTTAATTCCCTTGACACAGCTCTGCATTTTAGGATTTTCTTGGGGACTCGAGCTGTAATATTAATAGGAAGACATGTTTAAAAACTGCAATGTGAACTGTTTATAGATACAGCGGCTGTCCGACAAATAAAAGAGAGTGATCTGAAGTGTTGTCATTCTACTGATCTTATCTTTGTTTCTTTATGAAACTTCAAGATGTTTAAGTCTCTCAAGGAATAATTTATTGTTCACACTTCCGAATTAAAGCTACAATTATAAATAGACCACAGCAAATCTAACCAGCAATTCTGTGCACCAGGTCAGCTTGATCAGGGTTGAGTCCAAAGCTAGTAAAATTAATAAAGGATTTTTCTGTTGATATCCTAGGGAACTACCACTTTTAGCATCAAGTAGATAACAACTTTAAAGCAGATCAAAAGTTACTTTCTAACCCAGCCTGCCACGCTTGAGGCGACATATTCTCAGACACAACAATAATGTCTCTTACCTTCATGTTCAGAATCAGGAGCAGATCTGAAAAACAATTTTACCATAGATATGAAAAGAATACTCATAAAACATGCAAACAATATCAAACTTTTAAACTTATAAAAGCACATCACGATTATCAAAAAAGAAAAAAGCACATAACTTCACACTGGATCTGCTGAATGAGTTAACATATTTTTTCTGTAATTGTATTTGTCAGATTGATGGATGGATGGATGGATGGATGGATATAATTGGGGTGTTTTGTTTGTTTTTGCCACACTCAGCAATATTCTATAACGGAACCAAGTCAGCAAGCCTGACCACCTAATCCTGTTAATCGCCCCTTACAAGACCAACAGTTGATAGCTTGAGACACCCAACCGCATGTAGATTTGTAAATTTTTTAGCAATGAAATGTCTAGATCACCTCCATTAACCAGAAACACACAAAAGCCTCAATCACTGAAACTACAGACAAAAATCAATCTGACGTTCACTGAGAAGAATAGAAGGTATTGAATGTGTGCTTCAATGACAAGCACAAAACCACACCCTTAACATGCAAAATGGAAATCAATTCCATACTTGAATACCATCATCAAGCATGATAAACATGATAAAGAGGGCTCCCTGACTGAAACCTTCAGACATAAGATATATAAAACATATTCCCCCGACCAACTTGTCACGTCGATTTGTTTGTTGGTTGTTCGGTTTATTTTATTTTTTTTATTTTATTGTTTTTAGAAAGACACACCTGTTACATAAATGGGCTTCCGCCCAGGGTAGCAGAAAGCCCATGACATAAAGCACAACTTATCAGTACATCTTACTTTGTTGTTTTTTTTATACAGAAAATAACATACTTCTCACTCACACATTCACTCTTGTTTATATATCATATTGCAGTTTAGGAAAGTACATGGTCTCAAACATTAAAATCTTAAGTACAAAACTAAAATTAAATTGAAAGCTGCTCCTCATTTTCGAAAAGTTGATGATACAGCATCCAAGCACCATAGAATTTCTGTTGATTACCTGTCTTGAAAGCAATATCTTTTTCAATGTTGTATCGTGAAAAAGCTTCCTTTTTATAAACATGATATTAAGGTTTTGTATTTTGGAATTTGCATCTATAAATATAGTATTTTGCAATTAGTAAAAGTAAATCAAACACTTTATCTGTTTTTATGTTCTCTTTAACTCCAAAAAGTATCAATTCTGCACAAAATGTCATATTATAAACATGAAAGCACTGGTCGATCCACAATGACACTTCATCCCAAAATTGTTTTATTACATCACATTCCCAAAACAAGTGAGTAATTGTTTCCTTTTCATTGTGACAGAAGGAGCACAAATCATTCTGAGCATAATTGAGTAAATACAGAAAAGTATTAGTGGTGAGAATTCTGTGGGTAATTTTGTATTGAAACCATCGCAGTTTGACATCCTGTGTTGTACTGAAAATTTTATTATAAATATTGTTCCAATTTAAGTTTTCAAATTGTAATTCCCACTTTTCCTGCCCTTTAGTTTTTACTTCTGTAGAAACCAATGAAAAATAAATATGTTTTGAACCGGACTTGGAACTACAAATAGTTTTTACCACACAGCGCTGATCCTCCACAGAATCTGTTGTAACTCTAACTAAATTTAGAGCTCCAAGGTATTGTTTAACGCTGCTAACAACACCATAAAACTCCAAATAGGATGAACAAATACCATACATATCATTAAATTCCTCATATGACAGAAACTCCTTATTGGCCTTGACCAAGTCTATAATTTGGGAGATGCCCTTCTCAAACCAGCATTTCAAGAAAAATGATTTCCTGTCAATTTTAATATTAGGGTTATAAAAAATTGGTTCAGTTAAAAAACTACTGAAAGATTCTGGCTTGATTTTCTTATCAAGCACTATAAATGACTGAAAACAACTTTTCCAAAACTCATTACTTATCAAAGATAATTTTCTTTCAAAAAACGTCACACCAAACTCACCAAGTTTACACAAATAAGGATATGTAGATTTAAATAGGTGCTTCCATTTTGGATCACCTGAGGACACAAGCCTCCTTATCCATGTGGCCTTAAGAGATGTTACATATGAAAAGATATTCACCATACCTAAGCCCCCTTGCTTAACAGGTTGACAAACTTTAATCCTCTTTACTTTGTCTCGTTTATCACTCCAAAGAAATTTAAAAAGCATAGCATTTAAAGTAACAAGAAAATCATTTGGGGGATCAGGCAGTGATAACAATAGATAATTGAGTTTTGAAATCAACAAGGATTTAATGATTGCCACCCTACCAATTGGTGTAACTATCCGTTTCATCCACCTATTCATAATCTGTTTTAACTCAAATAATTTGTCTTTAAAGTTCAACTGAACCATTTTTTTCAGATTTGTGCAAAATTTGACTCCTAGAATTCTAAACTCTTCTGGATTCCAACCAACAGGCAAATCATCTTTGAACTTTTCCTTACAACCTCTCTTCGAGCCAAGCCAGATAACTTGAGTTTTATTATAGTTAATCTTAAGACCAGATATTTTGGCAAAACAATCAAGAGAGTTAATACATGATACAAAGGAGGACTGACTACCATCAAGTAATATTTCCATATCATCAGCATACTGACTAAGAAGATACTCACTACCGTCCACCAGGATACCTTTGACATCTCTATGGTTGTTCGGTTTATTGTTTGACGCTGCACTCAGCAATATTCCAGCTATATGACAGAGGTCTGTAAATAATCGAGTCTGGACCAGACAATCCAGTGAGTAATATCATGAGCATCGATCTACGCAATTGGTGAGGTGAGGTGAAATTGGGTTTAACGTCGCGTCCAAGATTATTGCACTTACATAGCGACGTGCATGCACGTGTATGTGTGTGTGTGGCTGCTTGTACTAGTCCGGACTGATGCCGATTTATAGTGCTAGCTCACTGAGATACCATGCCGCAGTTTAACATGAATATCCCACTCACACACAGTATACTGACTCCGAGCCGACCAGTCCTTGTTTTAGCCCCTTAATGCCGAGCGCCAGACAGAGTAACAACAAGTACAATCTTTTAACGTCTTTTTGTATGACGCGGCCCGGGATCGAACCCTGGACCTTCTGCTCTCCGGGCGGACGCTCTACCACAAGACCACGGAGGCGGTCCTACGCAATTGGTGTTGATGACATGCATCAACCAAGTCAGCAAGCCCGACCATATTATCTGCAACCATTCTCACTATGTATGCACATGCAATAGTTTGCCGTGATACACATGATAAAACAGTGTTAAGTAATTCAGGTAATGCGAACACAATCTTTAACATTGTTGAAGTTGGTCATTTGGGCAACTGTTGTTACCCTTTTACTGTTCATCTAAAAATGAGAAAACCTCAGCTTACATCCTTCCTGTCTGCCTATCAGTGAGTGAGTGAGTTGGGTTTAACGCCACTTTTAACAGTATTCCAGTTATATCGCAGCATGTCAACTTAATGTGGGAAGAAAGCCTGAAGTAATGCAGTTCTTAGACGTTTACAACTTCTGTGAAACCCACGAGCACGGGTATGGTGCTGACAAACCTAGAAACATAATCAGGGCGAACCGGGATTCGAACCCACAATCATAGGTTCCTGGGTGCCTAAGGGACGCAACTCTGCACAGCAAATCGCGGCACCTTAGATGACTGGGCCACCCGTGCCCCCTCTGCCTATCAAGCCAACTAGAGCTAGTGGTGAAACAATTCAGCAAGGTCACGATTGATACGTATAATCATGCCAAATCACGTGGAAATTTCTTGACTATGAATATCTCAGAGCAGGTTCCAAAGGAAGAGCTGGCTGTAGACTCATGTTCATTGTGCTATTATAGCAGTCAACATAAAAATGTAATTGCAATATTTGACTGACAAAAATGCTGAGTTGGGGGTGGAGTAGAAGTAATTTATTTTAGCAAGTGTAATGTCTTGTATCGACGCAGACAAAGTATCGCATATTGTATTGTCGCAAGAAAACATATGAAGCACCAGTGCACCGATGTATCGTTTCACCCCTATTGCCAACGTCATTCAACATTTAGCCAGAACATGTGTATGTATGCATGTGTTTCAGTTATGCATGCTATATTTATATCACAAGAAATGTACATCCATGTAACGTATTTTCACTACAATTGAAACCCTTTGAGGTGAAATGGGGTTTAACGTCGCGTCCAAGATTATTGCACTTATATAGCGACGTGCATGTACGTGTGTGTGTTTGTGTGGCTGCTTGTACTAGTCCGGACTTATGACGATTTATAGTGCTAGCTCACTGAGATACCATGCCGCAGTTTAACATGAATATCCCACTCAGACACAGTATACTGACTCCGAGCCGACCAGTCCTTGCTTTAGCCCCTTAATGCCGAGCGCCAGACAGGGTAACAACAAGTACAATCTTTTAACGTCTTTTGGTATGACGCGGCCAGGGATCGAACCCCGGACCTTCCGCTCTCCGGGCGGACGCTCTACCACTAGACCACGGAGACGGTCTTGAAACCCTTTGAAAGGAATACAAAATGTCCAAAAAACAAAAAAACAAAAACATTTAGCCAGAACAACAACAAAGAACTTACAGGTCATCACTCGACTGCCACATGATCTTCCCGTTGTCAGCATCTCTCAAGTTCATCCAGTTGCTGATGAATGTTAAGGAACAAATAGATCTCTCATTGAACATAACCAATAACAGTGTTTATTTGTTGTAACAAAGCAGTCAGCATTATCATCCTCATCACCATGATCCCCGTGACCTGCATCTGGACCGGGAAACCAATGGCTGATATTATGAGCAATGTCCCACACCATGATGGTACGATGGCACGATGGTACGATGGCACGATGGCACGCAATCACTCTCATTCATTAGAATTGATCTTCAGCAACCCACATATGTTGTAAGAGGTGACTAACGGGATAGGGTGGTCAGGCTCACTGACTCACTGACTTTGCTGATGTATGTCATCGTATCCCAAATGCATAGATCGATGCTCATGATGTCAATCACCGGATGTCTGGTCCACACTCAATTTTTTACAGACTGACGTCAAACAGTGAGTGAGTTGGGTTTAACGCCGCTTTTAACAGTATTCCAGTTATATCACGGCATGTCAGCTAAATGTGGGAGGAAAGCCTGAAATGATGCAGGTCTCAGACGTTTACCACTTCGGTGAAACCCACAAGCACGGGTATGGTGCTGGCAAACCTAGAAACATAATCGGGGTGAACCAGGATTCGAACCCACATTCATAGGTTTCTGGCGTGACCAAGGGACGCAACACACCGAATCGCTGCACATCATAAAATAAATAGGTAAGCAGGTAAGGCATCAGACTTTTAACTCATAATTTTAATGAGTCGATGTCTAATTTTGATGTATCAGGGACAATGTACAGATTTTTTAACCACTGTACAGTAGTTATATCTCACAAGTTGATATATTCTTTTCTCTTGGCATGTGAATCACAACCTGAATCATTTCTTTATAATTTCAGAGATCAAAGATGGCATACTGTAGGGCACAAACATATATGCAAGAGAGCACAGTGAATGTTATGCTATTTGTAGCCAACCGGAAAATACTAACGAATCTACGTAATCAGGTTAAACATATATGCAAGAGAGCACAGTGAATGTTATGCTATTTGTAGCCAACCGGAAAATACTAACGAATCTACATATTCGGGTTGTTGAACAGTTTGTTATTATTCATGTGTTTTTACATCAATATAACTTATAATGTTTCATATATGTCGCGAAACATGGGTTGTTAATCAATGTACCAAGGACCTCGTATTGAAATAGATTACTGCAGTGCCAACTCCATATGCTACATGGTAATTTTAATTTTAAAAACAGAACTGTTTGCCGAATCACTATGACTCCAGAATTTTAAGAAATCTTTCATTTAAAGGGGAAGTGTACACGCAAAAATCACTTTCTTTCTTTTTCTAAACAAAACGCAATTTTAGAATTAGTTAGTATCTGTGTTTGAAAATATACGCTCATTTTTTTTCACAGTGAAAGTAGGAAGCTCACAATAGTGTTAAAATGATATGCCGTTATGAGGCCTTCGTTTTACGAGCGAAATAGGCCTGAGTTATCCCCCTTAGATTATGACGTAATTGGTGCCAATTCAACTGGGTCCCTGTCTATTCTCAACGCAAAAGATATCAAGGACCAGTTTGCGGTAAAACAACATGGTCTACGACACACTCCGGCGCAGTAGTGACTCAGCATAACACAATTCTGGCTGGCATCTGAGACGCTAGAATCACAAAACTGTACCTACACCACGTGAAGCGGCTCTAACAAAGCATGATGACGTCATAATGTTTATCAATTGGCACCAATGACGTCATATTGCAAGGGGCATAAGCCATGGTGTTTTTGTTATGGAAATAGAACACTTGGTAAATGTGAAAAATATAAATCGTTTTAGTGCAAAAAATATGTTAATTAAATATGATGTTTTTATATTTTTGTCTATGACACTTCTATGTTAACACTTTTAATGTGGAAAAAGTACAAGAAAAATTGCTTCATTTCCGTGTGAACTTGCCCTTTAAGACTTTTACAAGGAATACAAACTTAGCCCTTCTTTCCCATTTTATTCTTTATCATCTATCTATCATGTCTGTACTTGAATATTTTGTGAAACTGTAATTATCAACATGATCAATATCTTCGGACGTTACACAAAACAGTGACCTGCTGGTGACCATAATAAACAATGACAAACATGATATATTGACATGAATAGAATAGATTTCATCTTCCCTACTCTCATCACATTTCACTGCCTAAGTGTACACGCCATCGTTGCACTAAAGGCAACAGTATCTTACCTCATCTTAGCATAACATGAATATCAACCTAATTAATACGTTCAATTATGCTGTTACTGCTACAGCATGATAATGACAGACACCGTTTTCTAACACGCGATGTCACGTTAGTTCAGTCTTTGCTTGTGTATTTCACGAGTTACAACATAAAACTGTTCTTACATGCGCTTATCATTGTAGTGATAACACAGACGGAAAAGCATAATCCCACAAATTACCTGTATTTGTCACTGCTAGAAATTAATCAGGAACTGCAAAGAGCAAAACGATTGTTTATCGACCTATTTGGCCTAATTGCAGTTTCCAAACTCCTGTCAGTTTAAACTAATGAAATTGTTGATGATTAAGGAAGGTCAGTGAAGGATACAGCCTGAATCCCTTGAGAATATCTTCTGCTTTAGCTGGCATGTTGTTGGGTCTGTTATGTTGTGGTTTGCTTGGAAATCGTCGGCTATCGGTTTCCAGAGAACCAGTCAACAATCCAATATGGCGTTTTGGGAAGTTCCGATCACGTCACGAATATTCATACACATATATAATACTAACCTACGACTAATCCTTGTTTAGTTCTCAAAACGAGAACGTCTGTCGCATTCCCACAAACCGCAGTTGCGTACCCCTTGTAATTCACTCACATACAAGTATAAACGGGGAGCATCGGCGGGAACTATGATAGACGAACGTAACTTTATATATCTCTCATGTGTAAAGTTGTTTCAGACGCACGTGGATCAAAACGGCAAACTTTAGTTGCGGTTGAATAAATAGGCTCATCATACTCGAATCTCCGGTAACATCATTTTGACGGATGTCTGCTTACAGAGTATGACAGGGATACTGGGCTCTGGGGTTGCCGGTAGCGATGTTAAATGTATCACCCAGCTTAGTAATCAGCTAAAATGATAAACAAACAACACATTTTATCTGAATTTGGGAGAGGTGCAATTACATGAAATAGTGGTTCAATGAAAATTACATTACACTGTGCAATACATATCTCATGCTTTAGCTTTTTCTGATACAAAATCATACAAACATGAAGTTTTTCAACAGAGCTGAGTCTACAAAAGACGAGGTATGTTTAAGGTCCCTTTTTGGCCCAGAGATCGACATAATTTCAGAAATTATCTTCTTCTTTTTTTAAAAGTGTTATGAAAAATATGAGACACTTTCATATTAATGAGAACAATACTTTGTTTATTTCAACTTATGTAGGTTTTGAATAACAACCCTAAATGGATCGAAAAGGTTGATTTTAGAGGGGTTTTTTTCCCAGGAGCAGTTTGAAATTATTTGAAGATGCGTACGTCTTTGACCCAAGCTGAGTGAGTCTCTTAGAAGGAGTAGTTGAAAGACAGTGCAAACATTCGTAACATTCGTACAACTTCGGACACGGAGTTGCTCATATTCTCTTGAAATTGGAAAAAGGGCATTTGTCATTCATTTTTGGCATTGTTGTAACCTGAAGTGCCAGAAGTAAGAATCTTGCAAGTCTAAGAAAAACGAAATGGCAGTTGTCAACCATTAGAACGTGTCTGAAAGTTTTATTCAAGAAATAAACGACTCGTGGTCGTTGTTTATCGTACAATAAAAAGCTGCAAGGAGAATATAGCATTGGGGTGCCGCCAAGAGTGGTTTATTCTCCCTGCAGTGTTTTATTGTACGATAAACAACGACCACGAGTCGTTTATTTCTCACATTGGATATCAATATACAGCCACTTTAATGACGATGATGATGATGATGATGATGATGATGATGAAATGTCCAAGCTCTTAAAAAAAATCTACCCGTATTTATATAATGATGACTCTAAATCTAAACTCGGCAGTGTCGGAAAAGTCCATTTTATGCACAGGTGGGTATTTTCCGCATATTCTCACAATCCTCACGTCGAGGGGGGGGGGGGGGGGGGGGGGGGGGGGGCACAATCAGCCAGCTAACACGCAGTCATCGTCTAAGGAAAACATCGAGCGATCCCCGAAGGTTTGAAGAAAGAAACACGTGACCTAAACTGTTCCAATGATATGAAATTCCCATCCTTCCAACAACACCAGTGTTATAACTACCAGGTAGGACTTCCGGGTAAATAAACCGACCGACGTCAAATAAGCAGCGCTTGGAACGAACACTTTCTTATCTTAAGTCTGTCCTTGCGACAAGCATTTGATATTCGGTACATATAGTTCTATCCGGATTTTCGACAGGTTAATTTGGAGTGACAATTTTGGACTCACGTTGACAACCATGTACTTTCCACTAAGCCCATGTATATTTTCTATTTGGTCATCCAAGGGCAGCGGTTCCTTTCCAATGTATTTCAGCAGACGCCGATAATCATAAAATAGTATATTGATAAGTGGTATGGAAAAAAGTATTTCATTATGATGTTGCAAATTGGCCAAACTTTTAGGCGGACCACACCTTTGCTACTTCAATATACTTATCAAAAATAAGCATTTAAGACAATTCAATAACTACTTTACTAATTCTTGGAAATGCGTTTCAATAGGAGAAAAAAAACATTGGGACTATTTTAATTCAAAGGTGAAGGACACCGGAAATAGTAAACATCATAAGTCAGGGATGTACTTCGGCCAAAAAAAACACATCAACTCACAAGGTACAAAGTCGTCAAAACACGTAATTATTCAAACGCAAGGCATAACATGCATAGTTTTCAAAATCGAGACCTTCATTTTAAGTAGGTGAATTAGTGAAACTGTTTTGAAAAGCAAATAAACGAAATAAAACAGATTTCTTCCAAAGGGCACGACAAACTGGCCTGATCATGATCAGACTGCTTCAGTCGGACTGGAAGAATTACGGAGAAGCAGTTACCAGAATTGTATTGTCCCGATGCATGCACGTTGCCGTATGTTACAGTGAAGGTGTCCCCGATAATTAATTCGCCTCCATTTATTTTTCTATTCCAAAACTCATTTATGATCCCAGTGGATGGATGGACCTGTGAAGATCGGGATAGGATACGTCTTCAGTAACCCATGCTTGCTATGTAAGGCGACTATGCTTGTCGTAAGAGGCGACTAATGGATCGGGTGGTCAGGCTCGCTGACATGATAGATGCATGTCATTGTATCCCAATTGCGTGGATCGAGGCTCATGATGTCAATCACTGGATTGTCTGGTCCAGACTCCATTTAGAGACCACCGTCATATCGCAGGAATATTGCTGAATGCGGCGTTAAGCATAGGTTGATGAAGACCTATTCTACCCAGGATCTTCACGCATGTATACACATTGCACACATCTAGCAGATAACTTGTAATCTCTAACTTCTAACAACTCTGAGGCCCCATAAATATATTTCTTGTTTCCCTGACCCTCACCTGACCCTAAAACAAATTGGCTCTGCCATAAATATTTTTTACAATGTTTTTTTACATGCTCATTTGATTTAGGTGCCACATGTATGGAGTTCTTTTCCCTTTTTCATTTTGAAGTTGCACATTTTGATGTACAGTAACTTATCCGACCAGCAATGACATTTTCGTGATGTTTCTTCATAAAGGACAAATAAATTCCTTATTCTTGAAATCATAGTTTTCATTTAGTACAATCCGTATTAAGGCTGGTTTGGTCTGGAAATCAAACCTACTATTTTTTATTTTTGTAATTAATAAGCAACAAGAAATATTATGTGACCTAATATTGTAATATTGTTTAGAATTGTTAATGAAACTATTTATGTTTTCTTGACTTTTCATGTCATTTTAGAAATTACTTTTTCTAATTGCAGGTTTTTTAATTTCAAACTGAAGCAAGATGGCTGGACGTGGACTGGTTGATGGGGAATGTGGCGGAAGCAACTCCCTCATGAAGTTAAACTCCCATTTCACTCGGGATCGGGCATTTAAACAAGTAAGTACATTTGTAGTCATGTGATAAAACAAAATGTAAGGTTAGGTACCAGGGAATCACTTTTGACGTGATGCAGTGTTTGAAATTAGGGCATCCTGGAGTCCTTTTGGTCCTCTATGGTACTGTATTCACTGTAATAAGCACTCTGGGTGTTTAGAAAAAAATGACAAAGGGGGCAGTTTATTCAAACTCAAACGTTGATAGTGAAACATTTTTGTCATAGTAACTAGGCAAATATATACCCTTCTACATCACCGCTGTGTTGTCTATACACAAGGAAATACTGACTGCCATTTAAATGTTTAAGCTTAGTATGGGGTGCTTCCACCAGTTCTGTCCCCGGCGTCTGCCATCTCCTCCTTGTCAGTCAAAGATGATGCGTCTCGGACAGTTTCCTCACCCAGTGTGCCCGTGTCCGAGCCTACGTTAAGCAGCCAGCAGCCTTGGACGTCCACATGTTTTCTCCAAAGCCCACCCCTGCTAGCTCGGCGACCTGAACCTTCCTAGCACTTCCTGACTGTCAGCTGCCAGTCGCCTAATGTCCCAGGCTCCGCCAGGCGATGTGCCACTCCACGATCTACAGGTGGCAGGCGCAGTTCCATTGAAGAAAAGCAACTCCATATCAACAACCTCGAAATTCAAGGTGGTCAATCTGGCAGTGTCACACTGGGCCGAGCTCCTTTACATGTCACATCTCGTGATCAAGTCAGACAATCTATCGGTCATGTGGTATATCAATAGGATGGGCTCCACCAACTCGATGTTGCTCCTGTCGCTGACACTTGACTTCTTCCCGTTGATGGCCTCCCAGAACATTCTGGTCCAAGTGAGGGACATACCCCGGATCCACAATCTCATAGCCGACCTCCTCTCCCAACCAGACCAACTGTCACCAACAATGGCGTTACCACCAATGATTTTCCAGTGGATTTGCCACCTTTACCAGACGTCAACCTCTTCTCAAACAGGTTCAATACTCGGTCCGTCTCTCCATCCCGAATCCTCAGGCACCGGACCCCGACACTCTGGACATCTCATGGGAGAACCTCAATGGTTACCCCTTTCCCCTGACCGGCTTTCTACCACAGGTCATTCAGAAGGCTACCAGGTTGGTCCCTTGGTCCTGGCGCAACAATTGCACACCAGCGCAGATAGGTGATACCGATGCTCCGTATCCTGTATGTACAGAATAAATATTGCAATTGTTGCTCCTTTGTTTATTGTCTTTATAATTCAGGTTCCCAGATTGAATACCCTGCGGAGGAGGAAGTGACATGTATGGAGACTCCAATCTTCAACATCGATGTCGCCACAAGTCCTTACTTGCTCACCTCTGCCTTGTGCACGTCATGTCTGGTTATTGGTGCATTGATTCTCTTGTGGATATTGTCGATCGTTCCTCTTCTTGAGTTAGTTGCTTCAATCCCTCAGGCATGGTTGATAGCTTCGACGAGGCATTAAAAGAGATGCCAGGCTAGCTCAGCCTATTGTTCATCAGAGATAGTGGTGTGATTCGTCTTGTAGGACTGATTGTCTGGAGGGAGCTCCCTTCCAGATCGGTTATAAGTCGTACACCAGTGCCGTAGCCAGCCTGGGGGGGGACTGTAGCCCCCCCGTAAAAAAAAGTTAACTACGGCCTTGTACGCTGAATCAATCTCTATTCAAGCTATGCAGACGTTCGTGTACGGGATTACAGTGCGTGGTGATGCTGTGAGGTGTTCAGGTGAAATGTTTTAAGAAGCTGGAAACTTTGTTCAAACCCGTTTCCACATAAGGGTAGAAGAAAGAAGTAAGAAATGCATATTGTGAGATAGGATAAAGATATAGATAGCATTGAATTAGTGATTTTCCTTGAGGACTACCACTTTTACAGTTAGATAGATAGCAACACTGTAGTAGACTAATGAAAGTATGATTTATTTCTATCCCTAATATGTTTATTTTTTCCAGGAAGGTTTTCGACCTCCAGGGCAGGGGCCTCCAGTTGGAATCCAGGTATATATAGTCACCACCATGTATTGTTTTATGTTCATATACTTTATGTCTTTTCAAGGCTGTGAATTGCCCAGTTATCTAAGGTGCCACAAGATACTGAGAGTTGTGTCCCTTAGTAGTGTCAGGATGTGCTGTTTGTGGATTTAGGTCTTTTAGCTGACAGGCTGTGCTATACCATAACAATTGTCCTCAGCTGCGTTAACCAAAACCATACCAAATAGCCTTGTACTATTCTCAGATTTCATCACTTTGTTTATGTTTATTTGTTGTTTCACGCCGCACTCAGCAATAGTCCAGCTATGTGACGGCGGTCTGTACATAATTGAGTCTGGACCAGACAATCCAGTGATTGACATCTACGCAATTGGGATACGATGACATGCATCAACCAAGTCAGCAAGCCTGACCACCTGATCCCGTTAGTCGCCTCTTTTGACAATCATAGTCGCCTTTTAACATTAGTTAACATTCTAAGCAAAGGTGACTGTGCTTGTCGTAAGAGGCGACTGTCGGGATCGGGTGGTCAGGCTTGCTGATTTGGTAGATGCATGTCGTCGTATCCCAATTGCGTAGATCGATGCTCATGATGTCAATCACTGGTTTGTGTGATCCTGATCCAGTTATTGACAGTATGGCATCATATATATCAGGAACACTGCTGTCTGTGGCTCAAAACAACAAACAAATAATGGTACTTGATTCATTTTATTAAAGTCCTACAAAATGTGAATATTTCCAATTGATATTCCCTCTTGGCACTATAAATATGTGAATGAGTGAGTGAGTGAGATTGGTTTTACGCCGCTTAAAGCAATATTCCAGCCATATCCTGGCAGGGGACACCAGAAATGGGCTTCACATTGTACCAATGTTGGGAATAGAACTCGGGTTTTCAGCATGACGAGCAAACGCTTAAACCGCTAGACTACAACACCGCCCTCACTATGAATAAAAGAAGGAATGTTAATGGTTATGAAACAGGTATCAAATGTATGATGTGTCTTTTATCATTTGTGTTATTTGGGGACACATGATCTGTAGTGCTGCAAGTAAATGTGCAGAGTTGTGCCCCTTAGTTGCCAGGATCCGCTGACCATAGCATCAAATTATTTAGTAACCTGATTATGATCCTTGGACTTCAGCTTGAATTCTTTATGCAAGCAGTAAACATCTACGATCTGCGCCACATTGGGTGTTCCCCTCTCATTAAGCTGACACACACTGACGTAACTCAGGGAGTTCAAATCACGCCAAACAACCCGGGTTCGATTCCCCACATGGGTTTGATGTGTGAAGCCCATTTCTAGTGTCCCCTGCTGTGATACTGCTGAAATATTGCTAAAGTGACGTAAAATCATACTCACTCACTCACAGAGTTCAAGGCAATGTGACCAGCTCCATGGTGTAGTGGATAGAGTGTCTGCCTGGAGAGCAGTGGTTCGATCCCCGGCCACGTCCTACCAAAAGACGTTAAAGATGGTACTTGTTGTTACCCTGCCTGGCACTTGGCATTAAGGGGCTAAAACAAGGAATGGTTGCCTCGTAGTCAGTATACTGTGTCTGAATGGGGTATCCATGTCAAACTCAGCATGGTATCTCATTGGGCTAGAACTATAAAATAGGTATTTGACCAGACTAGTTCAAACAGCCACACACATGTGGATGAAGGGGTATTGGGGTAGCCTCGTGGTTAAGGCGTCGGCTCGTCACGCCGAAGACCCGGGTTCGATTCCCGACATGGGTTCAAAGTGTGGAGCCCATTTTCCAGTGTCCCCAGCCGTGATATTGCTGGAATATTGCTAAAAGCGGCGTAAAACTATACTCACTCACTCGTGCATACAGGTCGCTGTATAAATGTCATGATCTTGGACGCCATGTTCAACCCCATTTCACAATGCCTCATATCAATGCTAAACCAGGAGGTCGGGTAGCCTAGTGGTTAAAGCGTTCACTCGTCAGGCTGAAGACCCGGGTTCGATTCCAGACATGGTTACAATGTGTGAACCAATTTCTGGTGTCCCCTGCCGTGATATTGCTGGAATAATGCTAAAAACGGCGTAAAACTATACTCACTCACTCGTGCATACACGTCGCTGTATAAATGTAATGATCTTGGACGCCATGTTCAACCCCATTTCACCTCGCCTCATATCAATGCTAAACCAGGCGGTCGGGTAGCCTAGTGGTTAAAGCGTTCACTCGTCACGCTGAAGACCCGGGTTCGATTCCCGACATGGGTACAATGTGTGAAGCCCATTTCTGGTGTCCCCCGCCGTGATATTGCTGGAATATTGCTAAAAGCGGCGTAAAACCATACTCACTCACTCACTCAATGCTAAACCCAACCCACTGTGTAATGTGTAATGTGGTGACAGCTAACATGGCTTCTGTGATTGTTTTCAGGCTGGGAAACCCTTAACTCAAATAAGTCAAGATGAGGTGAGTAATTTGAATATACCAAACAATGTACTCAAGACCCTTCTAGGTTAAAACTGCTGTCAAGACTGTTTGCACAACAGATTTTAAATGCTTGCATTATTTTATTTTCTGATACATCATGTTCAAAGCGACTAAAATGGTAGCTTATTCGACCTAAATTTCAATTTGTCTACTGTCTAAAATTCAGAGGAAGCCAAATGACTACCTTGAAAAATTTCTAGTGGCAACTAAATTCTATTGCTTTGCATTTGAAGACACAAAAATGAATAACAGCTGATTGTGGAATACATGTCTGCTGATAAGTGTACTCGCGTATAATACCTCCTATAGTTGACAACAATACATATATATTATTAGACCCGTGAAGATCCCGGGGTAGAATAGGTCTTCAGCAACCCATGCTTGCCGTAAAAGGTGACTATGCTTGTCGTAAAAGGCAACTACCGTATATCTCTGTGTATAAGGCGAGTTTTTCGTGCCTAAAATGAGGGGGTTAAGAAGGGGGGTCGTCTTATACACGGAGTCGAAGATCTCACATTTTTTTCCACTGGCGATGTCAACCGGCGTCCGATAGCCAGCCCAGCATTTGACAATGAAACTTTGCATTTAGTCCTAAATAACTGTTCCAATAACTATTTCCATATATAAACTCTTATTACATACTCTTATTGGCCAAATTTCACATTTATAGAATAGAAAAATATAGACACTTTAATAAAGCCAAACAGACTGAATTCTATACGAAATGGGCTCCTTATGAAAACCTTTTGAAAATATAAACACTTGCTATTCCAAAACTTTACTAAATATATATCCTGCATTCTGTCTTCATAAGTACTAAAGCTTCTAGTGAGTGTGAATGTGTGTATGGATGTGTGTGAATGATATGTACTTTCTTAAAAAACCTTGGTCATGTATCTTGACTCGTACCAAAACATGATGTACTTTTACCAGGAACAATAAAAAAAAAAAAATAAAATAAAAAAATACATACATAAACATGATCTGTATCTCTTTTCCTTGCATAAAGTTTAATAATTTCTGCAAATAAAGTTGAAATGACCCTCGCCTCGATGCAGATTGTCAAACCACCTGACACGTTAAAACAATCAACATCCGTGAGTAGAGATCCGGAAGTACCGGTAAGCATTTGCATATTGCACATGTGACCTAACATGTGATAACCGGTGAAGCTGAAATCAATTCCCGCTGTTTTTACAGTTGTATTAACAACTGTTGGAGACGGTGTGTATAAGTGATTGTGGAACGAACACGCTGAATGTGAAGCAAATATAAGCCTAGTTAGTTCAACATAGTTAATTGGCGATTAAATTACTCACCATTGTCTCTTATATGTTATTACTTCATAAATGAATTTTATTTTACGGGCACCAATTTGGTGTTGTACCGTGTAAACACAAAATGGCGACGTGTGCTGGAGTTACACACGCGACCTATCATTGTAGAAAAAACAACACAACATATTTTTATTGCATATATAAGGTTTGTGTGCGCACTTGTGATGTGCTTCATTCTAGATCGCCTTATACACGGAGTATAGGATTTTGGGTTGATTTTGAAGGCGTGTACAGGGGGGTCGTCTTATACGTGGGGTCGCCTTATACACAGCGAAATACGGTAACGGGGTCGGGTGGTCAGGCTCGCTGACTTGGTTGATGCATGTCATCAATCCCAATTGCGTGGATTGATGCTCATGATATTAATCACTGGATTGTCTGGTCCAGACTCGATTATTTACAGACCGCCATCATATAGCTGGAATATTGCTGAGTGTGGCGTTAAACAACAAACCAACAAACCAACATATATATTAATGTATGTTAATTAGTATTTTAGCTCATTGGACAGACTAGTGTTATGACTTGTACATATTATAATAGTTATTTGACAAAAGGTAATTTCAAACGCTTTTGGCTACCTACAATATTGTCTTGACTTCTTGATTTTGCCACTGGCTACCTGGAAAAAAATACTTGTAGCCATATGGCTACTTTGTAAAAAAATTAACTTTGAGACCTTTACTTTTCCTAGTTTGTAATTGACATTAAGTTCAGATTAGTTTATAAGTGCTGAAATCGTATCCCCCTAGTGACTGGGTTGTTATTCAGCCTTGGGACCAATAATGTTTACAGGTCTTTACAGTGTTGTCACTACCTCTAGTGTACAGTACATACACCCTGTGTATTCAAAAGAACCAACTTGTCCAATGGTAGATGACCAGAAGGTGGAAACATGAATACGTACATAAACCCAAAACACAAGTGTCAAAACGTGTGGTGTCACCCTGGGCAAGTGACATAGTTCACATGTGCCTCTGTTCACCCAGCCGGGAATGGGTACCCAATATGTGACGTGGATGTAAAAAACCTTTAGCGCCCGTAGGCAGTTTGGGTTGTATACTCCCCAGGGAGTTGAGAATGATAACTGGAATGCAAACGCATCCACTGGTCAGGGAACATATGAAACCACATTTGAGTAGATACTAGTATCTATCTACCTGTGGTATATAAATGTATAATAATAATTGTCTGGTCCAGACTTGATTATTTACAAACTGCCGCCATATAGCTGAAATATTGCTGAGTGCGGCGTGAGTGAGTGAGAGAATGAGTATGGTCTTATGCCGATTTTAGCAATATTCCAGCAATATCACTGCAGGGGACGCCAGAAATGGGTTTCACACATTGTACCAACATCAGGAATCAAACCCGGGTCTTCGGCTTGACGACCAAACGCTTTAAACACTAGGCTACCAGTCCGACCCAAAAGCAGGTAGATCTAGTGCATGTCGTGTGTTTCAGCTGGTGAATGAGTTCATGATGGGGCATCAGACGGCGATCGCCCCCCAGACTTTCCACATGAGCAGCCTACTGCAGGAGATGAGGGAGATCGAGGAGTCGGAGATGAAGCACATGCCACACAGAGGTGAGGGTGAGGTCAATCACGGGGATTCTGGGCAAGACTAGGTCCCCCGAGGTGAGGGTCAGGTCACGCACAGGGATTCCGGGCAAGACTAGGTCCCCCGAGGTGAGGGTCAGGTCACGCACAGGGATTCCGGGCAAGACTAGGTCCCCCGAGGTGAGGGTCAGGTCAATCACGGGGATTCCGGGCAAGACTAGGTCCCCTGAGGTGAGGGTCAGGTCAATCATGGGGATTCTGGGCCAGATTAGGTCCCCCGAGGTGAGGGTCAGGTCACTCACGGGGATTCCGGGCAAGACTAGGTCCCCGAGGTGAGGGTCAGGTCACTCATGGGGATTCTGGGCCAGACTAGGTGCCCCGAGGTGAGGGTCAGGTCATGCACGGGGATTCTGGGCAAGACTAGGTCCCCGAGGTGAGGGTCAGGTCACTCATGGGGATTCTGGGCAAGACTAGGTCCCCTGAGGTGAGGGTCAGGTCATGCAGGGGGATTCTGGGCAAGACTAGGTCCCCCGAGGTGAGGGTCAGGTCATGCAGGCGGATTCTGGGCAAGACTAGGTCCCCCGAGGTGAGGGTCAGGTCATGCAGGGGGATTCCGGGCAAGACTAGGTCCCCCGAGGTGAGGGTGAGGTAAATCACGGGGATTCCGGGCAAGACTAGGTCCCCTGAGGTGAGGGTGAGGTAAATCACGGGGATTCCGGGCAAGACTAGGTCCCCCGAGGTGAGGGTGAGGTAAATCACAGGGATTCTGGGCAAGACTAGGTCCCCCGAGGTGAGGGTGAGGTAAATCACAGGGATTCTGGGCAAGACTAGGTCCCCCGAGGTGAGGGTGAGGTAAATCACGGGGATTCCGGGCAAGACTAGGTCCCCCGAGGTGAGGGTGAGGTAAATCACAGGGATTCTGGGCAAGACTAGGTCCCCTGAGGTGAGGGTCAGGTCACACACTAGGATTCCGGGGCAGACTAGGTCTTAAGAATGCCATGCTTGTCTCCCTGTTGGGATTCCAGGGAAGACTAGGTCTCACAAACAAACAAACAAACATGTTGTTGTTGTTGTTGAAGCTCGACTTTCATTTCCATTAAGCTCCTGGAATAGCTGAGTTGGCATCTGACGCCAACTGGGCAGAGGAATTCCTGTCGACGGAGAACATGGCGGCATCAGGTGGTGATTGGGTGAGGGACTTCCAGGCAGGGCAACAGGCGGCGGCGGCGGCCGATACCAAGTGGGCTGAGGAGTACCTCGAACCCACACAAGATAAAACATGGTACGTCAAACTGACCTCCTGGGTATTCCAGATTAGGTTTGGTCCCGAACATCACGTGCTTGTCATCTGCGATGACTTAGTGGATCTGTGGGCTTGGTGACTTGGTGGATAAAATGTCAACATATGTATGTAACATGTCAGTTAATAATAAAAAAACTGGATTGGTCCAGACTCAATTATTTACAGGCTTCTGACATATAGGTGGAAGGTGGCTGTTTCGCAGTGGAATGAAAATAAATGCTAAAGTTTTCTATTCACCTTTAAATATCCCACAAATACATTTTTATCCCCCGCCCAACAAAGTTTGCGGGGGATATAGAAACAGGCTCCGTCCGTCCGTCACGTTTTGTTTCCGGAGCATAACTCATAAACCGTTCAATATTTTTCATGAAACTTTGCAGGTTTGTCAGGTACATGCTGAACAAGTGCCTTTTGCTATTTAGAAATTTTAGAAATTTTTATTTTTTACGTTTCCATGGCAGCAAGATGGACGTAGGTTTACAATTTCCATGACAAGTTCAACCTCGGTTAAAAAAGGTTAGGGTTTGTTTAGATTTAATTATGCCATAAATTCTGCAACAGGGGCTGGGGATATAGCCACGTTAGTGGCAAACTCTTGTTACATACTTGAATTGAAGGCAGAACACGACACGAAAATAGTAGTATTTCCTTTTCAAAATCAGTCCGAATATGACTGAAGGTTAAACTACAAACAACGATGCCATGGCGACTATGATGAACACATCAGTCTATCCATGTGTTCTACTGTCTAGTCACTACAATGGTTGAAGCTAGACTCTTAAAGATCAACCAGCATGCTTATATACGACAAACATTCAGGAAAGCATGTGCATTTTAATGTTCTCTCACGACAAAGTTCATTTCCTGAAAGCAGATATAGAAACAAACAGTCACTGAACAGTTATCCTAAACGTTCATCTGATACACATTGAAATCACGTGCTCCTCAAAGTTCAGTCCGCAAAGTAAATGACATTGTTCTTGTATTTGAACTACACAACCCATGAACAGTTCTTCAGTCCAGTGGCTGACTGCGACATTTAAGAACAAGAAAGAAACAACATAAAACTGACATACCATATTCGACATAATAAGCGTTCAGGGCGCTCTCAAAATTAGAAATACAGTGCTCTTATTAGAATATAAGTTTGGTGAAAAAAAGTTGAAAAGAGTTGAAAGATTGTAAATTTCTAGGTTTATGTACCTGAAATGATACAAAAAATGTCTGTGCGTATTATACACGACAGATATTTTTCCAGAATTTAATTGCCCATAATTAAGGGTGCATATAACACTAGAGTGCATCTTATACACAAATAAATAAGTCTTGTGTACATTGATCAATCGGAAGAGGTGTTAATTGGGATTAACTAGCCAATATATTAGCAGATATCACTGTGGCGCTTATTAGAGCGTGGCGCTAATTAGAGCAGGGCGCTTATTACGTCGAATACGGTAATGAAAATGTGGGCTCAATCAGACATAGCTGCAAGTGGTCCTAAAATTTCCAACACACAAACCCTTAACCATTATTGTGCCCTCCTTTGGGATTAACTTGAAGTAGTGTCAATAAGGTCTGCACACATATCAACAAACTATTTTTGTTAAACCCCACATCATACCCTGATTGTTCCTCACTCTATCATCCCCTGGTTTGGTTGAACAGTTACAGTATATACACTCAGCTATGATTAGTAGTGGGTTGATACACCGATGCATCGCAATTTCTTATTTCTCAATACAAGTATCGATCACAATCGCACACTAAGTAAAAAGTATCGATTCTTACCTTAAATGTATTTTTCAATAAATGTTACATCAAACACTAATTATTAATGAAAATGAGTAGTGAAATATTTTCATCCATTGCGCCATATGACACTGCCAACTGTAAATCATCAGTGTGCCAGGTATTTGGCCATCCTGTCAATGAAAAAGATGGCTTAGGAACAACAGATAAGAGCACATGCATGTATCATGATACGTATCAGATCGTGAGCAAGGTATCGTGATAAATATCGGATCGCACAGTTGATTTATCGTCCCAGCCCTTGCTATGACACAGGGTAAAGATTTCTGATTATAGTATTCAGTAGGGCTGCAGCGAATACACTATGAGGCGAATGCGATTCATATCACGAATATAGAGTAATGAATACGAATATTAATTCACGAATACAATAACAAGTCAGCAGTTGATGTATTATTTGTTATATTCAGTGAAACAAAAGCAACACAAATTATTTGACATGGTTTGTTAATTATTAACATATTATTCATTGATATACTGCACCTATCCAGGTGCTAGTATCTGTTTAAATGCAACAATGACCAGTGACCACAATACTGTCAAATGAAATGTTATAAGAGTGTTGTCTTTCACGAAATCTATGAATATAATATGTTCTTATGGATATTTTTAGATACAGGGTATGTAAATGAACATGACTGCACATTCATGAATATTCAATTCTATTGGTCACGATAAACGAATTCAATTCATGAATGGATACGGTTCGATTCACCGAATACGCGAGTGAATCGTAACAGCCCTAGTATTCAGTTCTCCCGGTGTCTGTTGTTTGGTGGCCAGGTCGGAGCAGTACGAGCGAGAGCAGCTTGACGACACCAAGTGGATTGATGAGTATCAGTCTGCCAACAGTCAGGGTGCTGATTTAGAGAAGACGGCCAACGATCTGATCGGCTCTGTTGATGATCCCAAGTTCACTAACTCTGAGGTAAAGATTGTACTAACATATTTATCACCCCAGTGTTTGGCGAGAGTGTGAGTGAATGTTATGAATACACAATGCTATTTAGAAAGTGGTCAAATGTAACAAATGTAATATTTAGGATAACACTTTCTTAGTGAAGTACAAATTCTAGTACTTTTGGGGGTTGAGTCCCATCTTTCGAATCCACACTCTCACTGAGGCACCTTATCGCCAGCACACAAAGTCAGCGATCTAACCCACTCAGCCACCGAGGCTTCCACAAGAATGAAAGTCCGACAACTGGTGTTATAGATCACATACTTTGTGTACCCCTCTACCAGTTGTTGGACAAAATTTTGTGGTTGCTTGAACTAAATATTTGTACATTTTTCTCACTTAAAAACTTCTCATTCCTACCATCATCGAGCCCAAATTTGTAGCCTCTGCTTGTGAGGAGTTATCTCCCTTTCACTTAAGTCAAAACTTGCCCCATGTTAACCGAACGGAACACTTTGATTTATTATTTTATTGGTGGTGTTTTGTTTCACTGTTATTTGTTTTATACCTCATGTCAAGAGGTCAAATCTGTTTAATGACACTGAAGGACGTTTTTACATACAGAATTAACTCTCAATCATTCATAAGCACTCTCTGATCGGAAGATACAAAAAGTAGGATTTTGTTTACCTGTTTGAATCCGTCCTATCTTTGTGTACATATTGATGGTTTGATAATAAACATAGAATATTATTTAATATACAGCGTGGTAAAAGAGGAAGGACTAAGGATTTCATATGCACAATTTCATAACTGACCAAAGTTTTAAATTTTCCTTGAATCTTTTAGGACCTGTTTTAAGGATTTTACCAATATTCTTGAGTTGACATGAAGTCTCGTGCTGTGAGTTTAACTGATCTACTTCCAGTTCATGAAGTTTGTGAAGCGTATTGGTGATGGGGAAATTACAATAGAGGATAATAAAGTGCTACAGAAAACACCAGGTCAAAGGTCAGATGACTGGGCGCAAGAATTCTCAGCAGGGCAGGTAGGGAGATCTAGCATGGGGCCATGGGTCAAATTCTGTCAGCTTATTTCAGATCAAGAAGTGGACATGCATTGATTAACCAAATATTTGTTCAGCTTCTGGCTTTTTTTTTGCTGTTGTGTGGTAGCTGGAGATGTCTCGTCATGGCAGGGCTGGCCTCTGTAAAGCTTGTCTCTGTAAGATTGGTCTATGAAAGACTAGTCTCTCTTGCTGGTTTTAGGCTGCGTTAAGGATTAGGTTGCTGTTATGTGGACAGTATGTTCTGTTTTCAATTTGTCCTCAATGTGAACTTTGGGAATGGCATGAGTCTGTTTATGTTTGTTTGTTTGTTTGTTTGTTTGTTTGTTTGTTATTTAACGCCTCAGCAATATTCAAGCTATATGACAGAGGTCACATGAATACGGTGTTAGCGTTGGGCGTCTCAACATGCGTGATTCCCGTGCACCCTTTCGAGTTGAGTTGATTGGTTCAACTGTGTCATATGGCCCTGTGATGCAGGGGTAGCATTATGAAGATGGCTGTTTCAGTGAATGCTCGTTCTACCCGTGACGAACAGGTCTGGTTGTTGATGAAATATAGTGATAGCTAAGTAGACAGATTTTTTATTCATGCACTGATTGTCTTTAAATGTTATATCCAGTTATGTATGACTGTTTAATAATCTCATACCAACTTTGACTGGAGTAGGTCCGATATTTTCATATATTGTAGTAAACGTCGGTACCTTAAATTACCTCCCAGACTATACATATACTATTCATTTGAAATAAGAAAAAAACATGACTTTAGCGTGTGTCACCATCCTCGGTTTGTAAACATGGTAAATTGTTATTTGAAGTGGGCCTATTGCCTTCATAATAAATAAAGATATTGATAAGATAAGACTTAGTCATCCTTTCTCTGCTGGGCCTATCCTAAACTGTCCTTATGTAACTCAGATAATGCCCAGCTAGCACAATACTTGACTGCTACCATGTGTCTATCATTATTGATCCTCTACTTACACTGTTTACCATGGTGACTGGATGTCCAAAAGTTTTCTTCTTGTCAGTGTGTGGTGTCATATTTGTTCTGATTGCAACAGTTGTTTTGATTGGCTGTTCTATTCTCCAGGCAGGGGCTTCAGTGACTGACAAGTGGGCAGAGGAGTTCACAGAATTTTCAGCCACTCACGCTGAGCCTGAGGCCTTCTGGGATAATCTTCAAAAACACTGGGAAGACGTTGACAGGTAGCAAGTGTACAGGCTGTGCTTGATGTGTAAACAAGTGTACACTGTAGGACCCGAGTCATCACTGCCAATTGAGTCATCTCTTTATTCCAAACGTCTTTTGCAAATTAGTTGCTTGAATGACTGGAGGCTGCGGACCCCCTTTGGTATGGGGGATTCGGGGTTCTGTTTACAGGGTAATCAGGACTCATTATTGTGGTACAATTAACGCCGTACATAAAGGTTTCCTACATAATATTGTTTCACTAATTTATCTTCATATTGCACCTGACCGCCTCCGTGGTCTAGTGGTAGAGCATCCGCCCGGAGAGTGGAAGGTCTGGGGTTTGATCCCCGGCCGCGTCATACAGAAAGACGTTTAAAGATGGTACTTGTTGTTACCCTGTCTGGCGCTCGGCATTAAGGGTCTAAAACAAGGACTGGTCGGCTCAGAGTCTGAGTGGAGTATTCATGTTAAACTGCGGCATGGTATCTCAGTGAGCTAGCACTATAAATCGGCATCAGTCCAGACTAGTACAAGCAGCCACACATACACGTACATGCACGTCGCTATATAAGTGCAATAATCTTGGACGCGACGTTAAACCCAATTTCACCTCACCTCATATTGCACCTTTTCTTAATGCTTTTGAGATTTGTGTTAAATAGTACTCTCGATTTATGGGCAAACATTGACACTCAGTGAAAAATTTGACGGTGTTCAGGATTATGGTGGAGAAGGGAGTTGGCACCCTTAACTGTGTGATGGATAGCATCATTAGGGATCAATATTTTATTTTCTTAGGAATTTCATTTTGTGGTAGTGGGTGAATGGATGTTTGAATTAACCTGTGTGAAAGATGGAAGTTTATAGAGACAATCATTTCAAGTATGGCCACCACAACAGCCATCTTGAAACCTTGAAAATGGCTAATGCAGTAGTGTTGGTTATGAGCAACTCATTCACATTTAACTTGTCTACTGTCACAGAGCTATTTAATGAATTTGACAAAGGTTACTAAACAAGCTAAGCATCTATGAATGCATGTAGCTATCATCATCATCATCATTGTTGCATGTTGCAGGAATGACAGTCAGCCCTGGTTGACGGAGTTTGAGCAGACTGAGCCATACAAGGTAGGAGACAAAACTATGTATCCTGAAGGCATGATTATCAAATTACATTTTGTATTTTCAAGTTACAATTTCATACTTGTATTTACTGGGGATACGGCTGTTTATCACTGTATGTGTTGTCAATCATTTCAGTTAATTCAAGTTCTTATTTTTGCATTCTACATCAAAATGTTTATGGTTTACATAATGTTTACAAAAAATTACACAGGGTTGGTTTTCAAAATGAAAATAAAAATATAACATTTGCTAAGTCATATCTTTAAAGCATCACAGGTAAAAAGTAGGGTTGATAAGCTTTTGATAAAATAAGGTATATAAGTAATGTAGGGTAAATAGTTACCTCCTTCATGTGGATGTACATGTACTTTGGACTCTTGGTTAAAATAATTTTCAGTGTTAGAAAAAGAAACGTTTGATTAATGCCACATATGATAATGTTTTGTATGAGGATCTGAAAAACAGGTCATACAAAATCACATTTAACGCCTTTTTTTTTTAAACTGTGATTGCTTTGTTCCAGAACTACAGTTTTGAGTCTGAAAACCCTCTGCTGGAGCATCCGAACCCCTTCACAGCCGGGCTGGAGAAGCTGGAGCAGGGAGACATCCCCAACGCCGTGCTGCTGTTTGAAGCCGCCGTCAGGAAGGATGACTCGCACATGGAGGTAGAGGAGACATGTTGTTGCCACATATGTTCCCTGGCCCCTCCCCTGGGGGTATTCTAGGGGGCCTAGGCCTCCAGCTCTCATGACACACTGTTACACCCAGGGTTCCTGGCCCCTCCCCTGGGGGTATTCTAGGTAGTCTAGGTCTCCAGCTCTCATGACACACTGTTACACCCAGGGTTCCTGGTCCCTCCCCTGGGGGTATTCTAGGGGGTCCAGGTCTCCAGCTCTCATGACGCACTGTTACACCAAGGGTCTCTGGCACCTCCCCTGGGGGAGGTCAGGTCTCCAGCTCTCATGACACACTGTTACACCAAGGGCCTCTGGCCCCTTCCCCTGGGGGGAGGTCAGGTTTCCAGGTCTCATGACACACTGTTACACCAAGGGTCCCTGGCCCCTCCCCTGGGGGAGATCAGGTCACCAGCTCCCATGACACACTGTTACACCCAGGGTCCCTGGCCCCTCCCCTGGAGGTATTCTAGGGAGTTTAGGTCTCCAGCTCTCATGACACACTGTTACACCCAGGGTTCCTGGCCCCTCCCCTGGGGGTATTCTAGGGATTCTAGGTCTCCAGCTCCCATGACACACTGTTACACCAAGGGTCCCTGGCCCCTCCCCTGGGGGTATTCTAGGGAGTCTAGGTCTCCAGCTCTCATGACACACTGTTACACCAAGGGTCCCTGGCCCCTCCCCTGGGGGTATTCTAGGGAGTCTAGGTCTCCAGCTCTCATGACACACTGTTACACCCAGGGTCCCTGGCCCCTCCCCTTGGGGTATTCTAGGGAGTCTAGGTCTCCAGCTCTCATGACACACTGTTACACCCAGGGTCTCTGGCCCCTCCCCTGGGGGTATTCTAGGGGAGTCTAGGTCTCCAGCTCTCATGACACACTGTTACACCCAGGGTCCCTGGCCCCTCCCCTGGGGGTATTCTAGGGAGTCTAGGTCTCCAGCTCTCATGACACACTGTTACACCCAGGGTCCCTGGCCCCTCCCCTGGGGGAGGTCAGGTCTCCAGCTCTCATGACACACTGTTACACCCAGGGTCTCTGGCCCCTCCCCTGGGGGTATTCTAGGGAGTCTAGGTCTCCAGCTCTCATGTCACACTGTTACACCCAGGGTCCCAGGCCCCTCCCCTGGGGGTATTCTAGGGAGTCTAGGTCTCCAGGTCTCATGACACACTGTTACACCAAGGGTCTCTGGCCCCTCCCCCTCCATTGGGGTTATCTGTGGGGGCCAAATCCTCAGTTCTCCATTGCATTCTTTGTTTTGTTAACAACTTTACATAATCCTGCTACTGATCCTGAACTGTGATCCGATATTGTGACCAACCATGAGATATGGGACCTTATGGGTGAAAAGTCACATTTTGACTTTACTTTCTATTTTAGAGGCGGTCAGGTAGCCTGGTGGTTAAAGCGTTCGCTCGTCACGCCGAAGACCCAGGTTCAATTCGCGACATGGGTACAATGTGTGAAGCCCATTTCTGGTGTCCCCCGCCGTGATATTGCTGGAATATTGCTAAAAGCGGCGTAAAACCAAACTCACTCACTCACTCATTATATTTTAATACTATCGCATCTACTGAACACAAAAATACAACTCACAAGCTTCAGTTCATATTTTTTACAGAGATACATGACATCACATATCTCAGTCTTCAAGTAAGTTGAAATCAAATGTCTTTATGACGTCATAGCACAATTACATCCCAGTACCAATAAGTTCCTTTTTCTACTTGTGGGTGACATTTGTTGTGTTACATTTTCTGAACGTAAGATTGGCACATTTAATGAACTTCATTCCAAGTGCTACCTGCATCACTGGATGTTTTATGTGCTCCAGGCCTGGCAGTACCTGGGAACGTCACAGGCTGAGAATGAAAATGAACCTGCGGCCATAGCAGCTCTCAAAAGGTGAGAATAGCCAATTATTTGGTGTGTGTGTGTCGGGGTTGGGGACGCTGCTGTCCCAATTGACATACTTGATGTGACCCAGTCATCGAAGGCGCCACAATTTTCTGTGCAGAGTTGTGTCCCTTGGGCACGCCAGAAACCTATGATTGTGGGTTTGAATCCTGGTTTACCCAACTTATGTTTCTAGGTTTGTCAGCATCATACCCGTGCTCGTGGGTTTCACCGAAGTGTTAACGTCTGAGACCTGCATCACTTCAGACTTTCCTCCCACATTAAGCTGACACGCTGCAATATAACTGGAATAATGTTAAAAGCGATGTTTAACCCAACTCACTCACTCACTTACTTGGATGATGCAACAAAATCAACAGCAATTGATGGATCTACTGTATTTCCCAGTACAAGACATAGTGCTATCTCACAATGCAGTCTCAACACTAAGACTATCGTAACTTCCATGCTTTAACATAGACTCATAGTGCTAACGTATCTATGTGGAATAGCGCCAATCTCATATCCTTTACGCGGATACAATACCTTTCTGTGTGAAGATATGACAACACCTCCATGGAAGGTCACTTCAGGTGAACCCTGAGTGAACTTTGACCTTTGACCCGTCTATTTGATGAATGTGTGGATTCTTGAGCCAATCAGATGTCAGCTTTCTAAAATGATTTGGTTTGATTTCTTTACCACCTTGATTGGGAAATTTGATCTTAGCAAACGAGAACACCTGAATACACAATTATACCCTCCATAGTACACTCATTTGGGTGTGGATGCCATGGTGCTCAGAAATGACAGGATATGTGAAATATCCACAACAATATAACAGAACGATTTTATTTTTTTGCATTTGGAACTGACTGTTTATATTCACTAATGAGATACAGGATTCAGATAAGAATTTCGAAGCCTTGATGCTGACTGGCTGATCAGAATTTTAGTGAGATGGGGAACTTTTGGCTTTGGACTTGACTCTCCATCTGACATCTGTGTTACGAGTGACATACTGTTGTGAAAGTTGTTGACCTCCATGTCACCCACTTCCTGTTTGTGCTGATCAGGTGTTTAGAGTTATCTCCCACTAACCTGACCGCCTGGCTGTCACTGGCTGTGAGTTACACCAACGAGTCCCTGGGGTCCTACGCCTGCCACGCCCTCAAGTCCTGGCTCAAACACAGCCCCAAGTATGCCAGTCTGGTGCCAGGGCCTCTGGGGGAGAAGCCAGTCACCTCGTCCTTCATGTCAACGTGAGTCACCTGCATATAGGGGGGATGGGGAGGGTTGGTGGGGGGAGGGTGGACGTAGGCCGGTTGTGTCATTGTTGATGTTATGTGTTCTTGCTGTGTTTTACATCAGGACCAACTAATTCCCATGCTTTAAATTAGATTTAAAGATATAGGAAACAAAAGTCACTTTGTTAACAAGAGTTTTTTTTCAATAGAAATAAGTAGTTGTTTAGTATTAACCTAACTTTTTTTCAGATATTGATATGTCAGTGGGCTGGCACTATAAAATCATTATTAGTCCAGACTAGTACAAGCAGCCACGCATGCACGCACACGTACACATGTGCATGCACATCACTATATAAGTGCAGTAATCTTGAATGCGATGTTAACCCCATTTGACCCCACCTCACCCATTATCTAACCTAGGTCTTCAGCAACCCATGCTTACCATTAAAGGCGATTATGCTTGTCGTAAGAGGCGACTAACGGGATTTGGTGGTCAGGCTCGCTAACTTGGTTGATGCATGTCATCGTATCCCAATTGCGTGGATCGATGCTCAGAATGTCAGTCACTGGATTGTCTGGTCCAGACTCAATTATTTACAGACCGCGGTCATGTAGCTGGAATATTGCTGACTCATACTTGTTACTTATCTCTACTCATTTCGAAAATGTAGGGGTGGGGGGGGCGGTCATGTAGCCTAGTGGTTAAAGCGTTCACTCGTCACTTCGAAGACCCGGGTTCGATTCCCGACATGGGTACAATGTGTGAAGCCCATTTCTTGATTTCACCCAAGCGATATCTCCTGTGGGAGCCAGTTGTGGATGATATATGATTTTTCACCCCAAACAAGAGAGTACTACCAGACATTACATGGACTATTTTTATGTACAATCTCAATCTGAAATGACGTGGTGTTCGTCTCATGCACACTGCCCTGTCTCTGCAGCCAAGACTACGAGGACGTGAAGGATCTGTACCTGAAGGCTGTCCGCATGGAGGACCGCGGCAAGATAGACGCCGATGTACAGGTGACGCTATCTTACTCACAATCACAAGATCAAACCGTAGTAAGAAATGACCTTCACTTCGTGGGAGTTTGCTGGAGTATGAACATACTTGGAGTGACGGCTTACCATTGTTTGTCTCAGTCGTTCATACTCTGATGAAATCTCACAAAGTGAGAGCCAATTCTTAGTTGTATATTATATGGGAGTTTGATTTTATAGAAACAAGCATCAATGTGATACATATAATAACGAATGGAGTGGTCGGGTAGCCTAGTGGCTTATGTGTTCACTCGTCGCGCCGAACCACCCGGGTTCTACAGAGTAACCATGGTAACCCTCTCTGGAGTCAAGGTCAGAATAGGCCACTATAAGAGCTGACTAAAATAAGGATTAGGCTAAAAAAAAGAAATAGTCTTGATTCTCAGGCACAAAGCCACACGTTTCATTTATATTCCCGTTTTCCAAAAAATAAAGTCCTTAAATATTCCGAGTCTCGAACACACCACCCTGGCAGTAACATGCTACAAATTCATAAAAACAATGTAGCGTGCAGTTACTTCCCTTTACCTGCGCACTGCTTTACTGTGCATCAAGTGTTATGGTCATGGCAGCAATAGGAGTTTGTGTGCTTGTTTTGCTGTTTGCTAATTTGGTAAATGAAAACATGAAATTTATAATAAAATGATGATTTACAAAATCAATGGTATTTGTGTACTGGATGCCAGACGATGTTTCATATGCAGATATTTAAATTACATGTGTATTTGTCTCGTGAATTAAGCAGGAAATAGCAATTTCCTAGCTGTTTACACATTTTCTCCCCGCTCTAAGGGTGATTCTGTATAAAAAATGGCCATTATAACTGAAAAGTAATTTCATATGAATTGATAGTAAGACCAAAGACGTAGCTATTACCACTGATGTTCGTTTAATGGCGAGTTCATTGTGAGTTGATGTGATTTGCCGATCAGATCATACACAATTTTGCCGAAATCAATGTAAACAAAATTGAATGAAATCTTGGAGAGAAGTAATATATGACCAGGTGTCTGGTTTCGATAGAAGTATACACAAGTTCAATTTTGTTCTACCTGTCAGACTGTCAGTAACTAACCAGAGTTGATTATATGCAGGATCCCGTGATATTGTTGGAAAAATGCTGACTGGGACATTACAGCTAGGGCTGGGACGGGTAACTCGGGTCAGGTGGGCCCTGAGTAGGACCCCGGTACCCACTGGACTACCCGGACCCGGTCGGGTAATAGGGGGTTTGGTACTCAGGTAGGGTCGGATGATAGGGGGTTTGGTACCCAGGTAGGGCCGGATGATAGGGGCTTTGGTACTTGGGTAGGGTCGGATGATAGGGGATTTGGTACCCGGGAAGGGTCGGATGATAGGGGGTTTGGTACCCGGGTAGGGTCGGATGATAGGGGTTTTGGTACCCAGGTAGGGCCGGATGATAGGGGGTTTGGTACCCGGATAGTAAATTTGGACTTGTCCCAGCCCTAGTTACAACATTCACTCAGTCCATGTACCAAGTATTCTGTGTTCCAGTGTGCCCTGGGCGTCCTGTTCAACCTGAGTGGGGAATACAACAAGGCTGTGGACTGCTTCCAGGCGGCGCTGCAAGTCAAACCCAAGGTCAGATATAAAACAACCAAAGTCTCCATAACAGTTGGCACAGTCCGAGTTGTGTGCAGAGTTGTATCCCTTAGGCATGCCTGTTTTCGTCAGTTCAGATCCCAGATTCGCCCTGATTATGTTTCTTGGTTCAACAATACCTGTCGGGGTTCACTTCAGGTTTTCTTCCCACAATAAGCTGACACCTGAGATGTGACTAAGACGCTATTCAAAGAGGCGTTATACCCAACTCATTCACTCCCTATAACACTTAAGAATACTGCGAAGCCCTTTAGGATGGACAGAACCATTCCTGGTAAAATATCCTAAACATATTTCAGGATTAACACAAATTCTAGCTTACCAATCATGACTTAATATCAGTAAACGTAGCCGAGCCGAGGAGTTATTTTTCAGACATTACTGGGTACAGGCTAATATAGTTTGACACTACTTACTCCAAGCTTACACCAGGCCTTTTGAGGTATGATATTCAACATCAGTGATGCCTTGTGATAATTAAATCCTTGAACCAGGCACTGAATTTTTGTATCTACTGTGGGCAAACTTCTCATTATTTTGTCAAGCACATGTTAAAGCCCCATTGTTCTCTTGTGTCAAGTCCTGTGGGGTTCCAGGTCAGGGCCTCATCCTTGTGGCCATAGTCGACTAACATGGGACTGGGTAGACAGGCTCTCTGAGGGTCAACACAACCTGATGGGTCAGACTGATGCTCATGTTATCAGTGGGGCGGTCGGGTAGCCTAGTGGTTAAAGCGTTCGCTCGTCACGCCGAAGACCCGGTTCGATTCCCGACATGGGTACAATGTGTGAAGCCCATTTCTGGTGTCCCCCGCTGTGATATTGCTGGAATATTGCTAAAAGCGGCGTAAAACCATACTCACTCACTCACTCATGTTATCAGTAGTAGTGGGTAGGGGTGTCACGATAAATTGAAATATCAATATATTGCTATTGGTAAGCACTTAAAGTCAATAAATCGATTGTTAAACCGATCAATAGTGTCGATTTAAGTTAGGAATATCAATAGTTTTGATTGTATTTACCATATCTATAAAATACATGCCAAGCTGTTCAAATTTGTTTTTCTTTTGATCATGAGTGGTTGTAATTTACACATGGTAATGTGGAAGTTTCTTTTTCTTAAATTATTAGGGTAAAGAAAAAAGAAATCAGTCATATCTCAAACTTTACTTTTTATTTGTTGTTATGGTTATCACATTCAAAGGAAACTTCAGTTCCAAGGTTTAATTCTACTCTAAAATCCATCTAAAATGATACACTGAAAACTATCGATAGTTATCGCAATAGTTGCTTGCAATATCGATAGTTATCACAATAGTTTCTTTCAATATTAATAGTTATCGCAATAGTGATTTCCAGACCAATAGTCATCCCTAGTAGTGGGACGATGCACCGATGCTTTGGTGGATCGCGATTGTTTACTTCTCGATACAAGTACTGACTCTTACCTTCACTGTTTGCTTTAATACCTGTTACACTAAATGCTTATTAGTAGTGAAAATTAGTAGTGAAAACGGGGCACGGTGGCCCAGTCGTCTAAGGCGCCGCAATTCGCTGTGCAGAGTTGCGTCCCCTGGGCACGCCAAAAACCTATGATTGTGGGCTCGAATCCCGGTTCGCCCCGATTATGTTTCTAGGTTTGTCAGCACCATACCTGTGCTCGTGGGTTTCACCAAAGCAGTAAACATCTGAGACCTGCATCACTTCGGGCTTTCCTCCCACATGAAGCTGACACGCGGCGATATAACTGGAATACTGTTAAAAGCGGCATTAAACCCAACTCACTCACTCACTAGTAGTGAAAACAACATTCACTCACTCACTCTTGTATCCCAGGATGCCTTGCTGTGGAACAAGCTGGGGGCTACTCTGGCTAACGGCAACAGGAGCGAGGAAGCGGTGGAAGCGTACCACAATGCATTGCAGCTGTCGCCCGGCTTTATCCGATCTCGGTATAATCTTGGCATCGCCTGTATAAACCTTGGTGCTCACAGGTAGGTCTGAAGGGTTTGAACACAAATTTTCTGTTTGCTCAGGTTGATATGAAAAATACTCAGGACTGTCTAATGATAAGTCATTGATTTTGACAAAAGAAACGCATGTCTTCCACGGGAAGAAGTAATAACAGCAAACATTGGTCTGTGGCTGCCTGACACTATTGAACGTTAATGGCTATTCATTATCAGACATCCTTATGCTAGATTCAATTGTAGCCTTCCTTGACATTGTCGAAGTGAGAATATATCGGCCAATCATGTGTTTTCGGACATCTTATGTTTTCGGACGGTCATGTTTATCGAGTGTACTCCTGCTTTAAGAGGGTCATGTTTATCAAGTGTACTCCCGCTTTAACGAGGGTCATGTTTATCGAGTGTACTCCTGCTTTACCGAGGGTCATGTTTATCCAGTGTACTCCTGCTTTAACGAGGGTCATGTTTATCGAGTGTACTCCTGCATTAACGGTGGTCATGTTTATCCAGTGTACTCCTGCTTTAACGAGGGTCATGTTTATCGAGTGTACTCCTGCTTTAACGAGGGTCATGTTTATCCAGTGTACTCCTGCTTTAACGAGGGTCATTTTTATCGAGTGTACTCCTGCTTTAACAAGGATCATGTTTATCGAGTGTACTCCTGCTTTAGCAAGGGTCATGTTTATCAAGTGTACTCCTGCTTTACTGAGGGTCATGTTTATCGAGTGTACTCCTGCTTTACTGAGGGTCATGTTTATCCAGTGTACTCCTGCTTTAACGAGGGTCATGTTTATCGAGTGTACTCCTGCTTTACTGAGGGTCATGTTTATCGAGTGTAATCCTGCTGTAACGAGGGTCATGTTTATCGAGTGTACTCCTGCTTTAACGAGGGTCATGTTTATCGAGTGTACTCCTGCTTTAACGAGGGTCATGTTTATCCAGTGTACTCCTGCTTTAACGAGGGTCATGTTTATCCAGTGTACTCCTGCTTTAACGAGGGTTGTGTATTCAGATGATGGCTTGATTTTAAGATAAAGTTGCCTTTTAAAAGTGAGAGATGTTTAACAGTTGTTCATTAAAGAGAAAATAATGAATTCACAAAAGCTTATTAGAGCAGGGTGCTTATTATGTCAAATACGGTAATTCCTAATCCTTTTTCTTTTTTCAGAGAGGCAGCTGAGCATTTTTTAACAGCTCTGAACATGCAGCAGCAGAGTCGAGGCCCAGATGGTCCGGAGTCTGTCATGTCCACCAACATCTGGTCAACTCTTCGAATGACCCTCTCTATGCTCGGCCGACCTGACCTCTACAACGCCTGTGACTCAAACAGTCTGGACGTACTGAACAAAGAGTTCAAGATGCAGTCATGACCCAACTTACAGTTGCAGGAGAGTGCTACCACCAACTGTCAAATTGCCGAACAGGAAACTCAGTCCCTGCCGGAACTACTTTCTGATGTGGATAATTTACCAGGAGTGCTTCGGCTTATCTTCTGCTGAGATTAACAACTTCTGATGAACATGATTCCATGGATATTTAACTGTCAGAAACAGAGAAGGGCTAAAAGTCAGTGTCTATGGAGATGCACGCTGCTGGTTGATGGAATTGTTTAATAGTGCCTTTCTGTCTAAAAGGAAGGGGTGACTATGGAGGGCATTGTTACTGTTGCAATTGTTTTGTGTTAGTTAAAACACGACTTGTGATACTGTTGCAATTGTGATTGGGTTGGTATTAACCCCTCTTTGAATAGTATTGTTATGTTACGGCTTGTCAGTTTGATATGGGATGAAAGCCCAAAGTCATGCAGGCTTTAGACATTTACCAAGCATGGGCATGGTGCTGACAAAGCAAGAAACATGGTCTGGGTGAATGTGGGAATCATAAGTTTCTGGCAAGGTGAATTGCAATGCAGTGTCTAGCAACTGGGCATTCACTATCACTTCACTATCCCGGATAGAATAGGTCTTCAGCAATCCATGCTTGTCTCCCTGTGAAGATCCGGGATAGAATAGGTCTTCAGCAACCCATGCTTGCCATAAAAGGCGACTATGCCTGTCGTAAGAGGCGACTAACGGAATCGGGTGGTCAGGCTCGCTGACTTGGTTGATGCATGTCATCGATCCCAATTGCGTGGATCGATGCTCATGATATTAATCACTGGATTGTCTGGTCTTGACTCGATTATTTACAGACCGCCATCATATAGCTGGAATATTGCTGAGTGCGGCGTTAAACAACAAAACAATATTTTGGCATTAGGGTAACCTCGTCGTTAAAGCAGCTGCTTGTCTCCCCAAAGGCCTGGGTTCGATTCCCCACATGGTGCCCCCTGACTTGATCTTGCTGGAATATTGCTGAAAGCAGCAAGAGTAAAAACATACTTGCTCCCTCATGACTTCGTCACAATAGAGATTTACCAGCTTTACTTGATAAAAGTTAAGACCTATGAATGCAGACTGTTATTCCAGACGGCACAGGGATAGACACAGCCACTTGTCTGTTGGTCAGAGGCAAGTAATAGTCTGGAGGAACAAGTTGTTTGGTTTTACAGGAACCACTACTCGGAAACAGGCTGTGGATATGACCTATGGTGTCAGCCCCTGTAGTCTGTGGACCCGTGAAGATTCCGGGGTAGAATAGGTCTTCAGCAACCCATTCTTGCCGTAAAAGGCGACTATGCTTGTCCTAAAAGGCGACTAACTAGATCGGGTGGTCAGGCTCGTTGACTTGGTTGATACATGTCATCGATCCCAATTAAGTGGATCGATGCTCATGATATCAATCACTGGATTGTCTGGTCCAGACTCGATTATTTACAGACCGCCGTCATATAGCTGCAATATTGCTGAGTGCGGCGTTAAACAACAAACCAACCAACCAACCAACCAACTGTAGTCTGTGGGGGCACGGATGGCCAAGTTGTCTAAGGCACCACAATTCGCTGTACAGAGTTATGTCCCTTTGGCATGCCAGAAACCTTTGGCTGTGGGTTCGAATCCCGGTTCACCCTGAAAATGTTTCTAGGTCTGTCAGCGCCATGCCATGGGTTTCACCAAAGTAAACGTCTAAGATTCTGAATCACTTCGGGCTTTCCTCCCACATTGAGCTGACACAGTGATATAACTGGAATACTGTTTAACCTCACTCACTCAACAGCTGTCTGTAAGCATGTGAGAAAAAGAGACATATCAAAAGCTGCTGCCATGGATGTTCATCATCAACGAACCAGTCTCACGATTAGACTTGTTTGTTTGTTTGTTTGTTTATTTGTTGTTTACAGCCACACTCAGCATTATTCCAGCTATATGACGGCAGTCTGTAAGAAATCGAATCTGGACCAGACAATCCAGTGATTGACATCATGAGCATCTATCCACGAAATTGGGATCGATGACATGTATCAACCAAGTCAGCGAGTCCGACCACCCGATTAGTCGCCGATTAGACTTGTGATAATGTGAGTGGTGACTGAGGCTTCCAAAGATGTATTTATACAAATATTTATGTTTATTAAAAAAATGTAACACAGCAGTAAATTACTAATATGATTTCTGTAGAACTTCTTGTCCATTGAAAGCTGGCAATAACTTCAAGAATAGTACCCAGGCACTGAAGCTCACCTTTAGAAGATGATGTCATGTGACAAGTTGTTATCTGGAAGTGCCTGAAGACAACTGAATCTGTTCTATTTATTTCGGCAACACAGTGTTTCTTGTTTTAATACACAATTGTTTGTATAACGATGTCACAGACTACAACCTAACTGAAATGTTTTCTAAGTTTAGGAATATACAATGCTTTTTTCAGAAAGTGGTCAAATGTAAAACGTTTCGGATTACACTTTTGAGTGTGGGTTCCAATCCAGGACAGGACTCAACCCCAAAAAGCTTTGTACTTACTACAATGTACTAAAAAAGTGTAATCCTAAATATAAGTGGGTTTTTTATATTCGGAGTTACATGATGTGACCCTTGTGATTTTTGTTACCAACATAAGCAGAATTTAACTTCAGTTTTGGAATGCGGTAAGATTCCTTCCAATAGACATCTCTATGCTTTTGTAAAGCAGAACGTATTGTGGTTTCTGGGAAGTGGGATTTCCTCTATATCACAGATAATTTTCTGTATGTATGAATGTGTACATATGTAAAAATGAATGAATGCAAATGATATTGTAACAATTGTGTTGTTTTCATTACAAAATAATGGATTGAGGTTTCTAACTCCATTTTAGACTAACTCCACTTCAGGATGGCAGTGGTGTTTGTTTGTTGTTAAACGCCTCACTCAGCAATATTCCAGCTATGTGACGGCTGTCTGTAAATAATCAAATCTTGCCCAGACAATCCAGTGATTGACATCATGGGCATCGATCACAGCAATGGGGATATGATGACACGCCTCAACCTAGTCAGCTAGTGTGACCATCCGATCCCGTTAGTAGCGGCAAGCACAGTCATCTGTTTTAAACGGATCTTCACAGGTCAACAGTGGGGTAAAGTCTTCTCCATGCCCCAGGGGTGGTCGGGTAGCCTAGTGGTTAAAGCGTTCGCTCGTCACGCCGAAAACCAGGGTTTGATTCCCAACATGGGTACAACGTGTGGAGCCCATTTCTGGTGTCCCCTGCCGTGACATTGCTGGAATATTGCTAAAAGCGGCGTAAAACCTTCTCACTCACTCACTCATCATGCCCCAAGTTGGTACAATGTGTGAAGTCCTTTTCTTGCAATATTGCTTCATTCTCGCAAAAATTAATAACAGATGGGGGTTGAATATTTGTACCACTTCACATTGTTCCAAGACTGGCAAAGAAGGGATTCAAACCCAATGACAAGTGGAACAAGATTGAGTTGTTGCAACAAAGACCTCTTAGCTACATGGCCATTACAGTCGGTTTGTTGTTTAACGCTGCACTCAGCAATAATCCAGCTATATGACGGCGGTCTGTAAATAATCGAGTCTGGACCAGACAATCCAGTGATCAATATCATGAGCATTGATCCGTGAAATTGGGATCGATGACGTATCAACCAAGTCAGCGACCCTGACCACCCGATCCCGTTAGCTTTTGCGACAAGCATGGGTTGCTGAAGACCTATTCTACCCCAGAAGGCCATTACAGAATAACAATAGTCATATGAAAGAAATCGGGTGTTCTTTACCTTTTTTTGAGTGGTATACATCTAAGCATGACAAGACAACATCTGAAGTTGTGAAAGTATTTACTTCATGTACACAAATGGAATGAAAAACATGCACAGATGAAATCATATCTCAGTAATGGTGGCATACCCTTGCAAACAATCTGTAAAAGAGTTTAAGTTGTAGCAAAATTCTACTCAAATTTCCACTGCGTGAGTAAATAAATCTTAAATATTGGAATCATGACATGAAAGAATATCAATCATCTTGAAAACAGATCTCCATCACCCATGCTGACACATTAGGCTCTGACAAATAATGAAAAACACCAAAATAGAAACTACTGACCTCAAAATACATGAAAATGTGAAAAAGTGCAACTAAGCAAGTCTTAGGCCTAACTTCAGACGGAAGCCTAAATTTGACAGTATTTGCATATATAAAGACAGCTCGATCACCCAGTCACCATTCTTATTACTGAATAATTTCAACATTTCACGCCTACCTTTAAAGATTTTCCTTAAAAATTTGACCACAAAGTCATCCTTGAATATTTTGCAAAATGTGCTGCTTATATTATATATTATATATATTCCCGCCCCAATTATCAAAGCTCATGCTACCACAAAGACATTTCTGACTATCATGCAGTGACACCTCTCAAACTATCGCCAAGACTATATGAAATGAATTTTGGATAAATTGAGGAATCAATTATATATATATATATATATATATATACTTATTTATACATAATATATCAATGCGCTGTACATTGGTGATTGGTATATATTGCACTAGTGGAGACGTGGTGTAAAAATATCACAAATAATATATACACGAACATGAAGGCACGTGATGCAGGATGGATGCATATGAGAACACAAGATAGAAGCTCTGAGAGAGCCAGAAATCATGGTAACAGGATTACCATGTTCTCCATTAAACATCAATAATAATAATAATAATAGAAACAAAAACAGGAATAAAAGGATTCAGACACTATAATAGCTATTGGCAGTTTTAAGGAGGTCAAAATAATGATAATCATATGTTTTCTTTTTATTTACTTTTGTTTATTGTTTATCGCCACACTCGCAATATTACAGCTTTATTTACTTTTGTTTATTGTTTATCGCCACACTCGCAATATTACAGCTTTATTTACTTTTGTTTATTGTTTATCGCCACACTCGCAATATTACAGCTTTATTTACTTTTGTTTACTGTTTATCGCCACACTCAGCAATATTACAGCTATATGATGGCGGCCTGTAAATAATCTAGTCTGGACCAGACAATCCAGTGACCAATACTTCGAGCAACAATCCACACAACAATGACACGAAATCAGCCATGTCACTGATCCATTAGGTTACCTCTCACAGGTTCCTGGGGACCTATCCTTACCTGGAATTATCCACAGGTTTTTTATTATTTATTTACCATGTTTACAGAAACAAAGGTACAAAAAGTCTGCCTTCCTCTAAACATTAGACCTGTCCACTACAGGCTACACAGCATCTAGATGTCTACTACAAGTACTATCGCGTACATAGAGACAAATGCAATAACTGCTATTAACTATATTAAACTTAATAAACTCAACACACAACTTATATGTCTACAATTTGTAGAATCTTGAAAATCTTGAATCTTTCATGTCTATACTGTTACAGAATAATAATAATAATAATAATACTTGTTTTACGCCACAGACAGCAGCCTGTACATAACTGAACCTGATACATACAAACCAGTGATTGATATCATGAGCAGCATGCCAAGCTATCAGGGAACATTGAAACAAGTCCCAACAGCCAGTCCAAGTTAATCACGTCAATAATTTCCATTACATAACATGTACATAATAAACCAGAGTAAACAAGCCACTATAAATGTACTGAGTTTCATTTTATTTATGAAATGATTATCCAGTGGAATGAACTGGTCCCAGTCGATGCTGTCGGATAGAATTGATCCGTTTTTGGGATAGCTGATACATAGATTATCGCAAACAAAAACAAACCCGTAAAAAATAGCAGCAATAGAAAAATGTTTAGTCCTCTAGTCTTTACAATGATAACATATAGCAAAGCCCTTCAAAAGGCAAATTTCTACTATATTACCTTAATCATAAGGACAATAGGACTAGTGCCAGTTTTGAATGCTGTAATAGCACAGGTCAAATGAAAAGAGACATTGGCAACCAATGCTACAGAAAAACCTTCGTTCAGAAATGGTGTCTGCAACACAGAAGAAGATTAGATCGCTGTCCTAACAAACAACATGAACCAATCTAATTTAACAAAAGTCAACAAAAGATACAACCATCAAACTATCCATGGTCTCATATAAAAAAAATATACTGTAATTCAAAACATGCATTAACATACAGAGAACAAACAACGGCACCCAGTGTCCGAAATAAGTGACTGCCCGCGGCTGGTCTTTTGTCTGTCGGGCTACATATTCTCCTCCACCTGCCCGACTCTCTTTCATATAATTTTAAGACTACTAAGTTATTTAGTTTCATCATAACTCCTTATAGATTGTCAAGTAATTGTTTGCATTATTTCAACTGACTCAAGACGCGATTTATCTCTAAGGCTGGCGATGTTTCAAAATTAATAATGTATGAATGCGGGCAGGTAACTTTGAAGAGGGGCAGGTAACTTTGAAGAGGGGAAGGTAACTTTATACATCCCTTTTGAGAATTCACCTCGCTAATTACAAATAGAAGGTTTTCCTTAGGATTACCATATTTGACTTAATAAGCGCCCCGCTCTAATAAGCGCCCATGGCAACATTTGCTGATATATTGGCTAGTGAACTATCCCAATTATCACCCCTTCCAATTGATCAATGTAGACAAGACTTATTTATTCGCGTATGATACGCACTCGTGTGTTATATGCACCCTTAATTATGGGCCATTAAATTCGGGAAAAATATATCTGTCGTACATAAACATTTCAGGCTGTCAGCATAAACCACAAAATTTATCTTTCAACTCTGTTTTTTCCCCCAAAATAATATTCTAATAAGAGCCCCCTATTTTTAATTTTGAGAGCACCCTGGGCGCTTATTACGTTGAATACAGTACTGATAATTAGCGACAAAAAAGAAACTTTGATTCTATCATTTCGTCAAACATGTGTACACTAAACTTGACAAGGAAACAAATAAGTGTTTAATAAAACAGCCAATACTGCTTATGCACCATCTACATGAACCTGTAGTGAGTGAGCGAGTGAGTATGGTTTTACACCGCTGTTAGCAATATTCCAGCAATATCACGGTGGGGGACACCAGAAATGGGCTTCACACATTGTACCCATGTCGGGAATCGAATCCGGGTCTTCGGCGTGACGAGCGAACGCTTTAACCACTAGGCTACCCGACCGCCCCACATGAACCTGTAAATGTAGAACATATGAAGCAAAACGCAGAACAATAATGTGGATATATTAATTGTTATATTCTAACTGCAACTTCACACTAGGTGACACAATAATACAGTTTGACAGATGGAATGATGCGGAATATTGCAGTTACCATGGTAACTTCATTGGAATGGTCATCCAAACAATGATTCAAATATATCATATATAGATATATTTGAAATAAATGTCATTTGTATTTATTGCCCAAAAAGATGTTTTCCTGAAATCTGAATTTCCATATCATTCCTACAAATGGTAGTGAATACTAATACCAATGGTATCAATATTATCTTAACAGCCGTATATTTCAATAGTACCAGTTACATTAAACATGTTCGATAGTCCCCCAAAATATTTAAAAACTAAAACAGCCAAAAGCCTACTGTGGACTTTCACACAGTATGAAATGTAATCCTTTAAACCCTAATTTTGAACTGTTTGTGTGCTAGCTTAAAGGGACAGCACGTCGACAGTTCTGTGTATTATCAAATCATGCATGAAATCATTTCCGTCACATGCTCTTCAAATAGGAAACAAAAAACAATAGAGCTCCGAACGGTGAAGCCGACAACGCAAGCACTGCAAAGAGTTAACTGGCTTCAGTCTTGTTTTTTATTAGAGGCAAACTGAAGAGAAAACTCATGTTTTTTTCTTACGGCTGATTTACAAAATACTGATTGCCACCTTGCATAGATTTGAAGCCAGTGTTTATCAAAGCCTCAAACGTATGAAGCCAATGACAAAGTTCCTTGCAGGCTTGTTGAATACCTGTCACATCGTCACATCTTACACAGTCCATTCGTGTGTTTTCATCTGTTTCATTTTGGACGGGTCTTCATGTCTAAATAAACATACGTCATGAAATGTTTAACTTACATTGAGAAAATATCCTAAAACGTGAAAAGCTGATTCCATTTAAGCATATATCTGTCATTGATGTCCTGTCCCTTTAAAACCTCGTACTCAACACAAATCTTGGACAGATACAATTGTTTGATTTAAATACACACAAAACACACAGCTGTTATTTTGTCAATGTCTACCAACTGCATCCTCCTCGACGATGCTCTACTGCTGCAGCGGTGGTTTGTCCATCGTATCGTGGCCAGTGGCTGTTTCCACGTTATTTCGGTACGGTGATGGATGGTCAATATTTTCATAGCCACCAGGGGGAGCTGCAACAGACAAAATTTAAATTTCATTGGAATTAAATTTTCACTTCACTTCATGCAACATGAAATCAAGTTTATAAAATACGCACCGGAATCATACATTCCTAGCTTGACAACTGAGTAGCAGATGCTCCAACCAATAGACTATGGAGATGGTACAATAGTCTTTTGTATCTTCTTGGCTTTTAGCAATACAGCAACAAGGAGATACACTCTGAGTGAGTGAGTTAAGTTTAACACCAATTGAGCGGTATTTCAGTTATCTAGTCAAGTCAGCTTGATCTGTGAGGGAAGCCTGAAGTGAGGCAGGTTTTAGGTGTGGTGTGAAACCGACATTTCCAATATGGCTGCCCAGTGGCCATGTCTAAACTTGCATCTGCATTCAGTGAGCAGCTTATGGAATCATTGCTGAGGTTTCAAGGAGATGTGACACAGTAAAACAGTTTTAATGAATGTCAAAGATGACTCTTTGGTCAAACCATAAATATTTAACTATCGTATAATATTGTATTCCTCATACCACATACCGTATTCTACGTAGTAAGCGGCCCGCTCTAATAAGCACCCAAGGCTAGTGAACAATCCCAATTAGCACCCTTTCCGACTGATCAATGTACACAAGACTTATTTATTCGTGTATGATATGCACTCGTGTGTTATATTCACCCTTAATTATGGGCAATCAAATTCATCAAATTATCTATCGTTATAATAAGCACAGATTCTTCTTTTATATCATTTCAGGCTGTCAGTATAAACCACAAAATTTACAATCTTTCAACTCTGTTTTTTATCTCACCAAAATTATATTCTAATAAGAGCCCCCTATTACTAATTTTGAGAGCGCCCTGGGCGCTTGATACGTTGAATACGGTACTTGCTGCAAATATAATTTTATTATGACCCATGCAAAAATGACTGAGTTATGGGCCACAAAGACATTTTGACATGTTTAAAATCAGCTGTGTATTCTGTGTAATCTTTAGAGACCATAGCTGGGAATATTCAAGCAAAGATTCAGCATCACCACATGATCACAGGCCTTCTAGTTTCAGAGACAGCGAAATGTAAACTTTAAAGACAGACAGACATGTTATGAAATACGCTCCCTTTGCTTTCAGAAAGTCAGGTGAGCTAAAACATAGATGGAAATTTAAATACTGTAAATCTAGAAATTAACGTCAGCGGGAATTAAATGCGAAATTTGCGAGTGGTCTTTGCTTGCATGAATTAACTTCGCATTTATGTCTCCAAATGACAATCAACAATAAGACGGCCTCCGTGCACACTTTGGATAGCGGAAATACCAACTTGAATATAAACACAAACATGGTTTATTGAGCAGCAGTTGTAACAAGTATATAACAATGTCATTCAACGAATAGGAATTACACAATGGGCATCTAGTGAGTTATCACTGCTATGGTCAAAAGTTCTACCCACTCGTGTCAACCTTGTTGACACCTTCTCCACATACCAATCAGTGAACTGTTGTTGGTTCAATTATTTAATGCCTTTGAAAATCCTTAATGCCAGTCAACAGAGTAAACATATAAACTGTGTGTTGTTTTTAAGAAAACACTGTTTATTGTTATTACGGAGATGTTTTACTATTGGTGTTTGATTGGATTAAGGTCAGGATATGTATCATTCCACTGGGGATGGGGTCGGGGAGTCGTATTTTTGGCTAGGGGTCAGCAGTCATATTGATTTGGAGATGAATTAATTTCCAGATTTACAGTATCAATTTATTGTGGCCTAGATAAAGTACATGAGTGAGTGAGTGAGTTGGGTTTAACGCCGCCTTTAACAAAATTCCAGTTATATCGCGGCGTGTCAGCTTAATGTGGGAGGAAAGCCCCAAGTGATGCAGGTCTCAGACATTTACCACTTTGGTGAAACCCACGAGCATGGGTATGGTGCTGACAAACCTAGAAACATAATCGGGGCAAACCGGGATTCGAAACCCACTATCATAGGTTTCTGGCATGCCCCAGGGACGCAACTCTGCACAGCGAATCGCGGCGCCTTAGACATAAAGTACATGATGTTAAGCAGATAGAATAGAGCACAGTTGGTTTGATGTTTAACGCCGCACTCAGCAATATAACAGCTATATGACGGCGGTCTGTAAATAATCGAGTCTGGACCAGACAATTCAGTGATTGACATTATGAGCATTGACCCACTTAATTGGGATCGATGACATGCATCAACCAAGTCAGCAAGTCTGACCGCCCGATCCCGTTAGTCGCCTTTTACGACAAGCATAGTCGCCTTTTACGGCAAGCATGGGTTGCTGAAGACCTATTCTACGAATAGAGCATGGTAAATTGTGAAGTATTGAACTACAATAAAGGAAAAGAAATTTTCTACTCTACAGTGAAACATGTTTGAACTGCATAACTCCACGCCTGTACAGGTGATGCAGCAATGAATTGACAGTAACAGATGGTGCAAGCATAGCAAAGTCAAGCAGAGGGATAGTGTCAAAAGTCCAAATTGCATTTCTGAACTAATGTTGAAAGAATCTAATCTAAACACCTTTTCATTTTCTAATTAAATAATATCCAAATTAATTTCATAATGTACCAAAAGTAGCCTAGAAACTATCAGATAAAGTACCAAATTTATCATGTTTATTAAAAATATGTTTGGAAATGTCTAACATGGCACCAAATTATTTCACTAGAAAAACACCTCAGTTATTGATTCCCGTACATAGGACAAAATGTAGCATTGACTGCTGTCATGATTGTGTGATAACTGCTCAACTCAAATGGTTTTTGAACTCACATGTTAAAGTTTATCTATTGTCAAGTAGTGCTGCCTAAATCAGAGGAAGCAAAATTAAACTTAAGTATTGTGTTTCCAGTCCCAGACAAAATTTGCAGTAAAATTTACGAAAAATTCTGTGGTAATTTTTTTTATAAATCTGCCGCTAAATATGCATATCCTGCAGTAAATTCTGCAACAAAAACAACCATTTCTCTGTCAAAAATGAATACAAACACATAATAAAGTAAATAGTGTTACTGATATTATTTATCGTTAGATATAAACATAGATCATGAAGTCATAATACCACAAAAATGCTTAAAACAGAATTATATATTACAAATTTCATTTTATTGTCGATTCTAATTTTGTATATTTGAATAACATGTTATACAGAAAATCTTTGGGCATCATTCGAGGGGAAAATTTGATAGAAAAGCTTAAAAATAATGAAAATTAGTGTATTGACTGATAAGAAAAGGAAAATTCTGGGATTTTTCTGCAATAAGTTAAATTTTCTGCAAATCTCTCAGCGATCACGGAAACACAGAATTCGTCTGGGACTGTGATTCTTACAGGAAGGTGAATATGGAGTATCGATGGCATCACTGCAGTGTAGCTTTCTTGCAGGACTTCCTAGCCATGAAGATAAGGTAAATGGCACGGGAATGCTTTAACCACTAAGCTACCCCATTGCCCCTAGCACACAGAGTTATTCAGGAGATAACCCTACTGTTTCTAATGTACAACTAGGATAACTGTAGATTTAACTTCTTTGATAGGCATTATCCATACATTCTTATCCTTACTATGTAGATTTAACAGTGCTAAATTGAATTTGGAACCAACGCTCAGCGTGAGGTTGCAAATGTTAAACACTGATACTTGCCCTTAAACAAAGTCTGTTGCTGCATATCGTGGTATGCAAACAATTTTCTTTTTTACGACTGTAGTTAATCTGTCATCAGGTGTTCTTTAACTTCTTTTGCACAGTATATATGAATCATATGCTCAAACATTGGTTTTTTTACATCATAAAACTTCACTTGCATATAAAACAGCACTGAAAGTACACAGCACAGCAACCTTGTAAGCGAAAGTGAAGAAAGTGGGAATTGAATTGCGGGGTGAGCAAGTGGCCACCTTAACTGGTGAAGTAGGCACAAGGAAAAAAATGGAACCTGGTGGCGTGAGAAGTAGTATAGGAAAAAAGCTGTTTGACCAGAATGTGAGATTGGATTGCTACATGAAAGAGGACTGTAACTTGAGATGTGATTGTCTTTTCATATTGGATGGTCACACGAGATTCAATTCACATGTGTGATTGGTGTGTACTCATTGGTGAGATATGATTGACACGAGATGGGATTGTCATGTGATATATGATCGATTGACACAAGATGGGGTTGTCATGTGACATATGATTGACATAAGATGGGGTTGTCATGTGATATATGATTGACACAAGTTGGGATTGTCATGTGATATATGATTGAAACAAGATGGGATTGCTATGTGATATATGATTGACACGAGATGGCGATTGTCATGTAATATATGATTGACACAAGATGGGGTTGTCATGTGATATATGATTAACACAAGATGGGGTTGCCAGGTGATATATGATTGACACAAGTTGGGATTGTCATGTGATATATGATTGAAACAAGATGGGATTGCTATGTGATATATGATTGACACGAGATGGCGATTGTCATGTTATATATGATTGACACAAGATTGGTTGTCATGTAATATATGATTGACACAAGATGGGTTGCCAGGTGATATATGATTGACACAAGATGGGGTTGCCAGGTGACATATGATTGACACAAGGTGGGTTGCCATGTGATATATGATTGACACAAGATGGGTTGCCAGGTGATATGATTGACACAAGATGGGTTGCTAGGTGATATGATTGACACAAGATGGGTTGCTAGGTGATATGATTGACACAAGATGGGTTGCTAGGTGATATATGATTGACACAAGATGGGTTGCCAGGTGATATATGATTGACACAAGGTGGGTTGCCATGTGATATATGATTGACACAAGATGGGTTGCCAGGTGATATATGATTGACACAAGGTGGGTTGCCATGTGATATATGATTGACACAAGATGGGTTGCCAGGTGATATATGATTGACACAAGATGGGTTGCCAGGTGATATATGATTGACACAAGATGGGTTGTCATGTGATATATGATTGACACAAGATGGGTTGTCATGTGATATATGATTGACACAAGATGGGTTGCCAGGTGATATATGATTGACACAAGATGGGTTGCCAGGTGATATATGATTGACACAAGATGGGTTGCCAGGTGATATATGATTGACTACATACATACCAGAAGCCCCTGAACCACCTGTAATTATGACAAGTGATGCATTTTCTTTGTGCAAAAACAAAAAAAGGGTATCAAGCAAATGAAACTTGACAAAAAACAAATGAAAATAAACACTTTATCCCCACATCAATAATCAAGTCTCTGTCATACATACTTGTTCCTCCATCGAGATTGCCAGCTGTGGTATACACAAAAACATCATTTTAAACCACTGTACGGCAACTCACTTTTGGGGTAAATATCAATTCATAGATAGGAATACACAATGCCACATTGTACTTTTTTGGGTTGTGTAAGCTCAGGATTTGAACCCACACTCGAGTGAGGCACCTAATCGCCAGCACACAAAGTCAGTGATCTAACCCACTCAGCCACCGAGGTTCCACAAAATGAAAGTCCGACAACTGGTAGTCTAGATCACATACTTTGAGTACCCCTCTGACAAGTGTAAAGTGGCACGGCTCCTATGGCCGAAAGCTATGAAGACAAAATGCCAATTAGAGAGTGGTCAAATGTAAGAAATGTTATATTTGGTATAACACTTTCTAAGTAAAGTACAAATTCTACTACTTTTTCGGGTTGTGTCCCATCCGGGATTCGTACCCACACTGCCAGAGTGAGGCACCTAATCGCCAGCACACACAAGTCAGCAATCTAACCCACTCAGCCACAGAGGCTTCCGCAAAAATGAAAGTTTGAGAACTGGTAGTCTAGATCACATAGTTTGTGTACCCCTCTGATAAGCGTAAATCACACGGCTTCCATGGCTCACTCTGCGATTATGGGTTCGAATACAGGATGGGACTCAACCAGAACTAGATCTAGAATTTGTAATTTACAAAGAAAGTGTTGTCCCAAATATAACATTTGTTAAATTTGACAGTTAACGATAGCTTTTTGGTTTTGTTTGGTTTGTTGTTTAACGTCGCACTCAGCAATATTCCAGCTTTATGATGACGGTCTGTAAATAATCGAGTATGGACTTGACAATTCAGTGATTGACATCATGAGCATCGATCCACGCAATTGGGATTGATGACATGCATCAACCAAGTCAGCAAGCCTGACCATCCGATCACATTAGTCGCCTCTTACGACAAGCATAGTCACCTTTTAAAGCAAGAATAGGTTGCTGAAGACCTATTCTACCCCGGATCTTCACGGGTCTAACGATAGCTTGTTGCATAGATATGATAGAGGCAATGCATCATTCTTAACACAAGGATTTTACTACCGCATCCAAACTTAACCTGAAAAAGAACAACACACTATGGAACACTGTCTCCCACTATCCCCCACTATTCCTCATGTTCCTAGTTGCCTGACTTCAACATGATAAAAATACAGGTGAAATTGCTGGAAATTAAATTACACTTTCAGCGACATATTTTTCAATGAAATTGATTGACTGATTAATTGATTATTGTTTAACTCCACACTCAGCAATATTCCAGCTGTATGATGGCAGTCTGTAAATAAATGAGTCTGGACCAGAAAAACCAGTGATTGACATCATGAGCATCATTCTATGTAATTGGGATACAATGTCATGCATCAACCAAGTCAGCGAGCCTGACCACCCAATCCCGTTAGTCGCCTCTTACGGCAAGCATAGTCACGCCAGGTCGAAAAAATGAAGATAATTTTTTTCTTAAGAAATGTATACTACTTAAAAGTATCAGGTGTTCTTTGACCTCTTTCATATCACAACATTTCACTTCATGTCAATGAGTGAGTGAGTGAGGTTTTACGCGGCTTTTAGCAATATTCCAGCAATATCACGGCGGGTGACACCAGTAATGGGCTTCACACATTGTACCCATGTCGGGAATCGAACCCGGGTTTTCGGCGTGACGAGCGAACGCTTTAACCACTAGGCTACCCGACCGCCCCTTCATGTCATCAGTAGGATTCCTGTTACCATGGTAACCAGTGAAAGAAAACAGGAAATGTCCAAGGATCCTTCACATATTTGGTTAAGGCAATATCACCATCAAGCTCCAAATAATCTTAACAGTAAAACAAGAGACAGGGACTTATCCAAACCTCGTGAACATGATCCGAGGTTGACATTCAGACCTATTTCTGCTAAAAATACCAAAATGGGAATTAAAAGCATGTACTGGGGGAAATTCATGTAAATATAGCTAGAACTAGTGTCATGGCTCGTCAAGGGGACTGATAGTCGGAACAAAAAGAGAGGAACAGGCTTAAGTTCCCATAAATACCGTATTCGACGTAGTAGGCGTCCAGGGCGCTCTCAAAATTGGAAATAGGGGGTTCTTAATAGAATATTACTTTGGTGCAAAAAACAGAGTTGAAAGATAAATTTCGTGGTTTATGCTGACAGTCTGAACTGTTTATATACGACAGATATATTTTTCTAGAATTTAATTGCCCATAATTAAGGGTGCATATAACACACTAGTGTGTATTATACATGAATAAATAAGTCCTGTGTACATTGATGAATCGGAAGGGGTGCTAATTGGGATTGTTCACTTGCCAATATATTAGCAAATATCGCCGTGGGCGCTTATTAGTGCGAGGCGCTTATTACGTCGAATACGGTATACTGATAGCAATGTCAAAATGACATTTTAACTTTCCAAAGTTGCCTGCCAAATGCACTTAGTTTGGAATCCTAGGTAAATCCCTGAAAGATCCCTGAACTTTCATGCTGAATTTCAAACTCTGGTTACTATGGTTACACCTGCAAAAATATAAGAATACTGTTGGACTTACCAAATCCTGGGAAATTGCTGACTCCTGGAATGGTGAACTCGGAGTACTCTCCGCTCCGTGATCGGAGAATCCGGAAGAGAAGAAATCCTGTGACTGGTTTTATTAACAAGTCAACAATGGCCATGCTTGCAGAGGGTTAAGGAAGTAGTGTGAGTGTGTTGTTTATAGCCATCCGGCAATATTCCAGATACATTAAATAATCGAGTCGGGGCCAGACAACCTACTGATTGCCTAATCCCCACAGGGAGACAAGCATGGGATGATGGGGACCTATTCTAACCTGGAATCCCAACAACCCCGAATCCCCACTGGAAAGACAAGAAAAGGTTGCTGGGGACCTATTCTAACCTTTAATCCTCACAGGGAGACAAGCATAGGTTGCTGGGGACCTATTCTAATTGGGAATCCCCACAGAGGAGACACATATAGGTTGCTAGGGACCTATTCTAACTCAGAATCCCCACAGAGGAGACAAGCATAGGTTGCTGGGGACCTATTCTAACTCAGAATCCCCACAGAGGAGACAAGCATAGGTTGCAGGGGGCCTATTCTAACCAAGTATCACCCACGGGGTGGGAGGAGAACACCCCGAACCCTGAGAACACCCTGAGAACACCCCGAGAACACCCTGAGAAAACCCAGAGAACACTGAGAAAACACCCAGAGAACACCCCAAGAACACCCTGAGAACACCCCGAGCACACCCTGAGATCTTCCTGAGAACACCCCGAGAACTTCCAAGCAAAGGATACCCCAAACTGAAGCGGTACTCGTCGATGGTGCCCTGATTTTGAGTGGCACGTGCTGTGGAGGGAAACAGACAGGGCAGTATTATCTCTCTGGCCATACTCCATTGTATTTGCAACTCAACAGAAAAACACAGTCACCCAGTTGCCATAAAATAAAAATGTATTCACCAAAATATTTGATCAGAAACAGGGTCATAAATGTGAGTGAGTGAGTTTGTTGTTTAACACCACACTCTGCAATATTCCAGCAATGTGATGGAGGTCTGTAAAGGATCAAGTCTGGACCAGACAATACAGTGATTGATATCATGAACACGGATCCACACAATTGGGATGCGATGACATGCATCAGCCATGTCAGTCAGTCTGACCACCCGATCCCGTTAGTCGCCTCTAATGACAAGCATGAGTGAGTTGGTTTACTGCCTCTTCAAACACGGTGTCATATGATGTTATATCACGGCTTGTCAGCTTAATGTGGGAGGCAACCCTAAATGGAGGCCGGGTTTTACGTGATGCACAAATGTAAGTCAAGGTAAAACTCTGTGGAGACCAGTGTCCGAAATAACTACCTGCCCGCGGCTGGTACATTTTCTATCGGGCTGCATGAAATTTTCCTCTACCTGACGGAGTTAATTTTAAGACAACTTACGTATTCAGTTTTATAATAACTCCTCAGACTATCAAGTAATCGATAGCATTATTTCAACTGAATCTTATTTTGCGTGATTTTCCAATATCTATGATGTCTGAATGCAGGCAGATAACTTTGAGTGAGTGAGTGAGTTTGGTTTTACGTTGCTTTTAGCAATATTCCAGCAATATCACGGCAGGGGACACAGAAATGGGCTTCACACATTGTACCCATGTCGGGAATCAAACCCAGGTCTTCAGCGTGACAAGCGAACACTTTAACCATAAGGCTACCCAACCGCCCAATATAACTTTGAAGATGGGCAGACTGTCTTGTTGGAGTTTACAGATATTGAGACACATTGTACATTTGAGACATGTTGTACAACTAGCATTGATTTGGTGCTGACAGACCATAGATCTTTGTCAGGGCAAATCTTGGACTATAGGGAAGTCATAATTCAATTATCTCCTGATGTGATACACAATATAATATATATCAAAATACTTAATTCACCACAATTTTGTGTGAATTTTAAAATTTCATTGTCTTTTCCCGACAGACTTTTTAATTCCTCTTCCTTATTGTACATGATCATGTTGATAGTTGATTGGATAGCATAAAATTATTGGCCAATGAAATTGCATGTAACAAGTGTGTTGCAACTCGCTTAACCAGACTGAAATGTGGCTGCATATCGAATATTGATAAAACCCGTCCGAAATGATTGCTAATCGTTTCAAGTAAGAGATGTTGCCCAACAAAATGAGCTTCAATACCCATGTTTGTAATTGTATTTAAAGTTCTATGTGTGAAATATGCAGGATTGAAACATCAATCAATACAGGTACGAGTAAGTGTGTATCACATATCGTACCACCGGAGAATATTATTAATGATATGTATTGATGAAAAGTGACATCCCTTTTGGATGATATAAGAAAACAAATAAAAAAAGAGGATTTGGAAAAACAAATAATTATTTTGTTGCGCCCTTATATTTGTAGAACATGGCAAATACGATAAAACAAAAACAAAAACAAAAATCCACATGACCATGATGACACAACTTCTTAAGTACTTACATAAATCGTATCCCCTGGGTGCATATATCCCCAGCAGTACTATATCTTGTACAACGCTGATGGCGTGCATGATGAGGTACTGGTGGAGAAAGAAAGGTTTTCCGTAAACATCAGATGATTATTACTTGTACATGTTGTAGAGAGTGAGTGAGTGAGTGAGTTGGGTTTAACGCCGCTTTTAACAGTATTCCAGTTATATCACGGCGTGTCAGCTTAATGTGGGAGGAAAGCCCGAAGTGATGCAGGTCTCAAACCTAGAAACATAATCGGGGCGAACCGGGATTCGAACCCACAATCATAGGTTTCTGGCATGCCCAAGGGACGCAACTCTGCACAGCGAATCGCTGCGCCTTAGACGACTTGGCCACCCGTGCCCCTGTTGTAGAGAGACGAATCTGTGTCAAAATTAAAAAATACCAATGTTTGGTTTTGTTGCTTTGTTGTTTAATGCCGCACTCAGCAATATTCCAGCTATATGACGGCAGTCTGTAAATAATCGAGTCCGGACCAAGCAAATCCAGTGATTGATATCATGAGCATCGAAGCACGCAATTGGGATACGATGACATGCATCAACCAAGTCAGAGAGCCTGTCCACCCGATCCCGTTAGTCGCCTCTTACGACAAGCATTGGCGCTTTTCACGGCAAGCATGGATTGCTGAAGACCTCGGATCTTTTGGGTCATTTCCTCAACGAGACGCCTGGACGTATAAAGGCTGCTGTCAGCACTGACATTCAAATACTTTCTGCATTAATTGAGGAATATTTCACAAAAATTTAACACGCAAATGCATTTCATTAATGCTTCTTAATCTGCATTAACAACAAAATAATTCAAATTCTATCAGCAACAACAACAAAAATTCTCATTCTACTTAATTTATTTTGTTGATATATATATTTTTCATCCTTATGAAAGAGAGAAACATTAATCAAGTCTTTGAAAGGCATTTAGAAGTGATACACTAAGGAAGAAAACTTATGGATGTCAACTTCTTTATCATGTTTATTATGTGGAGCACAACGTTTTGGAGTATATGCTTACTCCTTTCCACAGTCTGAAGCATCAGTACCGAGTGTGGCGTTAAACATGTTAAACAACAAACTTACCATCATGACTGGTTCCGGAGATTCAGGGTTGACAATGGCCCAGAAACCAAAAGCTAGGACAAATGCATTGAGGTAGAGGTAAGCTGCTGGCATCAGCGCTCCAGACATTGACCCCCTGAACACAGAAAACATACATGTCAAAGAGGGACAGCTGACCACACCAGTAGGGCCTCCGGTTTTTTTCATCTTTCGATTCATGGGCCTTCCATCCCTACTAAAAAGCAGCCAGTCCAAGAAATAAATTAAACATTTTTTTATTATATCTCCTGCTAGTAATATAGACCCTCTTATACAGCATAAAATGTCGTATATATGTTTCTTGTCTACACCACTGACAGTGATTCAAGAAGGCAGCTTTCATATAAATAAATAAATAAATAAATAAATAAATAAATGACATAGCTATTTATTTTTATTTCGACTGGCCTTGTGTGGAAAAGCTGGTATAAATCTGTAAAACATAAAATTAAATAAGGTGGCCTAAGGTGAGTTTTGTACACAGTCTACCAGTAGTGTAACGATACGGCAATACAGTATTGTATCGCGATACGAGGCTCACAAGGCATAAAATTGATTTTCATACGATTCAAGTCATATTGTTGTAAAAACATGATAATAACAGAAACTGTTCAAGAACCAGCTGACACAGATTCTGTAGTATTTCAAGGTTGGCACTAAATAGCATAACATTCACAGTGCCCTCTAGCCTATATGTTTCTGTCCTACAATATCCCATCTTCACTCTCTGACATTTTCAACCACTGAACTAGCCAAAATGCACTGCTATGTAAAAACAAAGCTCAGATTTGGAATCCTTGAGGTCTAAAACCTATGAAAAGAGCCTTCATTCATGATCCTATGACTTTTGGGGATAAAATTAGGACAAAATCAAACAGGGACTGGCGGCCATCTTGGAATTTGCCAATATGGCGGCCCCAATGAGCAGCGTCTTTGGCACCCTCCAAAAAAAGATTTAGCATGTTCTGATCTACATGTGTGCCAAATTTGATGCTTGTAGACACATCGGCATGAAACTTCCACATTACCATGTGTACATTACTACAACTCATGATCAAAAGAAAGACAAATTTGTACTGCTTTACATGTATTTTATTGAAACTGTAAAACCAGAGCTCCAGATAAGCTTTTGGTGTTCTGGGTACTCAAATTTCTGTTACCCACTAGTTTTTACACATGTGGGTATTTAAGTTAAAAACTTAACAACACTATTCATCTAGTCCCTGCAAACTGGTGTTGTGTGGGTTCAAGAGCTTTATAGGACTAAAAAATACCACGATACTTCCACAAGAAAGTGTGATGGCAAATGATCATGATGTGACTGTCATCGTGGAGTTTGGCAAGGTTGACGGAATGCCCGTTTATAATTTCAAAATAAGTTGCTGATTTGCTAATCGAATACGCAGGGTTACTTCACAATATTTTGATGATACGCACAAGTTTTATTTTTGTAGCTTATCTGTAATGTTCGCTGCGTGTTTGATACACTTGGATTTTATTTTACTGCATATTCCTGCATTTCTGATGCGTATTTTACGCAGATACGCAGCTTATCTGGAGCTCTGAAAACTATGGTAAATCCAATCGAAACTATTGATATTCCTAACTGAAATAGATACTATTGATCAGAAACTGATTTAACAATCGATTTATTAACTTTAAGTGCTTACCAATAGAAATATATCGATATTTCGATTTATCATGACATCCCTACTCCCTAATGGCCTGGACTAGTGAGTGAGTTTGGATTAACACCATTTGAACAGTATTTCAGTTATATCAGTGGTCTCTAAATAATTGAGTCTGGACCAGACAACCCAGTGATTGACATCATGAGCATCGATTCATGCAATTGGGATATAATGACATGTATCAACCAAGTCAGCAAGCCTGACCACCCAATCCCGTTAGTCGCCTCTTACGACATGCATAGTTGCCTTTGACGGCAGTCACGGGTTGCTGAAGACCTATTCTACCCTTCACGGGTCTATATCATACTATTTCAGTTATAACATATCATTTTTAGCATGTTTTGCAGAAAAGCCAAAGTGCTTAGTTTGACATCACTGCATTGAATGCAATGTTAAAATTCAATGTCAAACTACCTCTGAATTAGGGAAACTAAGAACTTTATTTCCCCACTTTTAATAAAAATCTGTCCCAATCTTACCATTTTCCATCCATTGAAATTTATTGGGGAGTTCATTATCAGCCCGATAACACTTTTTGATATTTGTTTTCTTCTTTTTGTTAGAGTGTGGGTAAACAAGTACCTAATATATTCATGATAAAATAAACTATTCATGATCACTACAAAAATATTATATGAAAATATCCTGAAGGATAAATCATTTATTTCCTGTTGCAGTGTAACACATGGTACGTTATCATGGTGATATATAGCATGTATAGCAGGTTGTTTCCTTATATAGATTATTGACCGTTTATCTCTATCCAGGAAAACGACAATAATGTCCATAAGTGTCAATGTCTTATGACACAGTGAATGCTGCGCTATACAAATGCATATATTATTATTATTATTAATGTCGATAAATGTAATGATTAAATAATAATCTTCAGAACACTTTTTTTATTGAATGGTCATTTGAAACTGGATGTTTAACAACTGCAATGTGTTGTACTGAGTTATTTTTATACAGTAACCATGGTAACACAAGGTCACATCGAAGGGTCATAAGGGTCTGATGAAGTATTTGCCATCCTCGATTATCAAGTGTTTTAAATCTCCATTTTATTATAATACATACCCTTGACCATGGCTCTGTTTTGAGTCCAGATCAAATGTCATGATGCCACAAATACTGGCCAAAGCACATTCCACTGTCCTTTCACAGTTGAAACAATCGGATGAGGCCGTAATTTGGAATGTAGATACCGAGCTCGATATAGGGGCTCCCAAAAACAGGAAATTAAATGAATTCGAAGCCACTCCCAACTCGTAGTTGTAGACACAATTTAAGGTGAATTTGTTGACAAACCCGGAATGAATTCGTAGACATTTTTATTTTGGAAATGAAAGAAGATAATTACTCATAATTCCCATCTAAGTCTTTCACTTACCTCGACAACAGTAGTATGGACATGAGGTTCATTCGGTAAGTTGTGGGTGGAGTGAATTACTGTGTTATTCTTATTTGTTTTGATAGGTTTGCAGGATTCTTTGTGACTAATACTATAAATCATCAGGTAAGTATATCCAAATGAGGACAAATGGTGAGTGGGGTGGATTACTGTATTGTTATTTTGTTTTCAGATAATTAGCAGGTAAGTATATCCAAGCTGAGAAGGAAAACTGGTGACTGGAATAAGGGATTCAAGATTAAAGCTGAGAAGGAGATTAATTAGAACTTCCATATCTATCTCTATCAAAGATGACTGGCAGAACTTGCACATCATATCACCATAGGTCATAATGCATCCAGTATTTTTCTTAATTTAAAATTTAAGATTTGAAATATATTTGCTGCGTAATACCAATATTTATATGTAATCAGTAATAAATCATCATTCAGTTCTATTTCTCTATCTGTTTCGTCTACAAGTTCACCATGAATTTTGTCTAAGAGATGAGAGTGTCTACGACTTCTCCATGGCTATGAATTGGTTTGGTTACGAATTCACCTACAGCCCCCTAGGAACCCCACTTTTTTAAGTCAAGGTAAAATCATGTTCTGTCCTAAGTAAGTGATAAGACAGATGGGGATGGCGACATCACTTCAGAAATGAAACTATGGCAGTGAATGAATTTAGGCACAGGACCATGTAACTAACAAAAATAACAAAAACATTCTCAGACAAGTACAATTTTTTGGGAGTTTTTGTATTGCTATAATTATTAGTTACATAGTCCTGTGGTCTAGCTCATAGGAGAATAGAGATACACTGGATAATCGATGATGCAGGTTTGGAATCACTATCATTTTGTCAAGGTAAGACATGTAGGCCTATAGGTCAATACCAAACGTCAGGTCAGATACGTAATGTGTGATTAATGCAAGCAATGAGATTGTTATTGCCTGCTGTGGACAGACATCTGCACTGGTCTACGGTCTTATTACTTACCAAAATGTCAGCACAAAATGGGCGACAAATATAATCTGAAATGGGGAAGAAAATTACATGAGAATTTCGCAATTTACAGATTCAATGACAAAGCATACTTCATTAACATATTTTACAAGACAGCTGTTTTGCGTGGGACCACTGTATACTTAACAAAACTATTGTTACGATGCACTCTATCGGAGCACAACAACAAAATTAGTGTAGTTACATCAGTATATGAAATGACCGAGCACAGGTTGATAGATAATCTTATCGATCACCGAGGAAGCAAACATCCACGCACCTTTAACGTTGTTTGTGGGGCGTTATTCATGGTTAATCCGTTTGCAAGCTTATTGGAAAAGTGAACGATGCGTGGAGATGTTGTTCGCTAAAGTAGACCAGATAACGCTTGTTGATAAGGTTTGTTTTCTGGATCACCGTCACGAGTACCAGTCTCGTGTCTAAAGACAACAAAGGTGAAGGTCGTTCCCTCAAACCATCTACTCCTGTTGTAAAAAGTAATTTCCAAAATCAACTATTGCCTGTTATCTAACATAAATTACTTGGAACCAAGACAATATAATTTTCATTCATTTGATGTTGTATTTTAAGGAATATTCCTTGAAAATGAGTAATGTTATGTAGTTCAGAGCATTGCATTAGAGAGTACTTGAATGAATCAACATGGCCGCGCTCTTGTAGAGAAACGTGAGTAGCCAGGCCAAACTAACAGTTAATCTAGAGGAAACGGCTCACTCTTGAGTTAGCCGGTATTTCCAACACTTTGGCAAGTGGCAGCGTTATGATAGATATTGAGGCGAACTAGATCTAGACTAAACACTAACGAAGCCAGATAGGAATGTCCCTCTCAGGTCACACACTGGCCTATCACCCGCAGTTAGGTTAAGGCGTCATTCGTCATTTTATAACATTAAATGATTAATGTTCCAGGGTGTGGAGATTCCGGGTTACGAATTGGCAAACTGTGCTTGGTATAAGAAAAATGGATCCGGTGGCTGGGATCAGTGACATGGTTGCTGTTATGTTTTTGCCTCATTTTTATAAACAACAAGATCATACAGCTTGGGTACCATCTTTACTTCTTGACAAGCTTACAGGAGTGAAATCGAGAGTGCGACATTACTCTAAGCCAACCGCGAAAGGCCATGTGATGATGTGGAAGTAATTAGCATTCACAACAAATCAAACTAGCATGACTAAGCTTGGCCAGACTAAGAAGTAATTAGTTAATTAGCATGATTAGACAACACTTTATGGGACCACAGGCACTATCACAATAATTACGTTCTTGTGACCAGTATTTCAGTGTTTACATTTCTTGTACAAATGAGCAGAAGCCACTTTTTCTGCAAAACTTGATTTACTTATATGGAGTTAGTTATCTCATCTCTTTTTGAAAAGTAATCCTAAAACTAACCTGAAGTGGAGACTTACCCGAAGGGTTGCAAAAGGGTGTTTGATCAGTAAAGGGTCACCAACCCTTTGCAGGGTTCAATTTAAGGAACTTGATTAAACTTGCACCAGGTGCATGTTGACATGAAAAGCTAGTTGCACCAAACCAAACCAGGTTGCACCCTGGTCACATGTATTTAACCAAGTTGTGACATAGATGCTTAAACTATTAAAATCCTAGATCTCAGAAAACAGTGTCATGGATTAATCATAACACAGGGATTGGTGATGTGGTATGGTACCTATATCTTGGAGGTATTGAGTGTGTTCAAAGATCGATGTTGAGTGGACAAGTAAGGGTTAGTCAGACACAAATATTGAAATTGTTTGACGTTCTTTCTTTTTTTAATAATAGGTTGCATTGGTGCATGTTTTACATGTATATAGTTAAATCAAGCCCTACTACTGATCATAAAGTGGTGCTTGATCCGAACATGCTGAAAGGGGATCTCAGGGCTGAGGATAGAATTGGGGTTTAACCTACCCTTGCCCTAATACAACCAACCTTAAGGAAGAGACATGCAAGATCACTGAACATGCTGAAAAGGGATCTCAGGGCTGAGGATAGAATTGGGGTTTAACCTACCCTTGCCCTAATACAACCAACCTTAAGGAAGAGACATGCAAGATCACTGAACATGCTGAAAAGGGATCTCAGGGCTGAGGATAGAATTGGGGTTTAACCTACCCTTGCCCTAATACAACCAACCTTAAGGAAGAGACATGCAAGATCACTGAACATGCTGAAAAGGGATCTCAGGGCTGAGGATAGAATTGGGGTTTAACCTACCCTTGCCCCAACACAACCAACCTTAAGGAAGAGACATGCAAGATCACTGAACATGCTGAAAAGGGATCTCAGGGCTGAGGATAGAATTGGGGTTTAACCTACCCTTGCCCTAACACAACCGACCTTAAGGAAGAGACACGCAAGATCACTGAACATGCTGAAGCAAAGTCACCGCCAGAGCCAATTAGCAAGAGTTAGTTGTGCCTGGTAAACTGCAGTTTTGTCAAGCTAATGTTTTTCAAATGCACCAAACATGCTAAAACAGCAAACAAATAATGTTTTAATATATCATTTGTCACATATATCTTTTCCTGTTTCAGTAACTTGTGAAAATGGCTGCATTACGTTCAGTATCAAGTGTTTATCGACTTGGACAGTCCCTACAACGCCTTTCTGTCACAGGTCAGACTTTTTTCTTCTATAATGTCATTGTGACCCACCTATGCACCAAACAGTGCTAGCTATGATGTGTGAAGGCACAGGTTGCCTGTTCGTCTAAAGTGTTAGAATTCGCAATGCAGTGTTTTCCTAGGCTTGATACGAACTTATGATTATGGATGGGCCTTACTTTCAGAATCACACTCCTTATGTTTCAAGGTTTGTCAGCACCATATCCATTGACTTTTATGTTTCTGGTCCCTGTCCACATCATTTTCAACCTGCTGCATCAAGATTCTTATATATGCGGGGGGGGGGGGGGGGGGGTAAAAACAGTGAAATGTGAAAGTTGGTCTCTGCCTCTCGTAAATATTAAGACAGCAGCAGCCACCATTTTATTTTATATGTATCATTTTATGTTTTTAATTCATTTTTGGTGAAAAATTGTGGCCAGAAATGTGCACTGAAGGACAATCAATAAAAAATAACAGAAAATAAACTGTGACATTCCCAAGATGAAGAAACAGTTTTGATAATCATAAATGTTCCATGTTTCAGATAACCTTCAAGGTTTTATACGATGCATTGGATCTCAGGGAGCAGTCAGTGATCGTCTCCATAAGAAACCCAGTCTCCATGGACACATTCAAACAATGATTTCTCCCCAGCAGTCAGTTACAGAGCATTTACCCTTCAAGCTTCACAATAAGACACCAGAAAAAGAATACATTTGTCCATCACGGCTAGGCCTTACACAACCTGCTGTGGCAATACTGGATCAGTCTATTTCTAAACAAGGGGTGCTAGACTGCCCCACTCTTCCTCAAGCTTTGCGAGATGTCATTGCTCCAGAAGGAGAGATCAAGGTCATCTACGACCCACACTCCCATAAGGCACCAGCGAAGGAAGCAAAGCACATTCTGAAAATAAGGAGGAGGAAAATGAACCGGCATTTGTTGAAAAAGTTTCGTAAACGGATGTTGTTTACATTGAGAAAACAAAGGAAAGATCTGAGGAGGAAGAAAGTGAAGATATTTCGGGAAGAGCTGCGCATGATCACGAAGAGTGGGGAGGACTTTGATGCTATGGCGCATGTTCGTAGTGAGCTTGAAATAGCTCGGAGAGGAGGGTTTTATATTGAAATATTACCTAAGGACTCAAGTTGAGATGAATGCTGTGAGGTGCTGTAATGTTTCACTGAAGTATTGTTGCATCGCGATACTTTGTTCCACAATAGAGTATAAGACCATGTATATCATGGAAATCAAAGGATATTTTATTATTTATGATAAATGATAAAGTTCATCGTTATTAGTTTTACTGGCCAAAGTACAAAGTTTTGTATTTTGTGAGCCTCAGGTTAGTCCTAATGGTTTCCCATATTGTATTGTATCATCCTGACATGCGTTGTATCACCTTGACGTGTCTTGGTACAGCCCTAGTGCTATTCAAATGATGAGTGTAAACAAGATTAGCTTGACTTGGAAAATGGTTCTGTTACCACGGTTCCAAAATGAAATAAAGGAATGTGTGATGCAAACGCTGTTTTTGTTTGTTTCTCTCTGCAAATGATGCTCATGATGTCAATCACTGGATTGTCTGGTCTAGACTCGATTATTTACAAATCACCATCATACAGCTGGAATATTGCTCAGTGCGGTGTTAAACAACAAACAAACAAACAAACAAACACAAAACTCTGTGGATCAGAACAATCAGAAACATTAGGGAAGTTAGGGAACTTTCAATTGGGTGGAAATAGTTCCCGAGTTGGCTGAAATTGAAGTGTTTTCAGCTTAGTCGTCATAAGCCAGTTGAGTAAAACGCTTCACATATCAGTCCCAGGCCCGTGAAGATCTGGAGTAGAATAGGCCTTCAGCAACCCATGCTTGCCGTAATAGAAAACTAACCATTCGCTGTCCCCACCACCCCCTCAAATAATGAGGCTTGGGTGGTCATATAGATGAGGGGCGGTCGGGTAGCCTAGTGGTTAAAGCGTTAGCTCGTTACGCCGAAGACCCGGGTTCGATTCCCGACATGGGTACAATATGTGAAGCCCATTTCTGGTGACCCCTGCCATGATATTGCTGGAATATTGCTAAAAGCGGCGTAAAACCATACTCACTCACTCATATAGATGATGTCAACTCAGTTGGAATATTGCTGACTGAAGTGTAAAACAATATTCACTCACATGTTTTGGTTTCAAGATCAGTGGTCAGGCTGTTCATATAAGATAGGTCTAAGATGGACTTTTGTATGAAATATGTAGGGTAAATTTGCACACCAAGCATGAACTTCACTCAAGAATCAAACCATGTTCTTCAGTGTGATGAGCGATCACACTACAGTGATACGACCCATGACCGCCTCCGTGGTCTAGTGGTAGAGCGTCCGCCCGGAGAGCCGAAGGTCCAGGGTTCAATCCCCGGCCATGTCATACCAAAAGACTTTAAATGATGGTACTTGTTGTTACCTTGTCTGGCACTCGGCATTAAGGGGCTAAAACAAGGACTGGTCGGCTCGGAGTCAGTATACTGTGTCTCAGTGGGGTATTCATGTTAAATAGCACTATAAATCGGCATTAGTCCGGACTAGTACAAGCAGCCACACAAACACATACACGTGCATGCACTTCACTATATAAGTGCAATAATCTTGGACGCGACGTTAAACCCCATTTCACCTCACCTCACCTCATATAAGATACGTCTAAGATGGACTTTTGTATGAAATATGTCAGGTAAATTTGCACACCAAGCATGAACTTCACTCAAGAATCAAACCATGTTCTTCAGTGTGATGAGCGATCCATGAAATCCGGGGTAGAATAGGTCTGTTCTTTTCTGTTTGAGTTTGTTTTATCACTTCAAACTACTTTGTGTGGGTTTTTGTTTTTGGTTTTGTTTCAATTCTGAGTACAAGCACTGTTTCCACGTCCATTTTGTCACCTGACTTGCAACTAGGACTGATGACTGAACACTGTTGGGGTCGTAACATAGATAATACCACCTGTGAAAATCCAGGGATAGAATAAGGTCTTCAGCAACTCATGGTTGCCGTAAAAGTGTCACTATGCTTGTCGTAAGAGGCGACTATGCTTGTCCTAAGAGGCGACTAACGGGATCAGGTGGTCAGGCTCGCTGACTTGGTTGATGCATGTCATCATATCCCAATTTTGTGGATCGATGCTCATGATGTCAATCACTGGATAGTCTGGTCCAGACTCGAGTATTTACAGACCGTGGTCATATAGCTGGAATATTGCAGTGCAGCGTTAAACAACAAACAAACAAACAAACATACCCATGTTTGTAAATGATTACAAATGAGGATTAGAAGGTCACAATGGCCTCTAAACTCATGGTACTTGCGTATGATACTCCGATGGTGTAGATCGTTGCTCATAATATCAATTGGTGGTTTGTCTGGCATGCACTTCATTATTTACAGACTGCTGTCATATATCATCATATGACTGGAATATTGCTGAGTGTGAAGTTCAACAAACAAAATGCGATTATGTCAATTGTCCAGATAACAGTAGTTTGCCTGCCATAGCTGACAAGGTAATAAATAGGACCAAAGAGCAGAGAGGGTAATTTCTTGTGTCCATTTAATCATGGTTGCATCAAGTGTGAGTTTGATGTCAAGAAGAGGTCCCGAATACCAATTGTGTTGCACGAGCAGATTAATATGAACATCAGGTAGTTCGGGTGACTTACTATAATCATCATACCAGGGGCGGTCGGGTAGCCTAGTGGTTAAAGGTTAGCTCGTCACGCCGGGTTCGAATCCCGACATGGGTACAATGTGTGAAGCCTATTTCTAGTGTCCCCGCCATGATAGTGCTGGAATGTTGCTAAAAGTGGCGTAAAACCACACACTCCCTCACTCACTCACCATGACTGCATGTGTTGTAAACAGGGTATTCACTGCTGTGTTTAGGGCTGGGACGGGTAACTCAGGTACTCGGGTCGGGTGGGTACTGAGTAGGACCCGGGTACCCACAGGACTACCTGGACCCGTGGTTAGTCATGTGATATATTGTTTCATGACAAAAATTATCTAGAACTCTATGGTTACACTACAAGTCACTAATGTTGCCATCTCATTTTGACTATGCATCCATTCCTTCTGACTTTTCATATGGTTGACTAAAGATAAAACTTCAGACAACTTCAGTGTATGCATGAACAGATCGTTTTATACGAGTATCTAAATATGCCCAATCGGACATTTGGACTCTGAGACCTACAGTGGGTACCCGGGTAGGGGCAGGTAATAGGGGGTCAGGTACCCGGGTAGGGGCGGGTAATAGGGGGGCGGGTACCCGGGTAGGGTTGGGTAATAGGGGGTCAGGTACCCGGGTAGGGTCGGGTAATAGGGGGGCGGGTACCCGGGTAGGGGCGGGTAATAGGGGGTCAGGTACCCGGGTCGGGGCGGGTAATAGGGGGGCGGGTACCAGGGTAGGGGCGGGTAATAAGGGGTCAGGTACCCGGGTCGGGGCGGGTAATAGGGGGGATAACTTCAGCACTTATGGAATAAGCAGTTGTCGGGAAAATATTACATGAATGGCTTGTAAATAGTGATCTAGCCAGTGTTTCCTGAATAAATGAGCCTTGGGCTGATAAACACACAGCATTGTAACTGGTTTTCGTGACTGTACATGTTATGGCATACAGACATCCACAGCACATGTGTCTGGTTTTAAGTTGTATGCACCTTTGCAGAGTGTAATGTTTCATTAAAAAGGTTGTCTTATTCAATTTCAAAAATAGCTGTCATGTTGATCACTGTCATATATTTCTTGGTATATAAGCTCTCATAGCCCCGATGTTAAGAGGCAACTAGACCCTGAAACAAATATCTCCAACACAGCCCATGCAAGTCTATAATGTTTGGCAAGTCTAGACTATGGCAGTATCATAAATTGAAGAAAGTCTCTGGGCTCCTTTTTATTATATTTTAAAAATTATAATTTAACAACTGCGGTTTCTGTAAAACATGTTCATTTCAGAGTGAGTGAGTATGGTTTTACGCCGCTTTTAGCAATTTTTCCAGCAATATCATGGCGGGGGACACTAGAAATGGGCTTCACACATTGTACCCATGTCGGGAATCGAACCCCGGTCGTAGGCGTACGCTTAAACCACTACGCTACATGACCGCCCCTTGTTCATTTCAGAGACTAGATATTAGTGTAAGAGGCCACTAACACAATCATTTGGTGGTCAGTGTGTGAACCTCACGGGGATTCAAGGTTAAAACTATGCAGGTTGTGATGGCAGCTAAATGGATTGGGTGGTCAGGCTCGGTGATGTGAGTGAACTGTGTGTCATTGTAGTCAGCATGGAATGTTGCTCACAGTATTAATCACCAGTTTGGTCAAGACTTATGGGTTATTTACAGAGAGACGTCATATAGCTGGAATATTGCTGAATGAGGTGTTCAATGATAATGGTGTGAACTCTTGAATCAACCATTGGCTTGCCTGGCCACGATCACTTAGTGAAAAGTGCTGAATAGGCGTAAAATATCTTTCATTTGAATCGTTCACACAAGTCTCTGGGGATTCTGGGTAAAACGAGGCAATTGATGGTAAGAGGCAACCAATGAATCGTGTGGTGGGTCTCGGTGACTTGGTTGTTAATGTGTCATCGTACCCTGACAGTGTGAGTGAGTGAGTGAGTGAGTTGTGTTTAACGCCGCTTTTAACAGTATTCCAGTCATATCACGGCGTGTCAGCTTTATGTGGGAGGAAAGCCCCAAGAGATGCAGGTCTTAGATGTTTACCACTTCGGTGAAACCCACGAGCATGGGTATGGTGCCGACAAACCTAGAAACATAATCTGGGCGAACCGCATTTCGAACCCACAATCATAGGTTTCTGGCGTGCCTAAGGGACGCAACTCTGCACAGCGAATTGCGGCGTCTTAGATGACTGGGCCACCCGTTCCCCCCCTGACAGTGTGAGTCATTTTACAGAATATCGATGGATATAGAATAGGTCTTCAGCAACTCATGATTGTCATGAGAGGCGACTAATGGGATCGAATGGTCAGGCTTGTTCACTTGGTTGATGCATGTCATCGTGTCCCAATTTCGTAGATCGATGCTCATGATGTCAATCACTTGATTGTCTGGTCCAGACAATTATTTACAAACCACCGACATATAGCTGGAATATTGCCGAGTGTTCTGGTGTGACTTTACACTTACAATTGCATTTACACTAATGCATGTACTACTTTCCAAACCACAATCAACAAAACATTACAAACACCAGTTGATTACTTTACAGCTTTATTAACATTTTGACAAAATAAATCATTATGCATTGCTGCATGAATAAAATAAATACTATCATATCCATGTACTCCTGACGGTATGGATAATTAACAGTTTGCCCATACACAGCCCCTGAAAACTGTAATTCATGTTCAGGGTCCACATCCACTATGCTGTCTCACCACTAGAGGCCCTAACCATGTATTGTTAGCCAAAACACTTTGAAAGGACATCACAGCCCTTTTACACATAGCATTATTGATGCAACCATTAGTTCATGTGAGGTTGCTTGATGACAAAAATATATTGCCATCTACAAAAGATGATCTTTTGAATGGTGTCACAATCTCATTAAAATCAGATCTAAACAAAGATCTGAGGACATCCCATAACAGGTCACATCAGACCGACCTTTCGCGAACTCTAACTGACCAATGGAATTACTGACAAGATGTCGACATAAGCCAATCAGAAAGCAGCTTTTTCGTGCTTTATGGCACTAATTTCAAATTGGCAATTACGCTTTGAAACATATTTTGACAAATTCTCGCTTAAAAATTTGAAACCTGAACAAAAGAACATTCTCGAATGGCTAATATATGGTCTAGATTTAGTCGTTAAGCCCGTAACTCTTGTTTGGAATACCCCGTTTTAAGGTTTTCGAGGCTGCATGATGAGATATCACATTCCGACTGTCACTATCATGATCTGGTAAGCGTCGATCTGGTAAGCGTCGCTCTGATTGGTCAGATGAAAGGTCGTTCTGACGTGACCCCTAATGGGATGTCCTCAGATCTTTGTTTAGCGGTAGCGAGAACTAAGATCTGATTTTAATGAGATTTATGGTGTCATAAACTAGAACAATCTTAACCCAAACATTTCTAAAAATTGAATGAAAATGTCCTGCACTGACTTGGCCTGAATGGAGGTTCAATATAATATTTTTACTTTCAGTATTGATGAATTTTCTTGACAACTAATTACATATGTGTTAAAAATATCCTGGTTCTAAAGGGAGATGATGGGTTGTCAGGTAACTAGCATCCTCGATCCTTGATCATCAATTGATCATTTGCCTCTGAAACATCGTACTGATGCATGTGGACCCAGACCATTAACAATGTCCTCTGATAGTTCCGCAAACACGCTAGTTTCTTGAACAGTGGATTAATTTCCTTGTGGAATCGATGTTCAGCATTTCCTTTGTCCCAGAAAAGCCAACCTCTGACTAGCTGTTCACATGTTAGTTGTCCGACATTCTCAAATGGTTGATATTGCCAGCCTGCAGGGGAGATAACCTCAACAGAGCAGGGGAGATAACCTCAACAGAACAGGGGAGATAACCTCAACAGAGCAGGGGAGACAACCTCAACAGAGCAGGGGAGATAACCTCAACAGAGCAGGGGAGACAACCTCAACAGAGCAGGGGAGATAACCTCAACAGAGCAGGGGAGATAACCTCAACAGAGCAGGGGAGATAACCTCAACAAAGCTACCTATGTTTTCCAGCAGTTTCTAACTGTACTTTCAGTGTGAGGCCTGATGCGGAAAAAAGATATATAAAAACATATACCTATTTCTGTATCATGTATGAGTCTCCAGATTTGTTTGATTTTAACTGATTTTTGATCCTGTAGATTCTTCTGCCCTTGTCATATGAATACCATATTCCATTGTAATTCCAATTGTTAAAACCACACAGTTAGAAAAACCAGCAAATGTGACAAGAAAAAGATGAATTCTGCCCTCATAATCATAAAAAATTTATTAGGAATGAATAGTTGAAATATAAGAGTTAGTTTAAAAGTTGCCCTGAAATAAAAAACATTCTTGGTAATTCTATCACAAAAATGGACCAAAAGGGAGACTTTACAAAATTACAACAACACAATTTTCAAGACAAACCCAGTTGTAGTTACAAAAATAAACCAATGAATGATTCCGAAACATTTAATGCAGTTGACGCTCGCTTCTATTTACAGCACCAATCGGCAAGCTCTACCTACTGGAGCAAAACTATTGTACAAAATATACATTGAACCATAGAACAATGGGGGGGCGATACAACATCGTATCATCGTATTGTATTCAAAGCAACACTTAATCATATTATTGTATTCAATACAACATTGTATCATGTTGTTTAAAATATATCATACAGTATTGTATTTAATACATGTACTTTTGTATTCGATACCACATGTATCATATTATTGTATTCAATACAACAATGAATCATATCTTTGTTTTCAGTACAATATTGTATAATTGTTTCAAATACATCATTGTATTAGCCACAACATACATAATAATGCATTGAATACAGCATAGTATCATATAATTGCATTGAATACAAGATCGTATCATACAATGATATTGAATACAACATTCTATTGAGTATTTGTATTAAATACAACATTGTATCATATTGTATTAAAAACAACATTGTATAATTTTATTGTATTCAATACACAGGTTTGTACAAGCTTATTCTTCCAACACTGGGCCCCGTTCCTCAAAGTGATCTTAGCGCTAAGGTGATCGTTAGTCCCATACTTTGATATAGGCTTACGATCATCGTAGCGCAAAGGTCGCTTTAAGGAACGGGGCCCAGGGCTCTGTTCCTCAAAGCGATCTCAGCGCTAAGGTGATCGTAAGTCCCATACTTTAACATAGGCTTACGATCATCGTAGCACAAAGATCGCTTCAAGGAACGGGGCCAAGATCAATGTCACAGAAGAGAGTATTCAGGAAACGAATTTAAAATTACCCCAAATCTTTCAAACCTATACATTATGTACACATTGTCCAACCTATCAAATATGTATAGATCCTCGACCAAGACCTATGAAATCAAGAAATCAAGGAGATTCAATATATTTGATTCCAAGCTAACATGGCGCCATTTATGATGAAAGTCAGTTAGCAAACAGTCTTTCACTACACAGATGCCAACAAAAAGGGTACACGCATTACAAAGACAAGTTAATATTGCACGGAAATACAGGACAGTCCTGTCATCAAATAGTTTCTATATCAACATGGTCAGCACTAAAACATCAGTCCATATTTGGACAAAGGTATATAAATAATTTACATATTCATATACACATTAAGCACAAAGATGTCCACTCTGTACACAATCTGAAGGTTTGCGGACAGGTTATCAGTGGGATTCCTAACTGTATTCAGGCAAATCTGTTTTGAGTCCCATATGTAATATACATGACAGTGAGGTATGAATGATGCATGGCTAGTTTCAGTTATACAGCAGCAATATCTAATACCGTATTCAACGTAATAAGCGCCCCGCTCTAATAAGCGCCCACGGCGATATTTGTTAATATATTGGCTAGTGAACAATCCCAATTAGCACCCCTTCCGATTTATCAATGTACATAAGACTTATTTATTCATGTATAATACGCACTTGTGTGTTATATGCACCCTTAATTATGGGCAATTAAATTCTAGAAAAATATATCTGTTGTATATAAACATCTCAGGCTGTCAGCATAAACCGCGAAATTTATCTTTCAACTCTGTTTTTTTCTCTCACCAAAATACTATTCTAATAAGAGCCCCCTATTTCTAATTTTGAGAGTGCCCTGGGCGCTTATTACGTCGAATACGTAAACCTGAAGTAAATGGATATTCAGCACTTAATCTTTGAAACCATTGGTTAGTTGATAACCAATCAGATGCCCTCTTACAACCAATCACAGTTTGTATGGGTAAAGCATTGGTCAGTTGACAACCAATCAGATGCCATCTTGCAACCAACCACAATTTGTCTTGGTACAGTATTGGTCAATTGACAACCAATCAGTTGCCTTCTTACAATACCCTACCTTGTTTATAAAGGTTGGAAGAAAGTGACCAACTAGTGGTCAGTATTTGATTGAACTGACCAATGACGGATATAAATGAGGTAAAGCTGATAAACTCTCAATCAAACATTATCAGTCCAAATCATTGACCAATGAAATTCAATATAACCCAATGAGTTTACGAATTTGTTACCATAGTAACAATCTGTAAACATAAATGTCATAAAAGAAGGAAAAAACATCTGCACAAGATCACACAGGGAAATGGACCAATCAGAAGCATGCATTCCATTCATTTCAGGTTATTGGCTCTGAATAAACCGGTAATCCTATAATGACTAGTTGCAACATGCAAAGAACCAAATATCTTGGATTCAAATATTCGCACTATCATAATAGATCGTCTTTTATTGACCTTATTAATTTGAACCAATGATGCGACCAGTTCCATATTTCTGCAGTCTTACATTCAAGTCCTCTGCAATTACATAAACACAGAACTCTTCGAACCAATTCACACCTTGATTGTTTTGTAAACAGTCTCTTTCCATACTGGATATGTTGAATACTGAATCGCGACTCTGACCTGACAATCTTTCTCCGAACAAAACTTTCCAACATTTTTCAGTTTTCACCAATGGCTGGTCAGTTCCTAAAACATCTCCATCTTGCCATGTCTCCTCATCAAGTCTATTTGACCTGGTATGACCTTGGCCATTACAAATATGCAGATGAAGTCAGGTCAAAGAACTCTGGCAATACTATCCATCACCGTTATTTGTGATATGTTGTTCACTATATACACACATGGCACGTTTCTGTATCAGTTTCGACCAGATTCACACACTTTTCCAGCAATCAGCTTTGTCAACATTGATATTTCATCTCCTTTTTATCTACAGCTGTATCAAACAGAAACATCACACTAGAGTTCTGTTGATAAGTAAGTTTTGTAGCAATGTGTCTGTTTCTTTTAATACTGAATAAGCCAGTAATAATACCGTCTCTGGACCAAACACATTGATGGAAACACAATGCATCAAAGCTTTTGTCAGTGACACCTTTTCCAATTGTCTGAATTGTATATATAATGATTTCTGCACCGCGTTCTATGGTCAGAAATGACTGCTCAGAAATCTGATCAGGAAGGACTCCATTACATCCAGAACAAATCCGGAATTACCAGTAAAGTCAGCAAAGACCATCTTTCTAGACATGGCACCTTCCATGGCAAGACAAAACATAGCACTTTCACAGTCTTATCCAATCAGATATTTCTCCCGATGTCAAATGTATATTTGATTTTCTTTGTCCTGAATGTGACCATTACTGTTCCGTGCTCCTGAAATAGTTTTGATGAAGTTATCAAGAGTCTCAGATGACCAAGAAGCGAGAAGATTCTGAACATGATTAAAGACCCTCTCCAGAATGCTGATCTATCTTCTTCCTCTTCTTCCTCCACTGTCCAGAAGCGATCTTCTCCCTCACAGCACAAGTGATAGTTCTTCTTGTACTGTAATCACTCTGAACACCATGTCCACAGAAAATCCTGCCATTAGTGTGTCCAACAACCCACAATTGCAAATCAGATTTTACCATCCAATCCAACACTGTACTGATGACTGTTCAGAAACACAGAAATGAGTGATCTCCCTTGTACCATGTCAGGATTACAGAGTTCCACTTGTCCTTTTATTGTCACACTAGTGTCTTTGTTTGTCCTGCTTAAGGTCGTAGGTGACACATTTATTTCATCTTTCAGACACGCTTCAATCATGGGTCAAGGTCAGCATTCCATCAAGGTCAAAAATCCAAAACCGTTTAAGAAACAGTACACTTTCAGGCTCAAGCATTGTACCAAAGTGCCACATATGTCCTTTAATGCTGTCAAGGTCAGCATTCAATGAAGATATCAGAAAGCTCAAATCTACCCTATTCGATAGCTTGCCAGTTTTTTTGACGACGATGTATTCACAAGGATCAACTTCGCAACATGATTCTGATAATATTCCTTTGCCAGTGCTTGTCTTATATATACATGTATATACACGATGGATTATTTTTCATGCTTCGAAATACAAACGTAAGCCTTGTAAGATCCAGCCTAAATACAGACATAACAATCGTGTAGCCATTCAACAACTTATGACTAAGCTGGAGAACAGTTATTTAAAATTATTATGAAGGTTGTCATAAAAACAAGAAAAAAGGTGAAGGTCATCAAAAGGTGAAGGTCATTTATCTTGAGCTTGGAACCTTAGCACTGACATCAGAATAACCCTTGGTTGGGCATTACTGGTCACGTTATGAAGGTGAAGGTCATATGAGCTGAATTGTAGATATGGCACTTGATGACAAAATATTGAGTCTTTGGTCCAGAGAAGCACATCTCCTTGACATTCCAACAAGGCCATATGGAGGTCTGAATGGCATTGATTATGAAGGTGAAGATCATTATACTGTAGCCTCTGGACTAATCTCGATGACGGGAAACTTGCGTCTCTGTAACTCACGCGTGACTTGAGCAAGATCGGTCACCAACTTCAGTTCTTGATCTTTTAGCTTTTTGATCTCCCGCTGACTTGTCTGCAAAAAGGAGAGAGATTGGTCGTCTCAATAACAGTACACAATGTCAGTTCAAGGTCATACATATCAGTAAACAATGTCAGTTCAAGGTCATACATATCAGTAACAATGTCAGCTCAAGGTCATACAATAACACATATCAGTAAACAATGTCAGTTCAAGGTCATGCATATCAGTAAACAATGTCAGTTCAAGGTCATACAATAATACTTATCAGTAAACAATGTCAGTTAAAGGTCATACATATCAGTAACAATGTCAGCTCAAGGTCATACAATAATACATATCAGTAAACAATGTCAGTTCAAGGTCATGCATATCAGTAAACAATGTCAGTTCAAGGTCATATGGTAATACATATCAGTAAATAATGTCAGTTCAAGGTCATGCATATCAGTAAACAATGTCAGTTCAAGGTCATATGGTAATGCATATCAGTAAACAGTGTCAGTTCAAGGTCATATGGTAACGGTAATACAATGATGTTGTACATCTCAGCCATTCACTTGTATCGTTTGTAAGAAAATGTTCACTTGCCAATCATAAATGTTAAAGCGCTAAAACCAACTTGTTATTCTCAGGACATCACATTTCTGGTGACATCATTATATCCTCAGTTATTTCAGACACTATTGATCCAAGACCCTACTGTTCTGAGCTTTAAGCAAAGCATAAACACGATGGTTGTGAACGAGAAGATGAGTATGAAGCAGATGCTATTGTCCCCCAGGAATCAAGTTCATACAACAATAAAACACTCCAAAGCCATGATACCAATTTTGAGTGAGTATGGTCTGGTATGGATTGACTGACAGTGGATATCTAAAAAATATTATGTGACAGTCAAGGCCTACAATAAATTGTATGACAGTCAGTACCTACAACATTTTGTATGACAGTCAGTACCACAACAAGTTGCACGACAGTCAATACCTAAAACAAGTTGTCTGTCAGTCTATATCTAAAAAATTTATATAACAGTCAATACATACAACAAGATGTATGACAGTCAATACCTACCACATTTTGTCTGAGCAGTTCTAACTTCTCACAGCGTAGTTTATGTACCTCTGCTTTCAACAGGTCGGCTTGCCGGGAAACAGCATCACCTGGTGGACAAATAATGAACCAGTCAGCTAAAGTAACCATATATAGGCCTAAATGTTTCTACATCATTTTCTACCAGGATGTTCCCTACCATTTTAAATCTGTGGGTTGTATTGACAAAAATAACTATTTTGTGACTCATTAAAAACAGATCAAATAAGATGGTGGCACAATTCTAAACAAGTTCAAGTTCCATCCTAGACACTATATTATACCCTGTTCCATAGCACTACAGCTATCATTACTCTTATGCTGTAACATAGACTTCAGCAGTTGTAAAACATTGACTTACGACAGATGTAGTGCTAAGATGCTCGTAACTCCCATACTTAAACATAGACTTACGACAGTTGTAAAGCTAAGGTGCTCGTAACTCCTATACCTAAACATTGACTTACGACAGTTGTAGTGCTAAGATGCTCGTAACTCCCATAGTTTAAGATAGACTTATGACAGTTGTAGTGCTAAGGTGCTCGTAACTCCCATACTTTAACATAGACTTACGACAGTTGTAGAGCTAAGTTGCTCGTAACTCCTATACTTAAACATTGACTTACGACAGTTGTAGAGCTAAGGTGCTCGTAACTCCTATACCTAAACATTGACTTACGACAGTTGTAGTGCTAAGATGCTCGTAACTCCTATACTTAAACATTGACTTACGACAGTTGTAGAGCTAATATGCTTGTAACTCCCATACTTTAACATGGACTTACGACAGTTGTAGAGCTAAGTTGCTCGTAACTCCCATACTTAAACATTGACTTAAAACAGTTGTAGTGCTAAGATGCTCGTAACTCCTATACTTAAACATTGACTTACGACAGTGGTAGTGCTAAGATGCTCGTAACTCCTATACTTTAACATAGACTTACGACAGTTGTAGTGCTAAGATGCTCGTAACTCCTATACTTAAACATTGACTTACGACAGTTGTAGAGCTAATATGCTTGTAACTCCCATACTTTAACATGGACTTACGACAGTTGTAGAGCTAAGTTGCTCGTAACTCCCATACTTAAACATTGACTTAAAACAGTTGTAGTGCTAAGATGCTCGTAACTCCTATACTTAAACATTGACTTACGACAGTGGTAGTGCTAAGATGCTCGTAACTCCTATACTTTAACATAGACTTACGACAGTTGTAGTGCTAAGGTGCTCGTAACTCCCATACTTTAACATAGACTTACGACAGTTGTAGAGCTAAGTTGCTCGTAACTCCTATACTTAAACATTGACTTACAACAGTTGTAGTGCTAAGATGCTCGTAACTCCCATACTTAAACATAGACTTACGACAGTTGTAAAGCTAAGGTGCTCGTAACTCCTATACCTAAACATTGACTTACGACAGTTGTAGTGCTAAGATGCTCGTAACTCCCATAGTTTAAGATAGACTTATGACAGTTGTAGTGCTAAGGTGCTCGTAACTCCCATACTTTAACATAGACTTACGACAGTTGTAGAGCTAAGTTGCTCGTAACTCCTATACTTAAACATTGACTTACGACAGTTGTAGAGCTAAGGTGCTCGTAACTCCTATACCTAAACATTGACTTACGACAGTGGTAGTGCTAAGATGCTCGTAACTCCCATAGTTTAAGATAGACTTACGACAGTTGTAGTGCTAAGGTGCTCGTAACTCCCATACTTTAACATAGACTTACGACAGTTGTAGTGCTAAGGTGCTCGTAACTCCTATACTTAAACATTGACTTACGACAGTTGTAGAGCTAATATGCTTGTAACTCCCATACTTTAACATGGACTTACGACAGTTGTAGAGCTAAGTTGCTCGTAACTCCCATACTTAAACATTGACTTAAAACAGTTGTAGTGCTAAGATGCTCGTAACTCCTATACTTAAACATTGACTTACGACAGTGGTAGTGCTAAGATGCTCGTAACTCCTATACTTTAACATAGACTTACGACAGTTGTAGTGCTAAGATGCTCGTAACTCCTATACTTAAACATTGACTTACGACAGTTGTAGAGCTAATATGCTTGTAACTCCCATACTTTAACATGGACTTACGACAGTTGTAGAGCTAAGTTGCTCGTAACTCCCATACTTAAACATTGACTTAAAACAGTTGTAGTGCTAAGATGCTCGTAACTCCTATACTTAAACATTGACTTACGACAGTGGTAGTGCTAAGATGCTCGTAACTCCTATACTTTAACATAGACTTACGACAGTTGTAGTGCTAAGGTGCTCGTAACTCCCATACTTTAACATAGACTTACGACAGTTGTAGAGCTAAGTTGCTCGTAACTCCTATACTTAAACATTGACTTACAACAGTTGTAGTGCTAAGATGCTCGTAACTCCCATACTTAAACATAGACTTACGACAGTTGTAAAGCTAAGGTGCTCGTAACTCCTATACCTAAACATTGACTTACGACAGTTGTAGTGCTAAGATGCTCGTAACTCCCATAGTTTAAGATAGACTTATGACAGTTGTAGTGCTAAGGTGCTCGTAACTCCCATACTTTAACATAGACTTACGACAGTTGTAGAGCTAAGTTGCTCGTAACTCCTATACTTAAACATTGACTTACGACAGTTGTAGAGCTAAGGTGCTCGTAACTCCTATACCTAAACATTGACTTACGACAGTGGTAGTGCTAAGATGCTCGTAACTCCCATAGTTTAAGATAGACTTACGACAGTTGTAGTGCTAAGGTGCTCGTAACTCCCATACTTTAACATTGACTTACGACAGTTGTAGTGCTAAGATGCTCGTAACTCCTATACTTAAACATTGACTTACGACAGTTGTAGAGCTAATATGCTTGTAACTCCCATACTTTAACATGGACTTACGACAGTTGTAGAGCTAAGTTGCTCGTAACTCCCATACTTAAACATTGACTTAAAACAGTTGTAGTGCTAAGATGCTCGTAACTCCTATACTTAAACATTGACTTACGACAGTGGTAGTGCTAAGATGCTCGTAACTCCTATACTTTAACATAGACTTACGACAGTTGTAGTGCTAAGATGCTCGTAACTCCTATACTTAAACATTGACTTACGACAGTTGTAGAGCTAATATGCTTGTAACTCCCATACTTTAACATGGACTTACGACAGTTGTAGAGCTAAGTTGCTCGTAACTCCCATACTTAAACATTGACTTAAAACAGTTGTAGTGCTAAGATGCTCGTAACTCCTATACTTAAACATTGACTTACGACAGTGGTAGTGCTAAGATGCTCGTAACTCCTATACTTTAACATAGACTTACGACAGTTGTAGTGCTAAGGTGCTCGTAACTCCCATACTTTAACATAGACTTACGACAGTTGTAGAGCTAAGTTGCTCGTAACTCCTATACTTAAACATTGACTTACAACAGTTGTAGTGCTAAGATGCTCGTAACTCCCATACTTAAACATAGACTTACGACAGTTGTAAAGCTAAGGTGCTCGTAACTCCTATACCTAAACATTGACTTACGACAGTTGTAGTGCTAAGATGCTCGTAACTCCCATAGTTTAAGATAGACTTATGACAGTTGTAGTGCTAAGGTGCTCGTAACTCCCATACTTTAACATAGACTTACGACAGTTGTAGAGCTAAGTTGCTCGTAACTCCTATACTTAAACATTGACTTACGACAGTTGTAGAGCTAAGGTGCTCGTAACTCCTATACCTAAACATTGACTTACGACAGTGGTAGTGCTAAGATGCTCGTAACTCCCATAGTTTAAGATAGACTTACGACAGTTGTAGTGCTAAGGTGCTCGTAACTCCCATACTTTAACATAGACTTACGACAGTTGTAGTGCTAAGGTGCTCGTAACTCCTATACTTAAACATTGACTTAAGACAGTTGTAGTGCTAAGGTGCTCGTAACTCCCATACTTTAACATAGACTTACGACAGTTGTAGTGCTAAGGTGCTCGTAACTCCTATACTTAAACATAGACTTACGACAGTTGTAGAGCTAAGTTGCTCGTAACTCCTATACTTAAACATTGACTTACAACAGTTGTAGTGCTAAGATGCTCGTAACTCCCATACTTTAACATAGACTTACGACAGTTGTAGAGCTAAGTTGCTCGAAACTCTTATACCTAAACATTGACTTACGACAGTTGTAGTGCTAAGATGCTCGTAACTCCCATAGTTTAACATAGACTTACGACAGTTGTAGAGCTAAGTTGCTCGTAACTCCTATACTTAAACATAGACTTATAACAGTCGTAGAGTTATGATAGCTTTATAAAATGGAGCTCAGCCCCTTATTCATATCAGTTTGTTTATAATACCTCGGATGTATTAGAAGACCAGACCGTACACCTTTCAGAACTCGTAACAGAAAGAACATCATGTCATTGACCTAGCCATTATTAAAGTTACGACTCTCATTTCAACATCTTCTCCATTCCGAGCCTTGAGAGTTTGCTACTTAACGCACTCAGCAATATTCCAGCTACATGACGGTGGTCTGAAAATGATTGAGTCTGGACCAAACAATCCAGTGATTGACATCATGAGCATCAATCTATGCAAATGGTTACGATGACAAGTATCTACCAAGTCGGTGAGCCTGACCATTTGATTCCGTTAGTCACCTCTCATGACAATCATATGTTGCTGAAGACCTAATCTAATGTGGATCTTTACAGGGTCCAAACCAAGAAGAGCTACAGTATTTGAATTACCGTATTCTACGCAATAAGCAAAATTAGAAATTGGGGGCTTATATTTGCATAAGATTTGGGTGAAAATTAACAGAGTTGAAAAATCGTAAATTTCGTGGTTTATGCTGACAGCCTGAAATGATACAACAGAAAAGTCTGCGCATATTATACACAACAGATATATTTTTCCAGAATTTAATTGCCCATAATTAAGGGTGCATATAACACACGAGTGCATATTGTACACAAATAAATAAGTCTTGTGTACATTGATCAATCGGAAGGGGTGCTAATTGGGATTGTTCACTAGCCAATATATTAACAAATATCGCCGTGGGTGCTTATTGGAGCGGGGCGCTTATTACGTCGACTACGGTATGCTATAAAACATATCAAAACCTATTTATACATAATAAAAAAGTGAAGTGTCAGTGCTAAAAAAATGACAATTGTTCAACAAAAATAGTGTACACACAAAGGTCACTCAAAATTAGGTGAACAAAGAATCCACTTGTTTGGAGACATCACTAACACAATGAAGATAAAAAGCACAGAGAAATGCCAAAGCCTCACTTTCACCATCCAGTGAAAACACACAGCCACCATCTTCACTGAAGCTATTGGAGAGGGATGCACGGATATTGTTGCTGGGGGTACCGGCTGACGACATACTCTCCTGAAACAGAGGAGAGGAAACACTACTAGCAAGGCAGCGTGGGATAGCACGACACAGGGTGCACCACATAGTGTGGGAAGTTGGGAAAAAGGGAGAGGTCAGCTTGTTGTGAGAGAAAAGCAGGACTTGGGACCAAGGGTGTAGTTGACTACCAAGGATCACGATTGGGTGAATCTGGGTCGGATATGAATTGGATCCTGGCATGGTAAAGGTAAACAACTCTGTTCACTGAATCGTGGAACTACCTCCAGGCCACTGTGCCCCCAAATCTAGAAATGAATGGACTAAAAGAAGATACAGCTCCATGGGACAATGCCAATAATTGATCAGTGGTTGCCATGGTTACATGTTCGGCCGTAGCAGGAGACACAGGGGACCAGTTATTGTTTCCATTTTGATAAGTAGGGGAATGGAGAATGAGAACTGGTATATATAATCATATAGTCAGCAACGTTCCTTCTTTATCATGGATGGCTGTCAGATATGCCAAACAAACTAGTGACTGAAGTCATGAGCAATGATCGCAGGACTGGAGCATGATGCAGTGCAGAGTTGCGTCCCTTGGACACGCCAGAAACCTATGAATGTGGGTTCAAATCCCGGTTAGCCCTAATTATGTTTCTAGGTTTTGTAGTGGTTTGTAACAATAAGTGAAGAAAGGTACTTCGTGTTAAAAAGCCCTTTTATTCAGACCATGTGGTCAGCATGGTGGCCATCTTGTTACAACTCAAGGGAGAGCACTCTCGTTGGCTTAGCTGCTAGATACTGCTTGGGTATGACTACTTAATATAGATTAATGGACTTCTGTTGACATTAACACTTATCATTACAGGTTTGTCAGCACCATCCCCGTGCTCGTGGGTTTCACCGAAGTGGTAAACGTCTGAGACCTGCATCACTTCGGGCTTTCCTCCCACATTAAGCTGACACGCTGTGATATAACTGGAATACTGTTAAAAGCGGTGTTAAACCCAACTCACTCACTCGCTCCTCGTACATCTGCTCTAATGACAAGTGTGGAATACTGGACAGACGGTCAACGATAATGACATTGGTTTGACCAAACACTTTCTCCACATCACAAAGGATGTGATATTCCAAAGAAGGCTGTGACACTAGAAGGTTGCACGTTGTGACTAAAATAGGTTTGGAATTGGAAGAGAGAATTGCAATAAACAGGATCTACTGGTAAGATTCAAGACAACTCCTAGCATCCCAGTCAGCAGACGAAGGAAGGAAGGAAGGAAGGAAGGAAGGAAGGAAGGAAGAATGATCAGGGAGGATGGGACAACAGGAGGCCAATACAATCTGACTGTGCTTTGTAGGGACAGGACTGACCAACTATTGCCAATAATTATCGTATAGAGTACTACAGAAATGTTCCCCAGACTGAAATCTCAATTCAGTAAAGCACCCTAGCCGACCAATGAATGGCACAAAAGGCAAAGTACACACAAAGGTTCATTTCTGTAGAACCCTACGACCCCTTCAGCCCAGCTATTGCTGGTTGCACTGAGTGTAGGATCAGACACTGGGAGTGGATGACAGGGAGAGAGAGTGTGAGTTCACAGACAGACATAACATGTAGGTGTCTTTTAGAATTAGTAATGATTAAGTACACCATTCTTAATTATCCAGTTCATCATATCTCCATTCTGTTAGGACAAATACCCGGGATTCATTCACCACCATTTTTTGTCAGAAGGTGATGTCACCATCTCATGTACTAGTAACTTAGCACAGAAATTCTCTTGCTCGTGGGAGCAATATGATTGGATGTCTATTTTTAGCACTGTGCTGAATCTGGCTCCAAACGAAGTAATGGTAATGAACGCTTTTGGGTATTAACAGAAAGGAGATATAATACTCTGCAAAACTGAGGATGATGTTACCATGATAACAGTTAATGAAACAATTTTCAAAAAATGACGTTGCCATGGTTACAGTTAATAAAACAATTTTCAGAAAGTGACTGATTTCATGATTTTTCTTCACATCAGGTCTTAGAGTGATTTAAGTCTTACATGAAAGTGTTTTTTAATCAAAGTATTTACAATACAGATTAAAACATATATTCAGTGTGACACGTAATGCTCTCATGCAACTCAATTATCCTCTTCTCTCGGGTTGACTTCACTGCAGTGCAAGAGTGTGACAGAAAGAATAATACATGTAGCTTGATGAAGAAAAGGCCCATTTAAGAAATCACTGAAAGAACCAGGTGCCATTACAACAGCTGATCACTACACTGACAAAACAAAGGAAGACATTGTCACATGGAAGGACGAGCCATTTCAGGACCTTATTTTCAGAAAGCATTATGTTTAATACTTGAACCAATGAAACAATTTTTTACCCTTTATCAATCTACCCAAAATCATAAATTTAAAGTTCTGTTATAAATTATCAATAAAATCATAAACAAGAGATCTGTCTACAGTCTTTAACCCCAAACTTCACGGTACTGAACTATTTTCCCCAAATAGTTAACATCTGAATGTGTTACAAATGAAAACGCTTTTTGTCAAGCTTTTTTTAAATTGGTATTGAAATTTCTGCTTCTGAGTAAAAGCCTGAAATGCTGTTCCTCCAGTCAGCGCCCCCTAGTGGCTTTGACACGTACCATGCCTGTGTCGGAGTCCTCGTGGTCGTGGTTGTTGTGTGTTGGCGTGAAGTCGTCCATGCTGTTGAAGCTACTTTCAGAGTTGGAGGGAGACAACTGAACACTGTTGTGGTTGATTCTGAAGATAACCAAACATAGAAATGACAAATAATCGCATCCGTCACCAGAATCTTACAACTGATAATGAATACTTGATGATCAAAGGTCAGATAAGTGATCCCAGCAATGGTCTACCATGCAGTTTTAACACATTGTCAGCACAAGGGGATAAAACGACGGCCAGCGCAAGACAAGCGAACACAACAACCACATGGCCAAGAAGGGTGTTGGTGGGGAAAGGAAGGGAGCCATATCACATGTTAAACCCATCCTGTAGCTGGCGAGATGCTGCTGGGAATAGGCCAGGAGAGCCATATGACATGTTATACCCACCTTGTTGCTGACGAGATGCGGCTGGGACTAGGCTAGGAGAGCCATATGACATGTTATACCCACCTTGTAGCTGACGAGTTGCAGCTGGTACTAGGCTAGGAGAGCTATATGACATGTTATACCCACCTTGTTGCTGACGAGATGCGGCTGGGACTAGGCTAGGAGAGCCATATGACATGTTATACCCACCTTGTTGCTGACGAGATGCTGCTGGGACTAGGCTAGGAGAGCTATATGACATGTTATACCCACCTTGTTGCTGGTAAAATGCGGCTTTGTCTAGGCCAGGAGAGCCTTAAGACATGTTATACCCACCTTGTAGCTGGCGAAATGCGGCTGGGACTAGGCTAGGAGAGCTATATGACATGTTATACCCACCTTGTTGCTGACGAGATGCGACTGGGACTAGACTGAAGGGGAGCTATATCACATGTTATACCCACCTTGTTGCTGAAGGATGCGGCTGGGACTAGACTAGGAGAGCTATATGACATGTTATACCCACCTTGTTGCTGACGAGATGCTGCTGGGACTAAACTAGGAGAGCTATATCACATGTTATACCCACCTTGTTGCTGACGAGATGCTGCTGGGACTAGACTTGGGGAAGCTATATGACATGTTATACCCACCTTGTTGCTGATGAGATACGGCTGGGACTAAACTGGGGGGAGCTATATGACATGTTATACTCACCTTGTTGCTGACAAGATGCTGCTGAGACTAGACTGGGGGTGGCTATATGACATGTTATACCCACCTTGTTGCTGACGAGATGCTGCTGGGACTAGACTGGGGGGAGCTATATTACATGTTATACCCACCTTGTTGCTGACGAGATGCTGCTGGGACTAGACTGGGGGTGGCTATATGACATGTTATACCCACCTTGTTGCTGACGAGATGCGGCTGGGACTAGACTGGGGGAGCTATATGACATGTTATACCCACCTTGTTGCTGACGAGATGCTGCTGGGACTAGACTGTGGGGAGCCATATGACATGTTATACCCACCTTGTTGCTGACGAGATGCGGCTGGGACTAGACTGGGGGGAGCTATATGAGATGTTATACCCACCTTGTTGCTGACGAGATGCTGCTGGGACTAGACTGGGGGGAAGGAGGGGGGCTGCAGGTGATGTAGGAGGACATGCTGACAGACCCCTGACTGTCCTGACGAGACCTGGAATACATGCCACACATTAGTGTCAAGCATGGAGAAGCCAAGCAGTTTACTTTGAAACATAGTAACACACACTCAGGCAAGGTAACAACTTTCAAGCATGATAACAACTTTCAAGCATGATAACAACTTTCAAGAAAGGTAACAATATTTAAGCAAGGTAACAAGTCTCAAACATGGTAACAACTTTTAAGCATGGTAACAATTTTCAAGCATAGTAACACACTTTCAAGCATAGTAACAATATTTAAGCAAGGTAACAAGTCTCAAACATGGTAACAACGTATAAGCATGGTAATAACTTTCAAGCAAGGGAACAACTCTTAAGCATGGTAACACACTTTCAAGCATGGTAACAATATTTAAGCAAGGTAACAACTTTCAAGCAAGGCAACAACTTTCAAGCACAGTAACACACTTTCAAGCATAGTAACAACCTTCAAGAAAGGGAACAACTTTAAAGCATGGTAACATACTTTCAAGCATGGTAACAACTTTCAAGAATAGTAACACACTTTCAAGCAAGGTAACAATGTTTAAGCATGGTAACAAGTTTTAAACATGGTAACAATTTTCAATGGTGTCCTGTGGGTCAAGCTCATCAGAGTGTGGTTTTACCATGCTTTTAGCAATATTCCAGCTGTGTCATGGTGGAGGACACCAGAAACGGCTTCACACATTGTACCCATTGGAGAATCAAAAGTGGGCCGACTTTTTACGGCTAGGTCAATCAGTAATTAACCCACTTCTTTCCTTTTTCAGTCACAAGAGATTAATCCATGAAGCAAGTAACTGACTTGTGACTCAAATTCTGCAGACACTAGAATCACATGCTGGAACCTACCCCTTATCTTTGGATTTCTTCTCGAGACTACTGGAGAACTGCCGGACTAGACTACGAGGGGTGGAGGGAGACTTCTTCACCTGGAGGTACAAAAATACTCAGGGTATAGAATAACAAAATGCTGAATTACGTTTTACTACTTATAAAATTGAATTCTTCACTGTATTGAACCAGTGTGCAAGGAAATATTATGTTATCACTAAAAAACATTTTGGTGGAAAAGAGTGTTATGTTTACAGCATACACAACAAAGTGTTAGTTAAGTTCGATGTTCTTTGAACAGAATTCCACAGTGGTCACAGTTTCAGGATCATAATCAGGACTAATCTGGGATTCAAACCCATAACCATTAGATCTGGCAGGACTAAGGGACACAACTCTGCACAGAGAATTGGGCCTTAGACCACTGGGCTATCTGGGCACTGGTTTCCTAAGATGGTGCTGATTTATAGTGCTAGCCCACTGAGATACCATGCCGCAGTTTAACATGAATACCCAACTCAGACACAGTATACTGACTCCGAAGCGACCAGTTCTTGTTTTAGCCCCTTAATGCCGAGCGCCAGACGGTTACAACAAGTACCATCTTTTAACGTCTTTTGGTATGACGTGGCTGGGGATTGAACCCTGGACCTTCCTCTCTCTGGGCAGACGCTCTACCACTAGACCACGGAGGTGATATCTAATCTAAGTGTCCCTGGCTGGCAAATTGGGAAAATATAATTGTATTTTTTATAAAATCTGATTAATCGGGAAAATTGTCATTCAATTTGGGAATATTTACTGACATTTAATGCAGATTTGGGGACAAATATCAGCCTCTGAGCAGACCTAGATAAGTTCCTGAAATAACTCTTTTGTTTCTCACCGGTGATGGTGAATTCTTCTCATCTTCCCCGACTGTGGGAAGAGAAGTAGGAATGCCATTGCTTTTGCGACTGCCGACCGGTATATTCGATTCAAAGGACTGGCTTCGTCCCTTCCCACTGAATGCTCGTTTGACTGAGTCAAACAGACGACTTCCTTCTTGTTTGGATCCAGGAAGGAGAGAGAACCCGAATAATTCAATATTCTTCTTGTGAAGGTCCTGCTGCAAAGAGTCGAGAAGAGACGTTCGTGTCCTCTCCTGAAAATACAAACATTTCATTCAAAGCAAGCTGATTTACTTTTCTTGTGAGTTACGTATGCCACAGTTAGCTACATCCCAGCTTATTACAGTGAGTGAGTATGATTTTACGCCGCTTTAAGCAATATCATGGCTGGGGACACCAGAAATGGGCTTCACGCATTGTACCCATGTGGGGAATTGAACCCAAGTTTTCGTCATAACAAGCGAACACTTTAACCACCAGGCTACCCCACCGCCCCCTCTTACAACAAGCATACTATTCTGGCCTGGGATAGCCAGGGTTTATTGTTGATGAGACTCTCATTCGGCCTGGGATAGCCGGGGTTTATTGTTGATGAGACTCTCATTCTTGCGGGCGGAGATGACTTTTTGACAAATTACCTGGTGACATTTGACAAAACAATAAGAAACGATACGGAAATAAATATATCTTAGAACATGACAACATACCCCCAGTTTAGCAAACTGTTCTGATTTGTAGCAAGCAAGTTCTGCATTGATCAGCTTTGTCAGGAGGAATTCACGGAATTCTGGTCCCTGGAATGATAAAAATTAATTTGAATATAATAATGCAAAAAGTATGGAAGCCTTTTAGGACAATTTGTTTTTTGGGTTTCTTTTTCTTTTTTTTCAAAACACTGACTTGAAATTTCAAGATACTAACTAATTATCGTATAATTTCAACTTACGTATCTTGAAATTTCAACATAGCATCTTGAAATTTCAACATAGTATCTTGATAATAAGTTGAAATTTCAACATAACATCTTGAAATTTCAAGAAAAATTTATACATACAAATGGCCCTAAAAGGCTTCCATAAAAAAAGTTAATACCATTTAATTTGTTTTTTAAAAATAAAACATTTTGGAAGTGACATTCATAAATAAGAATATGTTATTCAAACAATATCTAAGATAATTATCTTGTGATGCTAAGAGAAAGATGCGAAAGAGTGATTTAGGTTGAATGCCCTTTTGAAAAGTATTTTAGTTTGAACATTGTGCCTGTATAATGTGGGAGAAAGCCAGAGTTGGCACAGATCTCTAGACATTTATTTGTTTGGTGACATCAATGGATACGGGTGTTAGAAACAAAACAAAACAGAACCAGGGTGAATCTGGGATTCGAACCCACAATAAAAGGATCCTGGCATGCTTAAGGGAGACAACTCTGCACATTGAATTGTGCAGGTCAGTGGTGCAGGGCTAGACCTCAGAATCAAAGGAAGGGGCTGACAAACCAAGAATGATATTCAGGTTGAATTAGCATCAATGTCTGACATCTTAAAACATCATACCTTTTTAAATACTGCAGGCTCCTGGAGAACTGGGCTAAACTTTGGCACATCTTTCCTTGATGTTATACACACCTGCAGAAGAAGACAAATAGATTAGTGTGTGTTTGTTTGTTTGTTTGTTGTTTAACACTGTTCTCAGCAATAATTTAGTCATATGATTGAAGCCTGTAAATAATCGTGCCTGTACTAGGCAATCTAGTGATTGATATTATGAGCAATCAGTGAAGAGTAATGATGAAACAAATACATACAAGTCAGTCTGTCATAAGGGACCAGTCATTTATAATAGGTCGGGTGGGTCAGAAGGAATCAGGGGAGAGTCTCCAAAAAATATGACAGTCTCTAAGGGAGGGTCATAAAAAATAATACAGTTGTACGGGGGAGGGTCAACCAAGACTAAGACAATTATAAGGGTAATTATTTTCAGTACATTAGTGCATTGAAAACCTTGGACCCCCTCCCCCTGTAATAAATGACTGGTCCCTGAAGTACTTGAGACATCACATCATGATCACCTAGCATCTGTCAGTGTGCACAATACAGAGTTATCTCCCTGTGACTGAGACAAAGTGTAAGGTTTTTACTTTATCTGTTGTATTTGATTATGAAGTTGTATGTATCTGTTGTGTTGGTTCCCTTTGTGCATCAGTTTGTATGTTATGTGGTGTGTGTGCATGTGCGCATGCGTGTGAGCGTGTGTTATCAATGTCTGTGTTGTGTGGTCAGTTTGGGGGTTTGTGGTCAGTGTTTGGGTTGTGTGTCTGTGTTGTGTAATTGGTGTAGTGGTTGTGTGATCTGTGGTTGGGGTTGGGGTTGGGGTTGGGTTTGGGGTTTTTGGGATGTGTGGTCGGTGTTGGGGTTGTGTGGTTGGTGTTAGGGTTGTGTGGTCGGTGATGGGGTTGGTGTTGGGGTTGTGTGATCGGTGTTGGGGTTGTGTGGTCAGGGCTGGGGTTGTGTGGTCGGTGTTGGGGTTGTGTGGTCGGTGTTAGGGTTGTGTGGTCGGTGATGGGGTTGGTGTTGGGGTTGTGTGATCGGTGTTGGGGTTGTGTGGTCAGGGTTGGGGTTGTGTGGTCGGTGTTGGGGTTGTGTGGTCGGTGTTGGGGTTGTGTGATCGGTGTTGGGGTTGTGTGGTCAGGGCTGGGGTTGTGTGGTCGGTGTTGGGGTTGTGTGGTCGGTGTTAGGGTTGTGTGGTTGGTGATGGGGTTGGTGTTGGGGTTGTGTGATCGGTGTTGGGGTTGTGTGGTCAGGGTTGGGGTTGTGTGGTCGGTGTTGGGGTTGTGTGGTCGGTGTTAGGGTTGTGTGGTTGGTGATGGGGTTGGTGTTGGGGTTGTGTGATCGGTGTTGGGGTTGTGTGGTCAGGGTTGGGGTTGTGTGGTCGGTGTTGGGGTTGTGTGGTCGGTGTTGGGGTTGTGTGGTCGGTGTTGGGGTTGTGTGGTCAGTGTTGGGGTTGTGTGTTACCTTGTACGACGTGTGGTCGGTGTTGGGGTTGACAGGCTGCACCACGATGTAGGAATGGAGGAAGTGGGAGGCGATCATGTTCGGAATGAACGGTGTATTCTCCTCCTGGAAGATGATGGCGACGATATCGTTCCCTATGTGGCGTTTACGCTGTAACTGGAAACAGAAGAGAGAAATTCACACACAGAAACAAACAACTAACCCAAACAATGCCACTAAAATGAATGAACAGGGCCAAAAGTCACACCTAACACTATGATGTCAGGATGATTGTAAAAGCCGGCCACCATCTTGGATTTTCACAAGTCAGTGACTAGCCAATCAAACAGTTAGCAATGAAAGCACAGAAACAAACCAGCCCTACCTGTTGTGGGTCCCCCTCTGTGTGGGGAAGCATGGTAGAGACGTGAAACATGATCTCACTATCACGGTAGTGTGTAAACACAGACTCCAGCCCCGTCTGGTCGTGTAGTGTGTCCAGGCCACCGCGGAACCTGGAATCATCATCACAAACTAATTACATCATCATCAACATCATCATAACATTATACAAATAATGACTCCTGACGAGTACAGCCTCCTGTCCTTGTTCTCGTATATTAACCTCAAAATTTTGTTTGTTTTGGTTGTTGTTTAACACTGCACTATAATATTCCAGACATATGACAGCAGTCTGTAAATAATCAAGTCTAGTGATTGGCATCATGAGCATCGATCTACGCAACTGGGATGCGATGACATGCATCAACCAAGTCCGCAAGCCCGCCACCCGATCCCCTTTGTCGCCTCTTATGACAAGCATAGTCACCTTTTACGGCAAGCATGGGTTGCTGAAGACCTATTCTACCCCGGATCGTCGTGGGTGCCACGCAATTGGGATACGATGACATGCATCAACCAAGTCTGCAAGCCCGCCACCTGATCCCGTTAGTCGCCTCTTACGACAAGCATAGTCACCTTTTACGGCAAACATGGGTTGCTGAAGACCTATTCTACCCCGGATCGTCATGGGTGCCACAAAATTGGGATACGATGACATGCATCAACCAAGTCAGCAAGCCCGACCACCTGATCCCTTAGTCGCTTCTTACAACAAGCATAGTTGCCTTTTACGGCAAGCATCTTCACGGGTCCACCTCATCAATGGCAATGAGCATCCCATGGACCTATCATAGAGCTGTGACTGTCGTAAGCTTTCAGTTGATCACAGACTCCCACTCACTCACTCACCGTTTAAAGTCCTTCAACTGCACCGTGTTCCCGATGAGCTGAAGGAACTCCTCCATTGCCGGACTGTGACTGACATTACCAAACAGGTCTTCTTCAAAAGTCTGCAACCAATGGACATGAATATTCCATCACATGGCATACGCTCAACAGCTTCTATCCTTTCCAATACATGAAGATCATGTCATTTAATATTAGCGTGTAGAACGCCTACAGAAACACACTAAAAGCTATATCTGTTGTGATTGTCTGGAGAACTGTGTCTCGCTGACTTACCTGTCCAAACTTCTGGTATATGATACCAAACTTGAAGGTATTTGTAAGCACATGTTCATCGTAGGACACAACTAGATCGGAACCCTGGAAATATAAAACAGGAGAGTCAGATCATGGTACCAAAAGATATTTGTTTGTTAGTTTGTAAATTATCGAGTCTGGACCAGACAATCTAGTGATTGATATCATGAGCATCGATCCACACATTTGGGATACAATGACATGCATCTACCAAATCAGCAAACCTGACCACCCGATCCCGCTAGTCGCCTCTTACGACTAGCAGTCGCCTTTTACGGCAATTGTGGACTGCTGAAGACCTATTCTACCCCGGATCTTCACGGATCGGTGGTATTTGTAAATCAGTACAGGTTACCTACTTCTACACCTATACTTGAATGACAAACAGTGAAACCAAATGCACACTGCATTTCTTCTATAAGATACCTGCCCTCCAAAACACCCGCCTCTAAATAGACGCTGGGCCATACACTGTCCAAAAATAGATGCTGAGTCTCTAATAAAGACCGGGTCCATCATTTGATGAACTTAATTATCCCTATCACATTAACGTATGGCATGTAATGAATACTCCCTTCACTTCTTAATGACTGTTTCCTGCAAAATGTACCTATTCTATGAATGCAGAATTTTGGAGCCGGTAAGGTAGTGAGCTACCACTGTGCCAGAATTCAACAGAATAGATGCCAGGCTTCAGTGGATTGTGCGAAACAAATAGATTCTCAGGACTTTAATAGAGAAAATACGTCAGTCTTAAATTGTTCACAGTCAACAAATTATTATTATCATCATCATCATCATCATTATTATCAGATTAAAAAATATCAGCTCAAAGCCCTTGCCCCCTCTACACACAGCCCAGACAGCGAATGGGTGAGCTGAGGTGAAATGGGGTTTAACGTCGCGTCCAAGATTATTGCACTCATATAGCGATGTGCATGCATGTGTGTGTGTGTGTGTGTGTGTGTGTGTGTGTGTGTGTGTGTGTGTGTGTGTGTGTGTCTGCTTGTACTAGTCCGGACTGATGCTGATTTATAGTGTTAGCCCACTGAGGTACCATGCCGCAGTTTAACATGAATACCCCACTCAGACACAGTATACTGACTCTGAGCCGACCAGTCCTTGTTTTAGCCCCTTTAATGCCGAGTGCCAGACAGGGTAACAACAAGTACCATTTTTTAACGTCTTTTTGTATGATGCAGCCGGGGATCGAAACCTGGACCTTCCGCTCTCCGGCGGATGCTCTATCACTTGACCACGAGGCGGTGGACAGTGAATGGACTTCTCCCAGGAAGCGCGCCTGGTCAAACCCATCCAGAACTTTTTGAGAATGTGAAAACACCCAAACACAGCAGCCTTCTGTATTACCCAGATTGTCAGGAGGCCTGTATTCCTAGTAGCTAACCCGGGTACTCTCCCAATGTCAGTCAACAGATTGGGAGGTACCAAACCTAAGGCACCGTGAACAATGGGGAGTCGGACAACTTGGTACTTGGTTGTATTATTTCTTACCTTTAATGATAACACTGGTTGAAACCTATCTGTTGTGATGTCTTCACATAAGCACTGTATGCATAATAAAAAAATAAAATATTATTCTCCCAATTTGCAACAATATCTCATAAAGCATGTATTGACATACAAAGAATAATCAATAAGCTGATATCAATATACTCATCAAGAATTAAACAAAAAAGAAATTTAGATGAATTTTAACACACAGTTAGTTTCTAAATTTGTTGAATTTCATGCATCCCTTACCTACCATGGTTAAAGACGGAACTTACCTTAGCTAGTTTGGCTGGATTGGGATTTTCAAGCTTACTGGATGGCACCACTTCATGTTTCGTACTAAACCGTGTTCTAAAACAAAAAAGTCACAACTATGACATGAGAAAAGTTTAAACAAGTGAATGGGTAAGGTTTTTACGTCTTTTTAGCAATATTCCAGCAATATCGCGGCGGGGACACCAGAAATGGGCTTCACACATAGTACTCATGTGGGGAATTGAACCTGGGTCCTCTGGCGTGGCCAGCGAACGCTTTAACCACTAGGCTATCCGACCACCCACGTGCCTAAAGAATGAGTGATTGTGAGTCAGTAACATTTTTGTAACATTTACCAGTTTCCTAAAATCCACAAGCACAGGTGTTGACACACACCTTAGGATCACGGCACACCTGATGAAGGATGAAACTACACTGCAAATTGTGACACCTCCATCATCAGGTCATGCTGCCTTCCCTGGACTAAAGAAGATGATCTTCATGACATGCTGGCTAAGGAGGGCTTTTGTTTGGTAAACAGAATCAACATGTCACTTTCTCACCCACAAGATAGGTATGCTTGGTGCTCACCTGAGTAGGACTCTGATATCATTGTCTGTCTCGGGGCTTGTCTTGATAGACATGACAATCGGCCCGACATTCTCATCTACTGTGTAATAATTGAAGTGCTCCTGAAACAAAAAATCATCACCATCACTACACTATCATCATCATCATCATCATCATCGTCTTCGTCACCATTATCATCTCAACATCATCATCATCACCATCATCATCATCATCATCACTACACCACCATCATCATCACCATCTCTCTACACCATCATCATCATCATCATCTCTACATCATCATCATCATGATCACTACACCATCATCATCATGATCACTACACCATCATCGTCATCATCATCATCATCATCATCATCACCACGCCACACCACAATCATCATCACCATCTCTCTACACCATCATCATCATCATCACTACACCACCATCATCACTACACCACCATCATCATCACTACACCACCATCATCATCACTACACCACCATCATCATCACTACACCACCATCATCATCACTACACCATCATCGTCATCATCATCATTATTATCGTCATCGTCACCATTATCATCTCAACAACATCATCATCATCATCATCATCATCATCACTCCAACAAACTCCACCACCACAATAGATTGATTGATGTCACCTCATTCATCCGTCACGTCCGAGGTGCCTGTTCACACATGGTTACCACATGACTGAGTGTCAGCTGGCAGACAAAGACTAACAACAACTGTCACCCACAACTAATTTACATGAATCAGGTAACATTTGGTTTGCTTGTTTTGTGTTGTTTAATGCCACACTCAGCAATATTCCAGCCATATGACTGCGGTCTGTAAATAATTGAGTCTGGACCAGACAATCCAGTGATTGACATCATGAGCATTGATCCACGCAATTGAGATATGCATCAACCAAGTCAGCAAGCCTGACCACCCAATCCTGTTAGTCGCCTCTTACGACAAGCATAGTCGCTTTTTACGGCAAGCATGGGTTGCTGAAGACCTGTTCTACCCCGGATCTTCACGGGGCGAATCAGGTAATGAGTGGGTAATGAAACATGTCATTAGAGGTGCAAATGTGACAATTTATGAGTTCAATTATCTTTCATATCCCAAGACATCATATTACTTTCATTGTCATCACAAATTTATCATCCAGTTACAAATAAACATTTGATCCTGAAATACCAATCCATTCGCCTACCTTCCCAAGGAAGTGATGTCTGTAAACTAGAGCAGTTTCATCAAGGTCAAGGCTGAACAGCTGAGGGTTGCACTCTGGGATGACGAGGTTGCCGCTACTGTCCACGGGGATGGACTGGACTGCCTCTCCCTCCAACCAGTACCCCCCATCAGGGGGAAGCACCACCATGGGGTAGGGGCCCGGCTTAGCCAGCAGCTGGGGGGACACAAGACAGCATGTCATCTCACAGTGACAATTAAGTGTGAACGGAAATACATAGATAAGGCTTGATAAAATAAATGTCTTCTTCGTGATGGCCAACATTTGTCACAAGAAGTCACATGGTACAATAAAAAAAAATATACTTGTAACATACTTATAAATAAAACAACATAACCCTTTCCATAATCATAAGAAATCTCTGTAAAACGCAAATTCCATTTGCAATTCCAACAATATCATAAGCATAAAGTAACATAGATTCAATTTGTTCACATTGTAACATACAACTGCTCCGTACTGTATATTCAATTTGTTCACAATGTAACATACAACTGCTCTGTACTGTATATTCAATTTGTTCACAATGTAACAAACAAATGCTCCGTACTGTAGATTCCATTTGTTCACAATGTAACTTACAACTCCTCCATACTGTATATTCAATTTGTTCACAATGTAACATACAATTGCTCTGTACTGTATATACAATTTGTTCACAATGTAACATACAACTGCTCTGTACTGTATATTCAATTTGTTCACAATGTAACAAACAAATGCTCCGTACTGTAGATTCCATTTGTTCACAATGTAACTTACAACTCCTCCATACTGTATATTCAATTTGTTCACAATGTAACATACAATTGCTCTGTACTGTATATACAATTTGTTCACAATGTAACATACAACTGCTCTGTACTGTAGATTCCATTTGTTCACAATGTAACATACAACTGCTCCATACTGTATATTCAATTTGTTCACAATGTAACATACAAATGCTCCGTACTGTAGATTCCATTCGTTCACAATGTAACATACAACTGCTCCGTACTGTATATTCAATTTGTTCACAATGTAACATAAAACTGCTCCATACTGTAGATTCCATTTGTTCACAAAGTAACATACAACATCTTACAACCAAATTCACTGTAACTACCAACTTTCAAAACGAAGATTTTTCTTATTTCGTAATGTAACCTACATTTGCTCTGTACTGTACCTACCTCTTTGATACTCTCATTTTCCTCCTTTGCAGGTGCAATAGGTGGGGCCTGAAACATGAACACAGGCTGTTAGTTGGCAGTTAAACATCACAACCACTACAACAGACCTAATTCCTGTCTTCATTATGGTCATTTAGTGAACTCTAAATACACTACCTTAATCTAATTTGTCCCTTAAATTGACAGTTTACAATACTTGTTTATTTCAGCCTAACATTTCAAAGTGATCGTTATCATACACTTGAATACATTTATAACCTTTCAATGTTTAGAACGATAATTTTAGCCAAAATGATACCATTTAAACAACAAAAGGCGAGGCTGATAGGATTCTTGAGAAAGGTTAATCTGATAAACATTGTTAATGTGATATTGGAAGAGATTTATTAATCATATAGATACATTAACATTAATGTTACTTTGGGGAAATTAGAGAGTAATGGTTGCGCTGATAACATATATATTACAAGTGGAGATACGTTCATCAACCAAGTCGAATAAATAGAGATTACAGGATCATTCGTGTCAGTTTCATAGCACGAGCTCAAATTACAATCAGGAAAACTTGACATCAAACCATTGTAGTTTGCAAGGATAGGATATGTATCTGATGAATATAATTTCCTTTTCGATTATAATCTGAAATGAATATCATTCATCCCACTTTTCGTTAATCGGATTTTAAAAAGTTTGATAACAGTAACAAAATCTGACCAGTTCTTATTAACTTCAAATCTGTGATACTACTATATATTCCTATCTGCCCTAATACTGTATCTGACATAATTAGTGCCCTGCTCCATTGAGCGCCCAAGGTGATATTTGCTCTCAATTGGCTAGTGAACAATCCCAATTAGCACCCCTTCTGATTGATCAATGTACACAAGTCTTATTTATTCATGTATATCACACAAACGGGGGTTATATGCACCCTTAATTATGGGCAGTTAAATTCTGGAAAAATATATCTGTCGTGTATAATACACACAGACTTTTCTTTTATATCATTTCAGGCTGTCAGCATAAACCACAAAATTTACAATCTTCCAACTCTGTTTTTTTTTCACCAAAATAATATTCTAATAAGAGCCCCCTATTTCTAATTTTGAGAGCGCCCTGGGCACTTATTACATCGAATTCGGTAATCCATTTTATTCAGAATTTATTAAACATCTTACAAAACCCCTAAAATGTATACAGAAACAAAATTTGTATACATAAACAATGAATGACCTGATCTTTAATCATTTTATCATCATATCATCTATTTTTAGGATTTTTTCAAAGAAACACATTCCTTAAATGCTAACAGACTTCATATTGAGCTTCATGTGTTCATATAATCGTGACATTGGAGACAAGGCAGCCGTCGTTTGTAAACTACCTACTGATGTAATTAACACAGAAAATATAACCATACACTCTATGCTGTTTTTCCTGGTACATGTTAGAACCATTCATCCTCACTCGCCCCTTTCCGTAACCTGCAAGAAGACTCGTCCCCCGATCGATGAATGTCATGTGCGAAAATATGACAAACCAATCAGAATGCGTATCAAAGAATCCCTCAGAAATAAGTTTTAATTTTACATATGTCTTGCATCTAAAATATACCCAAGACACAGTTAAATGTGTTCAATCATACTGTATAATTCTGTACGTCGATATGTGCTTTAAATTGCATCTGAAATATATAATATATTGGGAAAATATGTGAACCATTATGCAACGAGTTGACAATTGTTTTAGGTATGCCCGTATGCGCTAAGACGGAACCCGGTCGCAAAAATGGCCATGAGAAGGGCACGAGTCGCTATTCGGCTTGTCCCGGAATAACACGAGTTGGTCACAAATGATGTTAGAACATGCTGTATTAGAAAACATATCACAAAACAGGAGGCATACAAAAACACGACATGCTGATAATTGATGGTATAATGTTTGTTAAACTTCGTAACATCTTGATCGACGTTTTAGAGAAATGAAGCCGATTATTGCTGCATCAACTAACTTTGAACTCGTAAGGAGTTTGTTCACAAAGTGGAATAAATATTTGTCTCTGTGGAGAATGTTTTTGTTGCATGATGTCCTTTGGTGCAAACTACTCCAATTGGTTTGGCAAAACATTGAATTATTATTTGAACTGAAAAGACAATATTTGAAAAGACATGTACATAATCCATAGCGCTAATGACTGTGAGTGCAGGATTATCATAATATCAACTCAATAATCAGCAGCATCCTTGAGTACTCGCAAATACAGAAATGTCGTTTGAAATGATTCACTTGAATGTGTGAGAAAAAAACAAACAGAATGCCTAAGGAGTGAATGAGTGAGTGAGTATGGTTTTACACCGCTTTAGCAATATTCCAGCAATATCACGGCAAGGGACACCAGATATGGGCTTCACACATTGTACCCATGTGGGGATTCGAACTAAGGTCTTTGGCATGACGAGTGAATGCTTTAACCACTTGGCTACCCTACCGCCCTGAGTGAGTGAATTAAAATTTAACGTTGCATCAGCATTATTTCAGCCAAATAGCGCCCCACCGCCACAAAAGCCTAACTTCATGATAATACTGAGAAAATATCTGTGTAGTACCATAAACATAATCATTTTTCAGGATCTAAATAATTTTCAGACCACTGTTTAAAGGCCAAATTAAACAAGCACCACGTTTTCAAAAATACCATCAAAGTCATGTGACCACATACATTTTCACAATTGTGCAACCAGATACTATTCACGTTTCAGAAAACCAAGACACAGACAAAAAGAAAATAATATATCCTAAAAAATCAAGAAAAGTGTTGTGTTTCCTCTATCAAACTCTTACTGTCATGGTTGGAACATATCAGAGTTACCTCCCTTACATTGCATAAATATGGCCACTTGTTTCTGGGTGTCAGACTGGTTACACTAAACAGTTTAACAGATGAAACTGACTTAAGATCTGATCACATATAAATCGGACAAAGAGAACTAAGCATGACGACGACCTTCACCATAAATAACAATCTGGGTACACAAAGAGAACACGAAAGAATAAATCCTTAAGAGAATTTTAACACATAAAGTCTTAAAACTTTATCATCTCTCAATAAGGTCAGTTTGCTTATGTTTCCATGGTAGCATCAACCTTTCCAATGGGGTTCGAAGTTACAACACAGCAGCCAGGCCACATTTGACAATCCGATTACCGCACTCGCAGGTTGGTAATCCAATCCTCGTTCAATCACAAGTAAAAGATGAATTCTTTCCTTGTTTCCATAGGAATCACTATTGTCTAGTACTAAGTTCTGAGGTATGCATGTCGACCATATAGAGTACAGTCTAGCGACAACCACAAAAATGACACAAGACACCACCTTCAAAGACTGAAATACAACTAGATCATAAAAAGTTGATAACATAATACGTATAGGAAAGTTAATAAGGAAAGACAGTTATCAGTGACAGGATATGAACACACATGCAGGTTATTAATACAATCATGCGCAGACCATGGTCACCGTGGGTTGTATTGATCTGTTAAGTGTTAAAGTGGTCACAAAAGTCACTTCAATATCCTAAACATAATTAAATCAAATTTAATGCCATTCTTGACGTTTTCATCATCTCAAAATACAGAGAAATTTTTAAAAATTCAGACATAATTAACGCTTTTCACCATCTCAAAGTAAACAAATTTAAAAACTCAATATTTTTGTAAATATAAATATCAATATTAGAATCATGTTCCAAAAGGTTTGAATTACGGTTTAAATTCGAGATATAAAAAAAGTATTTATAAACCATGCAGGATATAAAACATTTCCTTGTCTGGTTCCACTCTGACACTGAACATTTTAATCCAGCCCCAACAGGTGCTGCACAAGAAGAAAACAAACACATCAACCTGGATGGGTTTTGGTAGCGGCATCGTGCACCGTTGATCCTCGTAGCGCCGACTTTGGTATTTAAGGAGAGTGTCGAAAAAATCAGGACCCTATAAGGGTACAAAAGTGTTAATGACAGACTTTTGCATCACATTTCACTAAAAGTACTCTGTGGACATCAGAATCAATAGCCATTCTTCTGATCATCTCCAGGTAGCTAATTCATGTCTCGAATGTTAGTAGAACGACAGTGAAACAGAAAGGCAGATCGTGAGTTCTGAAATTATTAATTATTTAAACATGCGAGATGTTTCTATGGAAACGTACAGGTGTAATTAAGGTCATCTTCTCCGATTTCAGTTGATCTATTTCTGAATGAAATCATTTCGGATCCATGATGCTTCATTCATAAATTCTTAATTGTAGCACGAGAAAATATCTCAATTATCAATATATTTTTGTTGTAAAAGGGCATTTTTTTGTGAGTGTAAATTCCTTCAGTTGTCCAAAATGGCAACATATGCTTTAAAATAATCTAACATTCCACTCAGGGACATGTGATGAATGAGCATTCTCTCCTAGATTCTGTTAGTTGTAGCAAGGGCAAAATTGAGTGAAGTCTCAAGGAGCCTTTGCAAATGACTTGGAAAATGCTGTAATAGCTAATTACGAGGAGATTCATTTAGACTAGTTGAGTCAACTCCTCATCTGAGTTGAATAATAAAGTATGTCAAACCAATTTGTACATTTTGTTTTTCTGTATCATTCCTTGCAAAGAATGGGGGAACACCTCAGCATGGGGAAATTCAAAAGGTGAAATCATAACTTATCCTTCATAGTACACACATAGAAAGGTCAAGGTCAGCAGGGTTAAGGGCGGGGGACACTATTTTCCTAAGGGCATTTCTCAGGGAGTTCACTGATGAACACATTGGGTTAAATGTTAGTTACAAAAGTATGACAACATTAAAAATGCTGGAAAATTATTTGGGAACAAAAATGCATCAGGAAATCAACAAGTATAAATGTTATATGGCATGTAGGTTTTCAGTCTCAATATGGTGGCAATACCACCTCACTCCTTTATATATGTTGTGTAGTTTGCATTTTTTCATGAAACCTGTCAATATTGCTTTAATTTTTTGTGTCTGTGATTATCTCATATCTACCCGCATCACATTGATATGAGTGAGTGAGTGAGTGAGTGAGTTGGGTTTAAGCTGCTTATATGATCACCTTTGACCCAATGACCTTGATATCTCCCAAATCTTTGACATGACGTAACCCAACACAAGAAGGATATGATCTGACATATTCATAAACAATTTTCATTTTTCATTTCTTTTTTTATGACATGTAATTTACATTTCCTGACTTGCTAAAAAAGACTGCAAACAGTAACACTTGTCTGTAACTCATGATATTAAACATAAAGCAAATTGCTAGATATTGACAATGGGTCATTCAGGCATATTCATAAGTTTTTTCTAATACAGCCATTGCTATTGGGATTAAAATCCTACCAATATTTACTGTTTGTTTAAAAGAAATATCCCTATTAATAAAAATGAAATATATTGAAAAACTGCAAGATCCTAAATCTCTTTTGTGAATAGCATAAGATATCATAAACATTTGGATGAGGCATCAAATCAACTATGTCATCTTAGGAGACATATATTAAAATGAGAAATGTGTCATTTAAACACATTTCAAATAATTCTTCATGAATGAAAAATGAAAAGTGAATAAAGAACTACATATTTTCCGAGTTACATAACTTTGTCAATTCATTATGATTCATACAAGATTCAGAGAATTGAGACTGAAGCATCATCTTATGCATCAGATTCAAAACATAGTTTGACATTAATCCAATCCAACCTTTTATCATAACACAGAAACGGACAAAAATACTCATTATTGTGTTTGTTATTTTTAAATCTGTTGATAATACATTCTAATCTGAAATTCCAGACAAAGGAATTAAGTCAATTATTTCAAAATTCTACAGTTGAAAGACAAAGAGCCTATTAATAATTCATACAAAAACTGATGGAAGTTGAAAACGGGACACACAAGATCAATTTTCTCTGACATTACTCCACTAGTTCTGGAGGCAGTTTCCTCTCCGAGGATGAAATTCCAATACATGAATTTTACTTCAAAGGAAAACATGTCCTCCTTACAATCTCTTCATATTATTTGTGTTATTTTTTAACATGCACAGCTGCAATTTCAAGTGAAGATTTAACACTATGATAACCTGATAATGGGCTGCAAGGCTGTTTTATGTTTTAAAAAATTCAGTCATTTTCTCAAACAATTAAATTTGTTAAAAACATCAATAGAACAAATGATTCGAAGAAGAGAAACTATGAAACTTAATCCTCATTCTCAATCATGTTCCCCCAGAACGTCTAGAGAATGTAAAAAAAATACTATTTTTGAAATATTTTCTTTGAAAATATATACATCAACACAGAAAATAAAATGAAAAGACATTTTCAATCATGTTCCCCCAGAACGTCTAGAGAATGTAAAATAAATACTATATTTGAAATATTTTCTTTGAAAATATATACATCAACACAGAAAATAAAATGAAAAGACATTTTCAATAATGTTCCCCCAGAAGTCTAGAGAATGTCAAAAAAATACTATTTTGAAATATTTTCTTTGAAAATATATACGTCAACACAGAAAATAAAATGAAAAGAACAAAATATTAAAAATAACATATTTCTTCTTTCTGCTAAATTTGAAGGAAAATATGTTTAGTTTAAACTGAATGACCCATCATTATACTGTAGAAGTTCAGAAGCCTAAGTACAGTGGTAGACAGGTAGTATCAGCGTGTGTTTGACTATATAAGGAATGTGAATGTGTTAGTGGTGCAGGAGTGTGCAGTGACGTAATGCGACAAGCTAACACCAGGATTTACCTTGAAGAAGGCTGACATATCACACCTCTGGTCGTCAATCCGCTTGCCCTGAAGGCGTTCCAACATCTCAAACAGGTCTGCATTCTGAAAGTGAAATGATCAAGATTGACATTTGTCATGTTCTGCATTTAATCCCTTTGAAATTGCATTGAAATATTTATATTAATGAACATAAAATCATAATGTTGTAATGTCAGAATATCGCCAAAGAGACATTACTTTTGAGTGTGTCTAAATTGTTAAGGCACTATGAACAGACTTTCCGTCAAATTACAGTGTATTAGTTTTATGTGAGAGAAAACCTGAGGTGGAGTAGGGCTTAACACATTTAATTCATGGCGACATCAAACCCCAAAACACAATCAGTGTGAATCTGGGATTCAAACCCACAAGAACAGGATTCTGGTACTCTTAAGGGAGGTAACTCTGTACAGCGAATTATGGCACCCAAATTATTCTCATTCACACGTGACTGAAAAGTTTAACGATGAAATGGTATCAATAAGGTGATTAACTGAAGTAGCAGAGCAATGCTCACGATCAACTTAGTTTAAAATATATATACTTTTAAATAAAATAACTATATTTCTGAGACCAAATGTCACTCTTAACAATCCTCTAAAATTATCCACACACTGAGTGAATAGACTTCCCACAGGCTCTTACCCATTTCCTTATCAATACTACTTTCCAACAACCACAAACTGTTTGCAGATGACAACCTATGTGAAGATTTGAACCTGGATCTTCTGCAAGATTAGCTAACATACTATCTACACGAAGAGAGTGAGTGAGTATGGTTATACGCTGCTTTTAGCAATACTCCAGCAATATCATGGCAGGGGACACTAGAAATGGGCTTCACACATTGTACCCATGTCGGGAATATTGCTAAAGGCAGCGTAAAACCAAACTCACTCATGATATTAAAGTTTATGTTCCCTGTACAAATAATGAGTGAGTAAATTAGTTGGGTTTAACGTCGCTTTTAACAGTATTCCAGTTATATCACAGCGTGTCAGCTCAATGTGGGAGGAAAGCCCGAAGTGACGCAGGTCTCGGACGTTTACCACTTCGGTGAAACACATGAGTACAGGTATGGTGCTGACAAACCTAGAAACATAATCGGGGCGAAGCGGGAATCAATCCCACAATCATAGGTTTCTGGGGGCCCAAGGGACGCAACTCTGCACAGCGAATCGCAGCGCCTAAGTACCCCCTTGTACAAATAGGGTGGTGGGATGGCCAACTGGTTGAAACCTTTTCTCTTCACATCGAAGGCTTGGGTTCCATCCCCATATGGACACATCATGCCAAAGACCCTGGTTCGATTCCCGACATGGGTACAATTTGTGAAGCCAATTTCTGGTGTCCCCACCATGATAATGCTGGCATATTGCTAAAAGCGGCATAAAACCATACTCACTCACTCACACTTTGTACAAAGAGCATGCTGAACCTGAATCGACATGCTTCTATTATGACAGGGATCTAACCTACGACGACCACCATCGTACAGCTAGAATATTGCTGAGTGCGGCACTAAAGAACAATCAATCAAACAAATATAAGCTGTTTTAGCTTGTAAATGGTCATCTCAGCTGTACTAAGAAAAATATATTCAACTCATTTGCATAACTGGAACAAGGTCACATTTATCTATTTATTTATTTACAAATTATTCTATAAATATTATATGAACTTTGTTCGACATATTCTTACATGAGATTGTTACAAGTTGAGCTGAATAATCAAATGTGTTATGCCAAGCTTCCATAATCAAGAAAAGATGTCCTGTTCAACCAAATCTTATCAAAAACATATTTACATCATCACAAATTAAAATAATCCATAAATAAAAATAACTCTCCATAAATCATATCAAGGCCTAAAATATCTATCACAAGACACTGAGTTGTATATTAGAGTACATCAATGAATGCCATGTGTAATTTCCAGTCCCGTAATAAACAGCCTCAGAAATTAGGCTTGAAAGTTGCCTTCAATTTAATAAAGCTATATCTTTACAAATTAGATTAAAATAATTAGAATAATTTACTATAATTTACATAAAAACAACTCTTATTACCTCAAAACTCTCCGCCATCCGAGAACTAGACTTGTAAGATAACACAATAATATCATGGCCTACATGCTGACTCGAGCCATGGAAACAGTCTCATAATACAGGCTTGACGACTGCCATCCATCAAGACCACATGCCTTCAATCATCATAAATCACTTGTTGCTTTCCTGTTTCTGTCTAGTCCCCTCGCCTCTGGTGGTCAGTGGTCAAGCAGATGACCACAGGTCACTCCAATGTCCAGCGTGATATAAGGTGTTATTCCCTAGCTGCATGTGCAAACCATGTACCATATGGCACAGCTGTAACCACACTGTAACACTTACTGTAACCACATGTGTGGTATAGATGAATCGTTTATATACTACTTCTACCTATTAGACCGGCCAAGGGTTTAAAAACATGCTCAATCCCTTCAAAATAATTCGTTTTATTTACCTAATGATATTTTTCTTGGAAATTAAGGAATATCATACAAATGCTAGAAATACCTTCAAAAGGGCTATTACAGCAAACGTGACCTTAAAACATTATACACATGAAACCAAGAAGCGTAGAAAACATCAATTAACCAAAAATTGATTACTAAATGCAATTGAGAAGAGATTGAAATAAATAAAGTATCAGCTCACACCATAAGCAGTGCCATTTTCTTTGAGAAATAATCGAATTACATAATGTTTTCCAACCACTACTTAAGTCCTTCACGCAAGTAGGAGTGTCCTTGCAGGATTGTGTAATGAGTAAACGAGGTATTAATTATGTTGTGTCTAGTCACTAAGAGAATTATTCAGATCCCAGGGTGCTCCCAGGAGTGAGTGCCTGAAGGTCTTTCAACATGATGAGATAGACTCTATTAGTTACAATGGCATGCTAGCATTTGACTGCAGAATGTTCTCCTACTCTAAATACTTTCATTTCATAATGAACTTAGTGATTCAGTATCCTATACGTTGCACTGCAATATAAACAAAAGGTGTTGTCGTTTTGTTTTGTTTTAAATTGGCATTTATCAATGTATGGTTATGAAATCTTACATGGTTGCTTTCATAGATAAAAAAGAGTCAGACCTTCCATATCTTAATTCACAGGTATAGATTAATTTGCATTTTGTTTTACAGATTTTGTCAAAATCTTTAACAAAGAAAATAAAAGCATTTTGTAAAAATCTTTAACAAAGAATAAATTAAAAACAGTTGTTTTGAGAATTTCAAAAAGTTAAAATAAATTCTTTGTATGCTGAGAACTAGGGTTTACCAGAGACTAATTTTGATCAAATCCTTAAAAGTAACCAGTCATCATAAAGATCCGGGGTAGAATAGGTCTTCAGCAACCCATGCTTGCCATAAAAGGTAACTATGCTTGTCGTAAAAGGCGACTAACGAGATCGGGTGGTCAGGCTCGCTGACTTGGTTGATGCATGTCATCGGTCCCAATTGCGTGGATCGATGCTCATGATATTAATCACTGGATTGTCTGGTCCTGACTCGATTTTTAGACCGCTGTCATATAGCTGCGGCGTTAAACAACAAACCAACCAACGACTATGGAACCATGGGACAGACAGTACCTCTGCTTCCTGAATAGCAGGGGCGGTCGGGTAGCCTAGTGGTTAAAGCGTTCGCTCGTCACACAGAAGACCCAGGTTCGATTCTCGACATGCCTACAATGTGTGAAGCCCATTTCTGGTGTCCCCTGCCGTGATGTTGCTGGAATATTGCTAAAAGCGGCGTAAAACCTCACTCACTCACTCCCTGGCAAGAGTTAAACCATCCTTCTAGCTACAGGCAGTTGTTAGAAAGTTAAGGCGAAAATAATAACCAACAAATACACTATGGTTAAACCTATGGTAGGAATAAAATATTTTGAATGATGTAGTTTTACATACCCTTTCAGGAGAAAAATCAAATACAATATTTCCAATAAGAATAGGGCTGAAATAACATTGACCTGAGGTCTATGAATAATATATCATTCTAAAACTACCATCCATGAAATCTATTCTATGCTATCTTGAAACTCCAGGAATAACCCCAATAGCATTATCAGAACATTGCACATAGAAACTTTATTTGAAATCAATAAATAAACACTATGGAATACTTTTGTGAACTTTGCAATTCCAAGAAAAATGGGTGAGTGAGTGAGCTGGGTGTTAATGCATATCTGGGTTTTTGAAAAGTATTCCCTTTACATCACGGCGTGTTGGCTTGATGTGGGAGGAAAGCCAGAAATGATGCAGGTCTCACCAAACGAATGAGGCTGGCAAGACATTTAAAAGAGTTGTTTTGGGGTCAATATATTAAAAAATGTGGAAGAGATGGTGTGAAACGTCGCATTAAAGATTATTGCACTCATATGCTAAGCACCAGGCAGGGTAACAACAAGTACCATCTTTTAACCTCTTTTGGTATGACGTGGCCGGAGATCGAACCCACGACCCTCCGCTCTCCAGGCAGATGCTCTAACCACAAGACCACTCTTGACGAAGAATTAGGAAAGAACAGTTTAACATTATTTAACATTTAGACAATTATCTCTAATGTGACACAGAGTGATTCTAAATAGTTCTCAAAGCAATTCAAAGCTAGCCAGGAAGCAATAATAAACAGGAATAGACTATATTACGAATTCATAAAGGGGAAAAAGGGTATTATATTTTTAGGCAGTAAGAACATGTTAATATTATATCTGTGTTCTGAAAAGCTTATACAGAGAAAGCACTGATATACTTTCCCTCACCTGTCCTCAAATCTGTTCGGTGTATGTGCCTATGTAATTCTAGCTAAGCACTCAATACCACATATTTGTAGATGTTATCAGACATGGCATATCAATCCGGACTATCAAGACATGTCTCCTTACCAAATGACTAATTCTAACCCTGGTCTGGATGACTATCAAACACAACAGCCTGCCTGACAGTATCAATGAGTCCTGCTTGACGAGTCTGTCTTCTCTGTTGGCCGCCCACAACCCTTAGGATTTAAGCCTATTTTGTGTGAGTGAGCGAGCTGTGGTTAATGCAGCTTTCAACAACAATGTACCAGTTATATCACGGTGTTGATCAGCTTAATGTGGGAAAATAGATGCAGGTTATATATTCGAGAACAACCTTGGTAAACACGAGGAGCATGGGTAGGCTATGATTAATAAATTATTGGATATCATCACATCCTTGGTGGTGAGTGGGTGCGTGGTTGAGTCGTTGAGTGGTTGAGTGAGGAGTGAGTGAGTGAGTGAGTGGTGCATTTCAGTAATTATCATCTTTTCTACCTACAAATTCCATTCTTGGGAGGGGGGGGGGGGGGGGCGCATAGGTGGCCCAGTTGTCAAAGGCGCCGCGATTCGCTGTGCAGAGTTGCGTCAGAAACCTATGATTGTGGGTTCGAATCCCGGTTCGCCCCGATTATGTTTTTAGGTTTGTCAGCACCATACCCACACTCGTGGGTTTCACCCAAGTGGTAAACGTCTGAGACCTGCATCACTTCTGGCTTTCCTCCCACATTAAGCTGACACGCCGCGATATAACTGGAATACTGTTAAAAGCGGCGTTCTTAAAACCAAAACTCACTCACTCACTCCATTCTTGGGACTCAGGGTGAAACTCAGGAGTCAGAATATCATAAATCAACAAGACTTTCTCACCCTCATAAGCACATAAATAATTATTTTGATCGAAGGGCAATTTTATGTACCACATAGCAGTTACCCATTCAGACATTTCTATCAGGCTGACGACACAATCACTCCACAGGCTGGCATATCTAGGTTACAAATGTCACAAGTTGTGTGGCAAGTAGTACCACAAGCTCCTGGCTAGTGATTGACAGATTATCATAACAATATATGACATTTCTCTGTTCGCAATGACCTCCACATACTGATTACATTTCCACCTCAATCCTAGTTTTACAACTACCAACTGAGATTAAAATATATTTTTTATTTCACAATTTTCATGGTTTTGAGTTTCCTTTGAAGAATATCGGAATAACTTATTAATCACAATGGCTAAGCTTGTAATCATGATGCTTTGATTTCTTAGATGTAATGTAAAACAATGTCCTTTAAGAAATTCATTACACTGATTAACAAAGGCTAAAAAATAGTCTTCATGGGCACTGAAAGGAATATATTGTTTCTTTAAGGCAAAGAAATTCATTTTTTATTTCCCAGGTAGCATACATTTTCGTTATGGAAATGATAACATTTAATCACTTGTCCAAACCAATTTTTCGAAAGCCGTTTCTAGAGCATTAATGAACCAATATAAACTGACCTATGTGACTGCCATGATATTGATTCTAAATACAATGTGTTTTATTCCTTTTTCCAATCAGGGTTTCACATGATGAAGGAATCCTGTATTGTTGGTTCAAATTTCATCCAAATTGTCCAAATCATATTTTTAATAAGTCATTTTAGATGCAACACATTTTTATCCGTCAGCATCTACAACAACATCCAAGAAGTCCTGCGCTATGACTGTGAAATTTTAATTTTTTAGGTATTTTTCGTTTCTAAAAGCCTAGGCAAGTCTAGATCAAACTAACCAAGTCTAGTTTGCTTGATTCCACAGAAGAGGAAAGGTTTGTTTGAAGAAAAAATATATAATTATTTTAAAGAAATGTTTTCATTGACTAAGTCTTGAGTCTAACATCTAAGGTACTAATAAATTATTTTTAAATTTTCATCATAATATGTTTCCATCAACAGAATTTTCATTGTCCAACCACCATAATGAAATCTTGCTATTGTTGTTCTATTCGATTCTGACCCAGCTATTCACTGGCCATTCATTCTGGCCAAGTACAATTGCCGCAACTAATATACCATATTCAACGTAATAAGCGCCCCACTCTAATAAGTGCCTACAGTGATATTTGCTAATATATTGGCTTGTGAACATTTCTGATTAGCACCCTTCCGATTGATCAATGTACACAAGACTTTATAATTCGTGTATAATACTCACTCGTGTGTTATATGCAGCCTTAATTACGGGCAATTAAAGTCTGAAAAAATATATCTGTCGTGTATATAATAGACTTTTCTTTTGACTCATTTCAGGCTGTCAGCATAAACCAAGAAATTTACGATCTTTTAACTCTTTCACCAAAATTATATTCTAATAAGAGCCCCCTGTTTCTAATTTTGAGAGCGCCCTGGGCACTTATTACGTTGAATACGGTAATACAAAATTATAGCGAGCGAGCAAGTATGGTTTTACGCCGCTTTTAGCAATATTCCAGCAATATCACGGCGGGGGACACCAGAAATGGGCTTCACACATTGTACCCATGTCGGGAATCGAACCCGGGTCTTCGGCGTGACGAGCGAACGCTTTAACCACTAGGCTACCCGACCGCCCCCAAAATTATAGAGAAATTATATCAACCATACTAGAGTTTAAGTCTGAGAAATCACACAAATCAACAGGTTCCCCCCTTTTTCCTTCTTTTTTGTTTAACGCTGCACTCAGCAATATTCCACCAAAATGACGGCAGTCTGTAAATAATCGAGTCTGGACCAGACAATCCAGTGATTAATATCATGAGCATCGATCCACGCAATCTGAGTTTCAAACTCAGCAAACTAGCAGCATTGTATTCATAACTCTAAAAAGATCTGCAATATTTTTTCAGTCACATGAAAACAAGAGAATGAGTCCAAGTTAAACGGTAGTGACGTCCATTTCATACCGTAGTCATAACCAGCATTCAGGTTTCTCTACTTTGTCACCTTCATGTCAGACAGTTATGAGGTGCTGGTGGCTGTATCTGCCCTATAATCCAGCAGGGGAGATGGATCAGCTGGACAATAAACTAGGACTCACTTTGTCTTCTGGCTCTGGTGTGGGCCCTGGACCTGGTGTGTTGGGTAAGTGTGCCTCACAGAACAGCTGACTGTCCATCGTCTGCTTCCTGAAACACAACAACACTTGGTTAGAACAGACATACAGACATTGGCCGACTTTACATACAGACACTGGACAGATGTCATATTCAGACATTGGAGCAGACGTCATTTATACAGACATTGTAGCAGACGTCTGATACAGACATTGGAGCAGACGTCATATACAGACATTGGCAGACTTCACATACAGACACTGGACAGATGTCATATTCAGATATTGAAGCAGATCTTGGAGCAGACGTCTTATACAGACATTGGAGCAGACGTCATATACAGATACTGGAGCAGACGTCATATACAGAAATTGGAGCAGACGTCATATACAGATACTGGAGCAGACGTCATATACAGAAATTGGAGCAGACGTCATATACAGACATTGGAGCAGACATCATATACAGAAATTGGAGCAGACGTCATATACAGATACTGGAGCAGACGTCATATACAGACATTAGAGCAGACGTCATATACAGACATTGGAGCAGACGTCATATACAGATATTGGAGCAGACATCTTATACAGAAATTGGAGTAGAGGTCTCATACAGACATTGGAACAGACGCCTAAATAGATATTGGAAGGACATGTTTCATACAGACATTGGAGCTGACATGAAATCATGTTAGTTTACTCTCTGTTAGTCAGACTGTTCATCTGGAAACAGCCCTTTCAGGGGAGTTGATATATCATGGGTATTTTCAAGCAGCATTATTCTGTAACAATGACTGATAAACACTGGCAGCTTCATCTGGATTAACTGAGTATCAAGCTTCTCTTCCTTTCAAATTATCACTCTTTGTTGCACACAAAAAAGACTAATGTCATGAAAGACATATGTCAGTAAACGGACACTACACAAGCATATTTCTGGCTAGACTCTTTCAAACTCAGGCAGATCAAAATGTTCATCCTGATCCAATAAGAGATCACGCTAAAACATAAATTAACACAATTTTTACACCAAATTCCCACTTGACCCACCTACAAGACTATGAACAATCCTTCACGACACTGAACACAGTCATAAGCCCTATGTAATTCTTTAAAAGCTGTGGAACTATTTCGGAAACAAATACTGCATACACATGTTTAACTAAATCACTGATTCCAAAACACAAATCTATTAGGATAATCATGTGCAAGCTGGTATCTGATGGAAATTTAAACACTTGCTATAAGGAACCTAATGTACGCATTGTCATGCCATATACTGTGCCCTAATGATGAAAAACTATCTGCATTCAAACAGACCTTCAGCCTACTCCCCCAACAACTGTTGATGGATAATGAAAGTGCATCCTTGTCATGGCATGACATTCCTGATTTGACAGCACATATCTCACCTCATCAGATCAATAGCGATAATTATTCCACTGACAGTATCGTTCATTCACAAAATAACACAATAAACCAATTAATCCAGGATTTTGATCCAAAGAGATCCCCCCTCCCCGCCCCCTCGTTGTGGCTGTGGTTAGTTGAAAGGCACGTCTGATCAACTGCAGTTCTACTTCCTTGCAATGATAAATGCTTTGGAAATCTGGTGGCTCTACAAACGTGTATCCTGTGATGTTTGTCGGTCATAATTTCATGACAAACAAAACACAATCAACTCTATTCACAATCACCGTTTTGGTGGATCAACACGATATTGTATTTTCTAATACAAACAATAAATTAATACTTAAATTTTAACAAATACAAAATCAGACATTTACAATCACCAAAACTTAATTACAGAAAAAAGTATATCGATTAATATCCGAACCACTAACATATTCAATCTATTTCTGACAAAGAATCATTTCAAAATACTGACCAACGTTATTCTCCAGAAATCTCCCAATTTTTAACTGCAGCTTCTTTCAACTTGAAAACTGGCTTTTTCAAGTACATGTAAAAATTCCCAAGTGTCAAACAGATTTCAACCAGTGAAGGGAAGTGTCTCATTTGACCACTAACTAAATGACATCACATGCTAGACATTTCGCCCCTGAAGCGTATTCCATGTCCTGTCTTGTTATCATAAGCTTAGGTCCCATCACAATCGTATATCCTCCAAGCAGACAACCAAAGGAAACGGAGTCCGACTTGCCAATTATTTCTCCAAGACTGTGGGAACTTCCTTCGATGACACGAATCGGGAATGGGAAAGACTTCATTAAATATAACTTTGAAAGGAAGTTTACATTATAAATGACGACCTGTCGGAACAAAAGCAGTCGTTGATCCGTGACATGAGCTCCACATGGTTCCACAGAGCAATGTTACACAAGGTACGTATTTTCAAGGCATGTTTTCTCCGACTGATGACAAGCACCTGTTGAGGGAGGGAATAGATATGCTGTACAACAACTCGTAGGTGAAATCTGGGAGGTGGAGTCTATTCACACTTCATTTCACTCGAGCCTGTTCGCTGTCCGTGATTAATGAAAGTGATATTGTGATCATGTACTTTGAAATTTTATTTTCCTCTCCAGTAGACACGGAATATCTAGCCTTCTTGATTACCTAGAATGTCTCCCACACGAGCAGGACAAATGTATTGCAGGTAGTGTTAAATTAGGTTTTGCACTGTATGCCTTTTCTCATATATGATTAATGGTTATGTTCACGAAATAACAGGGTGACTGCTAAAAGCTAAGTTAGACCTGTGACATTAGGAAAATAGTGGTGTGAGTGGGGTGGAATCTGTTGGGGTGGGGCAGTATTGACTAGGGTAGAATCTGTTGGGGTGGGGCAGTATAGAATCAGGTGGAATCTGTTGGGGTGGGGCAGTATTGACTAGGGTGGAATCTGTTGGGGTGGGGCAGTATAGAATCGGGTGGAATCTGTTGGGGTGGGGCAGTATTGACTAGGGTGGAATCTGTTGGGGTGGGGCAGTATGGAATAGGGTGGAATCTGTTGGGGTGGGGCAGTATAGAATAGGGTGGAATCTGTTTAGGTGGGGCAGTATAGACTAGGGTGGAATCTGTTGGGCTTGGGCGGTATAGACTAGGGTGGAATCTGTTGGGGTGGGGCAGTATAGACTAGGGTGGAATCTGTTGGGGTGGGGCAGTATAGACTAGGGTGGAATCTGTTGGGGTGGGGCAGTATAGAATAGGGTGGAATCTGTTTAGGTGGGGCAGTATAGAATAGGGTGGAATCTGTTCAGGTGGGGCAGTATAGAATAGGGTGGAATCGATTGAGGTGGGGCAGTATAGAATAGGGTGGAATCTGTTGAGGTGGGGCAGTATTGACTAGGGTGGAATCTGTTGGGGTGGGGCAGTATTGACTAGACTAGGGTGGAATCTGTTGAGGTGGGGCAGTATAGAATGGGGTAGAATCTGTTTAGGTGGGGCAGTATAGAATAGGGTAGAATCTGTTGAGGTGGGGCAGTATAGAATAGGGTGGAATCGATTGAGGTGGGGCAGTATAGACTAGGATGGAATCTGTTCAGGTGGGGCAGTATAAAATAGGGTGAAATCTGTTCAGGTGGGGCAGTATAGAATAGGGTGGAATCTGTTGAGGTGGGGCAGTACAGAATAGGGTGGAATCTGTTTAGGTGGGGCAGTATAAAATAGGGTGAAATAACATAACATCCCACATCAAAGAACCATCAACAACACTCACCTTTCAACTTGACCAAACAGATATTTCACACATCACAAACACATAAACATCAACTCACTTTAGTTTATGGAGAAACTTGACCAGAACACAACTCCTGCCCATGTTAACAGCTCTGTGTATGTCCTTACGACTGACTTAACTGACATCGCTCTCTGTGTAAGATAACCAACAATTCTTGCGCATGTCAGCAGGTTAGCATACACTTCTACGACAGACATCTCTCTCTCTGTCAGATAACCACTGCTTTCCTAGAAATTCTAATTTCTTCAAATACTTGTGAACATAATCCTTGTGCAATGCAGATAAAAAAAACTGTATCCTCCTAGACGGAATAATTGGAGAAACATCCTCGTACCTAGCCCTGACTGATTATCTGCCTTGTATTACACAATAGCACTGATAAGCCTGTGAATAAAATATGCATGGGCTATCTTGGGAGGATATACAGTGCAAGTTTGGCGTTTGTATAACGATTTGGGTAAAACAGCTCGCTATATTTTTTTAGTGATCACATGTATTACATTCTCACAACAGATCAATATGAATACTGTGAGCTGAAGAAACGCAGATGCTGTGTTTGGGTACCGATCTATCAGGTAACTTCTGCTATACGAAGTTTTGGATGACAAATTTACTTTTCAGAGAAAAGGTCAGAATAACAAATAATTTAATTTCTGTATTTCAATTGTGAGGCAGATGACATATTTTTTATTATTATAAACGTTTGGTTTCACTTATTTTCCTTTCAGAAAAGGTCAGAAATATTTTTTTACTGCGAGTCAGGTTATGCTTACCTTTTCTTGAACACCCAGTGTCCTCACTGATTTTGAGTGATCCATTCATATAATTTTTACTTCTATTTTGGCGTTTATTGAATTGGTTTCAGCGGATAACCTAGTTATTCTCTGGTGTGGACATTATATATTTGGGATATAAATTTCAATTTCAATATTTTTCCTTTAAATCCGTTCACAGCACAATGACACATTCGTTGCAAGATAACATCCATCAACTTCGACATAATCTCTACACCCACTTAATCCAATAAAATTTCTTTTGACTGTATAACATTCCACAAGTTGACGCATAATTTGAAACAAGCCTATGTTGCCATGGCAACTAGGTGATGACCTTATATGACCTAGTGAAATTTGTTTACCTAGTCACGTCATTATTCTGGCATTAGGTCATCAGATCCTGGTTAGCATCATAAACCCTATAAAACTTATGTTTACATGGCCTTCCTGATCCAAAACATTTGTATGTCATGACAATAACTCGCATTTGTCTGCAGCTTAAAGTATTCATTCATTACACTCATCTTTTTCAGAAGTAAATTCTTATTTTGTATTCAAATACTAATAATTATCCTAATCTAAATTCTATGAC